GTCCAGGTTAATAAAGTCCTGAGAAGGACTGTTTTTGTTGTTGTTGACTGACGTTTCGACAACCTTAGCGGTAGTCATCTTCAGAGTCAAATGAGGAGTAAACGTCAGGTTAGCCGTATTTGTTATCTGGAAATGGTTTTGTATTTTGAAACGATACGATACTCAATGAAAGAAAAAAACGTCTTTTCACATTCAAAACAGTATTACGCATGCAATTGCCTTGTGTTGTGTATTTCAAGCATTCTCTATTATAAAATAATTAACGAAAAACCTGAATAGTTGACAACTCATCTACTCTTGTTTTCTTCTCGGATAACACTCTTCACGTATCGTAGACTTGACTACCACAATGTTGGTAACACCAATGTGTACATCATATTTCCCGTATCTCCCTTCTGAATGACTTTCATTTTACGAACACGAGACAAACCAAATATGGCGTCATATCCAAGTGCAATCCAAAACCTACATTTTGTAACTTTCAGACGTTCACATTGCATAGTTTATCATCTTCTTTACATCATCACGGTGCATCATTGCATGCATTCCAAGTAGCATGCTGTTTATCAACAAACCCACACTAAGGCTGTGGTACACTTTGTCTAGTATTCATTACATTCACATAAGTATAGCCATACCACTATACCTCCGACTAAATACAGCTGTCAGTATTACCCATCGTAAAAAGACGTTCGATTTCGATATAGAAGTAGATTTCATGTTTTGAACTTTGAAGTATAAGATAAACACAAAACAGAAAGCATCGCTAATACCTTCCATCCAATGTGAGGAGCCACATCAATAAAATGTTTACATTAGAGTTGATTCGGTTTAAATGTAGCTGACCACACACATAACGGGGCGGGCCTTCACTGTTAAATTCACGAACAACTGCATTTGCAACGAATCCAAACTACAGACAAACATTTTATTGGTTATAAAGATTTGCCTTCTCGATGATGAGCTTAATTTTCCTAACACAAACATGCAAGTTCCGAATTAAACTTGACAGAACAATAAAACTGCATTACTAAGTGTATAACATGATTTTTTCATCTTGTGTAATTTACCATTCCGTACGATCATTTTCAAACAGTTTGCAGTGAGAAGCAAATTTACTTAAATTTTACAACGGTTTACAGATATGACACACACTTTATTCATAAAAACTAGCATCTTCGAGGCATATGCCTGAAACTATAATCAACTAATACTTTCCGTTAGTCGACAACGCCATCAAAATTTTCCAACCTGATTAGAACTTCGTAAATAGTATATATTCATACAATAAACAGCAAACACAGAAGTTCTGTATTGAATTCTTTTACAACAAGGATTGAAAATATTGTTCTTCTTTCTTGAGATCGCAACCAGACCGATTTGGCAAAGTATATCCCCCGCTCGTTTACACTTCGATTACCTCTTTAACCACTTCATCCTATACTTTCATTTTTGAAGCACGTTTCCTCGTCATCTTCTAGGACATAAGTGAGCTAATAACACATATATGTACTTTACCAGCAGTTTTTATACATGTTTATCATTCCTCATTTGAATTGATGAAAAGGCGATGCCCGATAATTGGACTCGTGGAATTCGCATATATTCTAATAGAACAAAAGGAATTCCACTAGGGCCAGTCATACACAGGCACACAAACAGGATACATGGCTTATTGTTGGAAACAAACAGTTTGGCTTCTAATATGGCGAAAATCTCTTTCTCCTTCGACTCCTTTGGGAATGATTGTTTTTCACATATTCCCAGTTATGTTGCTCGCTGAACAATCGATTTCAAGATGAACATGCAGTGAATTAAAAAAAACGTAAAATAAATTCATTCGACGAGTGTATATTTGCAATGAAAATTTTAGGGTGTATAAAAATACCTTAAGAAATCATATTGTTATCAAAATTTTAAAGCCAAATCACACATGCTGGTCCCTCTGGTCCGAAAACATGCAAATTCGAATCAATTTCCTACAAGGCATATTTTAAAAATGTTCCAGTCATGTCAAATTTTCATGGGCTAAAAAACTTGTGTATATGTACGAGTATGGAAGCATGTAAATATGAAATAATAAACATGTACGTTTAATTTCTAAAGATTTCATTTTTATTCACCCTGTATTATTTGAGATTCCCCGAGGTACTACATCAAGGTGCTGACTATATTTATTTAAATAACTTTTATATGGCTCTTCTAGAAAATTTAGGTGAAAAGCTTATTGAGAATAAGCTTAATCATGAAGGATATAAATGAAGGACAATTCTTTTATTTAATTCTTCATAATTAATGAATCGGTTCCATAGAATTTCCCGCAAAACGGAGAGTTTTAAAATTTAAGAAAGGCAATTTCTTTGATTGTTTCTTTGATTGAATGCAGCAATAACTTTCAATGAGTCCTGGGAATTTTAAAATCTTGACAAAGCTTGGTTTTTGAAATTACATTGGCCCATCCCAACATCTTTGTTTCATAAATTTTTGATTTCTTCGTTAAGTTATCGTCACCGCTTATACGATTATTACATACTCAGGCCTTATAAGGCCATATATAAACGTGACATTTATACAAACGAGTAGCTAAAAAGTTCATAATTGTTTTCAATTCTAAGGTCAACGAGAAATATTTCGTGCATGTTCTTTTATCCTTTGTTTTTTTTAGCAGAAGTTTGAATTTTCAATTAAAATCAAGTCACACGTTTACCTAAGAAAAAGTTCAATGAAATGATTTATTTTGAATGCTTTAAAAATAGTTTCATTTTTTAACTCATTCGTGTTTCAACTATAGTATTGTTTTCTCTAATCAAATATTTTATTCGTTTTGGTTTTGCCCACAAATTTTAGTCCTTTTAAAAAAATCTGAACTTATAAAAATCATCTAGACTAACGTTTCAGCTTCTATCAGGATACACCGTATCAATAACACAGATTTTAAAGACATGAAAGAAGCTCTGCATGGGGCAGAAACATATCAGATTTGGAATATAATTTCGTATATGTTTAGCAAATAAAAAACATTTGAAACCGTGAAATAAAAGAAACCACAAATATCAGAGAAATAACACTTATCCTAATTGAATGCATTCTAATCATTGATTTAGCATATGAAGTATCTTGAGTATTATGATAAAATCGATCCGGCTCTTGAGATTGATTTCCTTTAATTTGATGATATCTACGAGTAAATATTATTTCTTCAGTTGCGTCACCGAGCGGAACTACGTCAAAAATTGTATGTGATGATTCTGCTTTTCTATTATACGTCTTAAAGTCTGGCATCCCCTGTACGTTGTTGATACAGTGCATGCTCATCATGGCTTTATTAACCTCATTGAAGGCATGGGGCCCACTTTATGGTGGGAGGCCTTTTTTTTGGTTTAAACTTCATGTTGCTTAGAAAATTGCCACGTTAATAGTTGATTCATTATAAGAAAGAACTCTCCTAGACGTATTTCCCAAAATTCAGAATTTGGTAGAAAAACTCAGCCAAAATACTCGAGTACATGTGATATTCCTAGTTTTCAGAGAAAAGCAAAAATAATAGCTATCAAAAAATACTACAATAATAAACACCTCTTTGGGTCTGAAATCAGCCCACGCGTCCAAAAAAGAAGGGCAAAAACATTTGGGCCTTTTTATAACAATACAATACAATCATCTTTATCGCCATCATCTCTAAAGTTCATCTTCTGACAGTGTGAAAACATTACACATTAACCTTTCTTGATTTTTGTACTGCAAACTCTTTAATGATAACAGATAGATCCAAGTCACACATGACGTCAGATTCTATGGTCATTATCGCTAAATTGGCCTGGTATTGAACCATTGACGTGCCTGGTGACCATCAAGTACAAGATAAATTTTCAAGGCAATCTCGACGTTGGAAAAGGAAGTCTGCTAGCATTTGGACATGATTAACCTGAGCAAGAAGAACTTGCAGCCAATGTCGTCTGGTTTGTCATGTTCGAAGAATTTGGCATATGCAACATACTGACATAATTCGCCTTCAAGGAAGTTATCAAAATCAACACAGATTCAGGATGGGCAAGTACGAGTTTTCAGCGTGATTCCTTTGAATTCTTTTGGGGACATCTCTGATAGGTGACCTAAAAAGTTAAAACGTGCTGAAATAACATGGTAGGCTAACAGGCATTAATCAAGGAGAGTGATAGATTTATCAACAATTGACAGGAAACTTTCCAAATTCCAAAAGTAAAAGAAATGATATGGATAAATTTTCCACACCTTTAAGAACCAGGCGGTCACATAGCCATAGTCCCTGGAACTGTTCGTTGTTTAGAGCTAGTATTATTGTTAGCATGAGCTCCGTTTTCGTCGCTTGTATCATAAGTTACATTTATCAAAACTAAATCAAGTTTTAGTGACAACGCCAAAGTTTTCAACATTTTGAACATCAACTATTTGTTTGCTGTGGATTGTTAATCCACAACAGATCGGAGCAGCTGTTGTTACTCTAAATTTTTTAGTAATCCAACCCTGTATGGCTTCTACGCTAAGGCCTGAGCTCTTTAGTTATTAATTTATTGTGCAATAAATCAAAAATGAAATATTTGTATGTTACCTTATTCAATTGAAATACATTTTCGATAAAAATATATTTGTAAGTCGTAAATGTAAATACGCTTTCTTTTATGTTGGTGCTTCAAAATACCACAAAACTCACTCAATTTTAACTGACGTTTTCAATAGTTAAGGTATCGTTATTAGTTTTTAATAGAACTATCATTGCATTGCTTTCAACTATTTATCTTAATTGTATTAGTAAAATCACAAATCACGAATATCCCTGAAAGCATACGTTTACTTATAATCAAACTGCCGAAAAACGCGATTTGAAGAAATTGAAACCACAATGTTTATAATGGCACTTATTGATGGAAAATTGCTCAAAACTATGTGTCGACCAAATATTTCTGTACTGAAACGCCTCTTCTTCATCATGCAAGAAAAATTGAATGCAAGAGAAACGGGTCTTTGTTTACAGAAAAATTTATTAATTAACCAAATCGTGATGTGAGAACGCGTACTACATAATGGTATACATTCAATACGTGCAAGTTACCAATTAAACAACAAACTTTTATGATCAATGTTATTGTCCGTAATATCTGTTTCACTTAAAGTTACGCAAATAGTCTCCTGCTATCCATGAAAAATCAGCCATCCCTCCAGTATAGGTTTTCAACAAAGCATTGGCATTATACAATTGCTTTTGCGTTTGATTTTGAATGAACCGATGCTGATATGGAGTTTGACTCTTGTCATGGAACACAAGGAAGAACACGCCGTCGTTCATTCCGTACTGTAGGCGTCCATCAATTTTCAATTCCTGAGGTTTTTCGTAACCACTTTGGATGTACACTGGAACCAAGCCTCCGTTGGGAGTTTCATAATTGAAAATGTCGTAACTTTGTGACCGGTCTCCACCAACTCCCAGGATAGCGCCTTGCTTCCAATGTATGGTCACGTTTTCGACGAAATCTTTCTTGGTTAATGTTATTCCACGAAGTGCATCCATTTTCTTTAAATGAACAGGAAATGTTTCTAAAATGCGTTAACAAAATAACTCGTTATGGCCGCGTATAATCACGATGGTTATATCGACGGACGTTGATTTTGGTTAAGTTAATGGAATCATTGGAAGGTGGACTGTCGAGGCGATGAAACAATAATATGCCAGAAATTTACTTTATAATGCAATAGCTATATCCAATAGGCAAGATGTTTTACATTTGACAGTTGAAATTTTGGATTTCAAGTCCCAATATATGCATCAACTATACACTACATTTATAGAAGATTCCATGTGATGTGTAAACATACATTCAAGCAAGAAAACGTTGTGTTCAAGCATTGTACTCACCGTTTTTGACTTTAGCGGAGAAGGATCAGAAATGTTTCCCGATACCCCAGCAAACTAGAATTTATAACTGGCTGACGCCAGGAAGTTTTGCATAAGTGGCCCCTCACTAACATTGGCATCATGAGATTGATTCGTGTGCAATAACGAAAAAGTTCCTTTGCTATTCTTAGATTATGCAAACACAAATACATCGTGTTCCTGATAAGCCTTTATATTATCCGAGGTCAATATCTTTACAGAGAAATATCGAACGGAAGTTTTTTTGTACTGAAAGAGCCTGTATGACAATCCATCGCAACCACTCAACATGTCTTTGAGCAACACAGTCTCATGGCAATTTGGCTTTAACATGAATGACAATGATTTCAATCATATGTTAGTTATACAAATAGATCATTTTTTAAGTTTACATGCATTTAGCTCATTTGTATTTAAGAGATCTGTGCCAATAACGTAAAAGTTCCTCAGCTATTCTTAGATTATGGAACACAAATACATCGTGTATGCAACTGTCGCTATCTTCATCAAGTATTTTCTGTCGGAAATCTTTGTATTTTTTCAGATCTGTCGGTTGGCAGTTAGTTATATACCTGTTTGACGCCGTTCGGTAACCTCCGTCGAGGCCCTCTAAGCGTTGAGGTAGGGTTGAAATACCACACGATTGCTGATACGTAGTATTCATCTTTTCCTTGTGGAATATCAAAAGAAATTTATTCTGTAGAAGGAATCCGGTTGTATCCACATATATTTACTATATTTTCAAACGCCATCTTAGTCTTAACAGACCCACTCTTATCCCCCATACTTCCCTTTATTTTGGCTTCTGCTTCCTTTACATAATTTCTGTCGGAGTCCACTTTAACAAACACATCGTTGAACGTACTGTTTGCTATTTTAATGCTGTAGTTACTACCCATTTTTAACACTTTTTGGGAATGTTGTAGCAGACGACCACTTTTATAGATAGCTATCGCGTAAAAAATAACCCACTTAGCGTAAATAATCGCCAACGAACAATCAGTGCGTCTTTTTGTTTGCAATATCTAAGAATAGTACAGGAACTTTTTTATGATTGACAATGATTTCAATCATAAGTTAGTTATACAAATAGATCATGTTTTCAAGTTTGTATGCATTTAGCTAATTTGTATTTAAGAGATCTGTGCCAATAACGTAAAAGTTCCTCAGCTATTCTTAGATTATGCAAACACAAATACATCGTGTTCCTGATAAGCCCTTATATTAACTGAGGTCAATGTCCTTACAGAGAAATATCGAACGGAAGTTTTTTTTGTATATACAGAGCCTGTATGACAATCCATCGCAACCACTCAACATGTCTTTGAGCAACACAGTCTCATGGCAATTTGGCTTTAACATGAATGACAATGAATCAATCATATGTTAGTTATACAAATAGATCATGTTTTCAGGTTTGCATGCATTTAGCTAATTTGTATTTAAGAGATCTGTGCCAATAACGTAAAAGTTCCTCAGCTATTCTTAGATTATGCAAACACAAATATATCGTGTTCCTGATAGGCCCTTATATTAACCGAGGTCAATGTCTTTATAGAGAAATATCGAACGGAAGTTTTTTTGTACTGAAAGAGCTTGTATGACAATCCATCGCAACCACTCAACATGTCTTTGAGCAACACAGTCTCATGGCAATTTGGCTTTAACATGAATGACAATGATTTCAATCATATGTTAGTTATACAAATAGATAATGTTTTTAAGTTTACATGCATTTAGCTCATTTGTATTTAAGAGATCTGTGCCAATAACGTAAAAGTTCCTCAGCTATTCTTAGATTATGCAAACACAAATACATCGTGTATGCAACTGTCGCTATCTTCATCAAGTATTTTCTGTCGGAAATCTTTGTATTTTTTCAGATCTGTCAGTTGGCAGTTAATTATATACCTGTTTGACGTCATTCGGTAACCTCCGTCGAGGCCGTCTAAGCGCTGAGGTAGGGTTGAAATACCACACGATTGCTGATACGTAGTATTCATCTTTTCCTTGTGGAATATCAAAAGAAATTTATTCTGTAGAAGGAATCCTGTTGTATCCACATATATTTACTATATTTTCAAACGCCATCTTAGTCATAACAGACCCACTCTTATCCCCCATACTTCCCTTTATTTTGGCTTCTGCTTCCTTTACATAATTTCTGTCGGAGTTCACTTTAACAAACACATCGTTGAACGTACTGTTTGCTATTTTAATGCTGTAGTTACTGCCCATTTTTAACACTTTTTGGGAATGTTGTAGCAGACGACCACTTTTATAGATAGCTATCGCATGAGAAAAAACTCACTTAGCATAAATAATCGCCAATGAGTAATCAGTGCGTCTTTTTGTTTGCAATATTTAAGAATAGTACAGGAGCATTTTAACATGAATGGCAATGATTTCAATCATATGTTAGTTATACAAATAGATCATGTTTTCAAGTTTGTATGCATTTAGCTAATTTGTATTTAAGAGATCTGTGCCAATAACGTAAAAGTTCCTCAGCTATTCTTACATTATGCAAACATAAATACATCGCGTTCTTGATAAGCCCTTATATTAACTGAGGTCAATATCTTTACTGAGAAATATCGAGCGGAAGTTTTTTTGTACAGAGAGAGCCTGTATAACAATTCATCGCAAACACTCAACATGTCTTTGAACAACACAGTCTCACGGCAATTTTAGCTTCGGAAGAAGAGCCAAGACGAAAACCAAAAACGGGAAAAGGGACACATATTCGATGAATAAAGGTTAGTTTTTATCCATCACTTTGAACTGATTCAACTGAACAGTAGCAGTTGGATTGGACACATTACGATTTTTTACCGTGTGTATAGCAACAAAATGTCTCCATTTATACACCAATACTGTTGATTCGTCTTTGTAGACAATCCATGAAAATTGTTTTTATCATGGAACTGTTACTGGTGCAGAAAATTTTCATGTTTCTTTGAGTACTTGTGATGGAATAGAGTAAGTAAATTGTTTTTGACCAGTGATTAGATAGCAAAAATTACATGGTGAAATAAAGTAGCCTTAGTACTTTTTATTCTATTTTCCTGTTGTTTTAGAAGAATTATCACAACAAATAGTGGAACGTATTTTATTCGACCTTTAAAATCTTAAGATAGCTATGTAAGCCATTTCAAAGCTTTATAAAACTAGGGAGGGGTGGAAAAATTTTCGAGGAAATCGGGAATTTTTTTAAAAACATGTAGCCAGATATTTTTCATTGTGCCAATTACATTCTTTAGTTTTACTTTCTGAAAATTGCATCAAGTAACGAATGTGATTTTCTAACTATATTATCGGATAGAAGTTTTGCTTCGGAAAGAAGTACATTAATTGTGTTGTTTAAACTAAGAGCTCATGAAGAAAACTGTCCCACAAAAAAAAACTTTATACAATAAATTGGCAGCTCAAATAATATATGCCATGACAAATTAGCTAAAATGTTCGTAAAATATTTCGTTTAAAATATTTTCAACTATCTATTCAATGTTTTTGTCTGTAGAAAGTCATATTTTGTTCAATACAGAAGATCTGAAATTTAATGAGGTTACCTGTGGTATGTGTGTTATTACTATTATCACTTAGTAACATTTACAACGCTTTGCACTTGTTTTTCTTTATTTTTAGGACATAGTTTGCATAGAGCAACTCCATTGAAAAATATAATGCATGTATTTATAAACGTTCAAATGACTTAAAAACAAGGGTGACTTGTCAATGATTTTTTTAGAAGCGACTCTAGGACTGATTTAATTTGCCGATATCTATATATATATATATTTTATATAATTTTTAGTTTAGAAGAAATGTATAGAGCGAAACAAAATATGTGGAGTTTTTCGTCGTAAACTATCGTACGTAGGTAGATCTTATAGTTCATTCGGGTGAACAAACATTAAACTCTTGAAAAAAACTCAAATCAACTGATTAAGATATCTATATATTTTTTCGTTATAAAGCCTAAGTTTCCAATCTTGCATGATTTTTGCTATGAAGTCCTGCCAGCTTTTACATTATCATTAATACTCGCCATCGAAATTTTATCTTAGTTATTTAACCATGTGCATGTTCAAAAAAGTCGCAATATTTGATTTTTACTCACGAAATAGAGTTAAAATAATAAAATTTACATAAATGTTCGAGATTGGGTGTGGTGGGAAAGTAGTTGAGGAAATCAAAATTTTTTTATAAAATAAAATCATGTAGTTTTTTTATGTTGTCAACACGTTTTTTAGTTTTACTGTGAAAATTGTGGAAAGTGATGAATGTGAGTTTCTAAGTTCGTTATTGCACCAAAGTTTTGCAACAGGAAGTACAGATCAGTGCTTTTTGTTGTTGTTATGTTTACACAACCAAAAAAGTAGGCCTGGTGGTACCCCTTTCCGAAAATTGGGAGGAGGCTGTCTTTTGTGGAAGCTAATGTCAGAGATTTTGGAGCCTCTTACCGTGAGGGTTTAAAAATTTGTAGGGATCTCCTAGACTAGACAGTCTTCAATATCGTTCCTTCTGCGTTTTCATCAAGCAACTGTACCACTTCCAAATCGGTGGCTACATGCCTAAAAGGATGTAAGTTTAGAGCTTGTAAATTACTATAATGGAACTTGGATATGTTATAAATTCGGGAATTATAAACTATTGCCGTCAAAAAGTTATACACTCATACACTTTTGATGAAGTATACTTCAAATATGTTTGAAGTTTTCTGTGAACACTGGAAAAGAAGTTCTGAATTTTGAAAATTTGAAAAACTTTCTCCGCAAACCATGAGTGTCCAAACTTGGAATTTCGCAAGCTTCTTCACTATCACTATAATTCAAATCATCATCCGACTAAACTTTTTGTGCTCAAAAAAACTCCTTTTCTATTACTACCGATTTGCTTTTTATCATTTTCCAAACAATATGAAATTTTTACAGTTGAATTCATAAAATATTTGTCATATATTTTTCTGTGCGAAGTGTATTTTGAAGGTTGAGAATTTTAGAAGTAGCTCTTTAGGAAAAACTAAAACCATTTTAGTTAAATAAATAAATAAACATGCATTTAAAAAAACAGTCTTAGCTTTTCAAACAATAAAATCATCTCACATCTCCACAATTTTTTAATTAAAGTAATTCAACAATTAAAGTTGTTTTATAGTATGAAAATATGGAGGAAATGTTACATTACGAACAAAATATCTGGTGAACCATCTAGACTCGGTAAATTATTGAATTTGCATGACACTAAAAAGATTGTGCAAAATACATGAGTCAGGTTGTGCAAAATGCGTGAGTCAGGTTTTGCAAAATCCATGAGTCAGGTTGTTTCGTATGAACATTCATTATACAGATCTATCGTGTCCATAATATACGAATTGCCTTAGTCAGAGTTGAAACATTAATGGATGAAATTATCGCCCTGATGGGACTAAATGAGTCAAATCTGAATAACATCTTAGCATACACAGAAAATAAATATGCTAAAGGCAAAGGCAATGTTCAACTTATCACGTACCTGTGAAATGATCGAGACCATGATCAGTGAACTTTTCAATACGAATATATATATTTTTAATGTTCAAATAGAGGAATATGCAATTGATCGCCATATGCGAGTTTTGCAGAAAAAACGGGCATTTGTAGTCGAAGATCAGCCGCTGTTGTGCAGGTAATAATTTGAATTATTTATAAAATAATAGTGAAATTATTACAACACATCAACCTACAGTAATAATGTAATCCATTTCTTTTTACTTAAGGACTATCATGATCTAGCGGCAGTGACTGCAGGAGCTATGGCGCACGCAGTGGGAATTAATTTTGGAATGACTGTTAACAAACCCAGTATGTTCTACACAAAAAAATTCTGCATAGCCCCTTCCCTTGTCACAAAAGGTACATTCTGCATTATGTATCGTCACAAGACAAGGTAACTGCAAGAGTACAACAGCATTTGCAATTTCTTTAAAACCATACATCAGAGGATACTTCTGATGTATAGTCGGGCCATCACCACCTTCATTAAACAATTACTATGTGACACATAGCAATGTGATGTATGAATCTAAACGTATAACAATTTACACGCGAGATACAACATTTGTTCGCACATTTTACCAAGGTAAGCTCAACTCATATGAATGCAAATACAAATTGGCAATCTAGTCTTAACCGGCTGGCACGTATGATATGAACAGGCCCTTATTAGTCCATGTTTCAATTTGTGGTAACCCAAGATTCCCTTGTAATGTTTATAAAATTTTTGCAATCTTTGTTTTGCTAGAGCACCTTCCACAAAATTCTCATCATGTAGTCTAAATCAGTTAAAAAGTATCTTGGAAAATGGCTATGCAGATCGTATTTTTAATGAGCCAGATGAGGTATATAACGTCCAATTCAATTTATCAACGAACCTTACTAAACATATAGTTTTTCTTTTATGACAATATATCAATGTTTGCAATGTTTAAGATTTACGGTGGTGTTCTTTGTGGTAATGGTTTTGTTAAAGAGGGGGAACAGTGTGATTGTGAACTCAAACGGTGAATGAATTTTTTTACATGCTTTCGTCAAGATTATGTTGTGTTATCAATGTCGTCATACGAATGACGCTATAGGAATGTGAAAAATTTGGAAACAAATGTTGCAATTCTACCACTCGGATGCTTCATCCTGATGCGTTGTGCGCTCATGGCGAGTGTTTTGATAGAATTCGCAGTCGGGTTTGTCGCCTGTGAACTTTATTGAATTGTAGCAGTTATTAAACATTTAAGAAACAAAAGAGGTTTACTGTGTTTGCACAGGCCTATGAAAATCGAAGAAACCTTTGGGAGAGCTCGAGAGCAGATCAGTGCAAGCCCGAGGACGGAAGGTCGAGGGTTACCCATGCTCGAGAGTTCTCACAAACGTCTCCGAGATTTGCATTATCCAGTGCAAACACGAAAAACATCTTTTATTTCTTTTATAAAATAACAATAATGCGAAGCAGACAAATTTAAAATAAACGTTTAAGTTTTTCTTCTAAAATGTATTCATGATCAATTTGCAAATTCTCTTTGACTGATTGATTGTTAATTTGTTATGATTGATTTGATTGGTTGAGCTCAGATGTGTTTTGCACAAGCTAATGCAAACACAGCTCTAAACCAACCAGCGCACGCGTTTCATTGTGTTTATTTTATAAATAGAGATGAAGACATTGTTTAGTGTAAATCTTTTTTCAAAAGTTGAAACCTCGAGGGACTTTCTGTCGTAAGAAAACAGATGACTGCGATCTTAGAGAATATTGCACTGGTGATATTGGAATGATGAGTTGCACTATATCATTCACGATTAGTTTATGCTTGGGTGAGACCAAGGTCGAATGCAAGATTTTGCGATAATATAGTTGGGTCTTATGTATATATTTTAGTGTCCTACAGATCACTATTTCTACAATGGTTTACCTTGCAAAGACAATGAAGTGAGTTCGTTTGATGAGTAAGATATAAGACTCGTCCAATGTATATATAAAAAACTTAAAAGTGCCTATGAAATGAAAATTTGGCAACTTAAATTATGTTTGAAATGAGTAGAACTTTTGAAATGACAGTTTACTTTCTAAAACAGTTAAGGCAAATCTCTTTTTAGTCTCGTGATTTTGACGTTTTTGTTACAATTTATACAACTTGTGACGTCATTTTGCATAATGATTCCCACAATGTTTCCAATACTCTTCAGTTTCCTGACAACTTTAGGTTAATACTAAAAGGCAGCATATTATACCATTGCCCACGTCACAATGAAGGGAATTCCGTCCTTCTGAATTAAAGTATCAGTAAATATATAAACGTATGCGAACACATTCGATAGAAAGTCGTATTGCATGTAGGTTATATGTCTCTTTCTGTGAATTTTATTCTTCTTTTTTGATGAGTTTTTTCACTATCAACAATAGTACTCCAATGTTATTTTTGAATGATGGAATAAATTTACAGTATGTTCAAGATGGTACAAAATGTGCTGAAGGAAAGACACGTTTCCAGACACGTTTTTGGGATTCGCACGGCTTTAATGTGTGAAAAAGAGCTCGCGAGGCGAACAACAATTGGGAAAATTACGGGAAGCTTCACACACGTAATCGGCTGGTAAAAGCCACTCAAATGCGCGATGCCCACGCACGTCACGTGACATTCAATTTATAAAATACCATATAGTTCATGTTGATGCCACTTGGTTTTTTATAATATTGTAATATGAATATATGGTCAAAAAACTCCACTGATGCAACATAACAATGAAGTATTTCAACAACATCAGTGTTTAATGAAAACATTGTCCAACAGTTCAGAGCATCAAAGCGCATGGGTACGAGGCTGATATCTAGCTATGTTGATGAGTAAATAATTTTTGTAGGTAGACTACAAAAATATGTACGCCGAGCGTAAATGGGGGTAGACTGAATTGACAATGAGATGTACTTGACGCTTCCAATCGCTTGAAGGATTCATTTATATGACATTTTGAGTGATTGTTTTAAACTACTGTCAGTGAAACAGATGTGGGTTATTGTAATCTTTTATGGTCATAGCATTAGAAGTATCGTTACAAGGAAACTTTCCGTTAGTATGTTTTGTTGAAAGTGGTTAAAAGTACATAATCTAAGTTTTTCGTTTATTTGCACATCAAGTCCGAACATAGATGTAGCTTTTTGGTGGGTCGGCCGTTTTCTACTTTTTTGCAGTAAAACATAGTGGTAAGCCCCAACAGCTACGCACAAAAAAAAAGTAGAAAAAGAACGGCCAACCGACAATGTTCGAACAATGTATTGGATGTATCTCTTTGACGAGGACAAGATTCAAATCTTGTCTCTTGACGAAAAAGTGTGTCCATTTAGCGTTGACGTATACGCGTTATTTCATATGTGCTTTGTGGACATATCGTTACAGGGAAAAGTTTTCAACAAACGAGCTAAAGTATAATTGACATGAACACTTTCATAATTTTTTCCTAGTGTCGTTCTCTTCAACTAAAGACTTTAGCGTTATGGGCGTTATTGTTGGTGCCTCAACAGCTGTCTTATTTCTTGTTGTCATTGTTTCTGTTATTTGCTTCTGTAAATCAAAACAAAGTAAGAGAATACTATTTTTATTTCTTTAATTAGTGGCATCATCGTGCCTTTTAAAATATTATTCATACTAAACCTTATCAAAATTATGTTAAAATTCGTACTAATATATTCGTTCATGGAGTCAGAGAAGAACAGCCTCAGACCAATTTATTTTTTTACTTTGATCTAATTCATCTTACATTTTACACAACAACGACATTCTGGCCATTGCTTTTGACCTTCTTTTGTTTTTCTGGTGGAATTAAACTTAAACTTATATCAAATGGTTTTGCTTCCCGCTTTTAGGAAATATTTGTTCCTGCAACAGTAAAAAGTTACAGACTCACGATTTTATGTTTTAATCTGATGAGTGCGCCATTATTCATGACGTTTCCCTCAGGCGCTGGTCAAAATTCATTGTGGGCTCGTTTCTTCTCATGAAATAAACTTAGAACATGGCGGCTAAAGAATTTGATTATTTGAATACAAGTGAGGCAAAAAATGTTGTTGAAATCATCTCTCAAGTAAATCCAAGATGTCCAACATGCGGAATCGTGTTAAGCAGCCTTTAAACTATAAATTTATCACAAAAATGAATTGTCCCAAAAACCGTAAGTGTTAGCCCATTTAACTACGTCTATCTGCGTGACTAATGGTCCACTTCAACAATCTTTGAGTAACACTGAAGACAGTTGTGAATCTTAGCTTCAGTTTTACTACAGGTAATAGCCTTTCCTTAAATACTACTGTATGCAAAATACCTTTTATAAGATCATAAATTCCCTCCACATAGATTTCTAATGAACTATCTATCACTAGCTTTGGTGTCTCAACAAGCATATCACTTTCTTTTATGCCTTGTCAAGCATAGTATTTTATTGTTACCGAGTTGTGCACGGACACCATATTATAAATATTGAAAATTCGTGCCATTTATGAACTAGATACTTTTCTTCTTATCTAATCGTTGTCTAACGTTTAAATTCTCCTATTTCTTTGATTGCCCTTTCTGACTTCAGCATGTGTTCTCTTTCGCGGTTTGCAAACTGTCACAATGTTTTTGCCTGTTGTAGGAAGCTCAGCTTTAAAAGTTACTTTTTGAAACTAGTTCCAGTTCTTATAGTATCAGTTAGCTCAGTGCAGCATGTAGCTAGTTACTCATAGAGTTACGGTAAAATGTTACAAATTTGTAAATGTAGATTGTCCAGGTTGGTATAGTCCTGAGAAGGATTGTTTTTGTTTTTGTTGACTGACGTTTCGACAACCTTAGCGGTAGTCATCTTCAGAGTCAAAAAAAAAAAAAATTCAAACCATTTACTTTAAAATGTTACAAAGTCAATTAATTGTAACTTCGTTGCATGTAACGAATTTTTTACAGCATTGACTCCAGGCAATTGGTTACTTCATGATTGCTTCAAAAAAAGAAAAACATTTGCTTTGCTGGCAAATGGTTTTTGGGTGAATGAAAATTCAAATTGCACCTTTGTTTTCTGGTTCAAAATCGACAGGAAGAAATACGCATTGGCTGATCAGAAATCATTCTCTGATATTCTGCTTTTAAAGCTGCATCTTTTATAATTTTTCCTGTCACTGATCGCAAGCGCTTCATATATTTTGTCTCGTATGCATGTTTGACTTGAATCTTCCGTCTTCGTCACGAACGATTAAGGATTATTCCTCTCCCAATTTTCTCTCCGCGATATTCTACTCCAAACAGTAAAACATCTGATAATTGATCACAATCCAGTTGTAAATATACCTTCGTCATTTGAACCATCCAACAAAAATTTGTCCTTTCAACAGCAGGTTTTCGTAATTCTCCTTTACATATTGACTCAATACTCATGCGAAAAAAATAACTGTCCCCGATTGAAATTTGTGTAGAATATTCATGACATAAGAATAGTCTGTCCTTGGTGTGATGAAGCTTCTGGCTAGGATCATCTAGGAATGAGGTGCGAACGATTGATTGTTGTAAATTGGGCAATTCAGCTTCAATACTTTCTCTAACATTTTTAAATGAGTTAGACTATCTCAATCTTAAAGATTGCACCACTTCTTTAAATCACTGATAGTGACTGTATGTCGTACTTCATGATAAGATGAGACTATACCTCATCTCGTTATGATTTTGTAATGTCACCTTCATGTATAAAATTCTCCCTGACCCGATATCATAAACATATATGAGAAATGTCACATCCTACCTCCTACCTTTGCCAACAAATTTATACCAGTGCCGCGCTTTGAATGAGCTTTCTTCATCTCCATTCACTTATAGGCATGTTTCTCGAAAAGCTCTGCAGGTTTGACTTTCCTCTATCTTTACATTTTCTGGCTATCAGCGTCCTCTAGCCACTCAGAAAAACAGAAGTACTGTCTTCGCAGGCGAATGTCTGAATTCTTCAATTGTATCTCGCTAAGTAAGAAATGAAGAAACCGAAAATTTTCGTTTGGGCAGGTGTTGGCGAAACGTGTCCATATTCTGGTAATTTCTTCTACAAAATTAGACTTTTTATGTCACTCCAATCCATCGTCAACAAGACTCGTGTTTTCTTTCTTAGATTTTTTAATAAAGATCCGAAAAGATCACATGTTAAAATTTACAAAAACTCACTTGATGAAAATTCAGAGTATAACTAGAACAGAAAATATATTTAAGATTTCAATGTTGGCAGCCTGTTGTTTTTATATCTTGCAGAAAAGACCGTTGATAAAGAGCTAGCTGCTTCTCACTGCAAACAGTTAGGCATAAGCTGCAAAGCTGGCTGTCTGGCAGCTGAAATCGCTTACATACAATAAAAATATATTGTAACCATCTTTGCTTTGGACTGGAATCGACCGCCATCTCTTCTAAAAAGTCTTCCGCGGACTTTAAATTTCAAACGTTACGTCGTTAAAGAAATAATCAAACATTACGTCTTTCTAAGCGGAGATAAAAAGGACGTTAAATTTGTGCCTTGACTCCCAGCCGGTTACACTCTGCGTTTTAAAAACCGTTCTTAAAAACCTCTCTAACGTTCATCATTAATTTGGTTCTGAAAGAATGCACGTGCATCTATTTCTTTCCTTTGGAAGAACGAACTGCATCTATTGATTCTCTTCCGATTCGAGAACTATTTGGCAGGTTCTTGGGCCTTCCGGACAAAAGTACTCCATTTATGGGAAACGTTTGTTCCGTACCGGAACTCCATATGAACAATTGTGCTTTGCATCTGCGTACAGGAACCAAATATTCAATGTCCACATCCCTCATCAATATAAACATTAAATGTAATTTATGTTTCACTTCTAACTAACGAAAATGGGTTCTTTGTATCGACTTAGTGATTTCTATGTGTTTTCGATTTTCTTGATCTTGGCACACCAATGTGGTTGGTATACTTTTGCGCATGGATGTTGTGTCTATTATTGTTTTTAGTTTATACGTAGTTTCCTATTTGACATAAGACATCATCATATTGCATTAGATTTTACGTGTTTTCCTGTTTCTTGTCGCTCGATGTAAGTGTGTTTGTATTTAATAAATTCTTCAATTCCTCTATCTCTGAGTTCAATGGTACGTTATTTCCCCAATATTTCCCAATTTTTACATTACTTCAGTTAAGTTTATGTTAAATGACAACGAAAACGTTGTGTAAAAATGCTGAGTGAACGTTCAAGTTGTGAACTTGAGTGTATTGCTCCAGTAGAAGTGGTCGTGGCTTGCTATTTTTTGTACCACTCTATCCTTAAGATATGATATGTTTGTTTCCATTTAGATGCAAATTTAGCCGAAAAGATTCGTAATAGCAATGATAGATTATTGAGAAATGTGCAATCTTACGAAATGGTACAACCTTACCTTCTTAATGGGGGTAGAGCCAAACGAGATATTTCAACCAAACTGTCGGTGCGTATTTCTCGTCTTAAATTGAAGCCTGCATTCGTGATCCTTGTTTTATTGTCTGAACACGTTGTACACGTCGCTGACGACCCTGAACGTCGCGCTCGGCGTAGGATCATTTGTTCATTAATGTTTGCTGATCACTTTTGACGTTTTTCTCAAGCAAGTCAAGTTTATTTACATATGCTTTACGAAACTTTGTAGTTTTACTTGACCGCAGTTTCATAAAATGCGATAGTTCGATTAATCAAATCTTCGCTACTTCTTTTTCGCAGGATGAGGATGGCCATATGAAAGACGTAACAATTGTTCTCCCTGGAACAAAAACGCATTTTAAATTGGACTTGTCCTTAAAAAGGTAAATGTACTTTGTACAAAACCTTGCAAATCTTTAGTTTTGTTGTTTTAATCCCAGGGTATGTAATGTATACCATGGAGATTTGCATCAAAGCTCACAGAGCATGTGCGTGACATTATTGTCATATTACAAAATGACAACTATGTCAAAGTTAGAAAACACGAATTTTAGTGGAAATCAATACATTCAAATTTAAGTATAATGAACCCACTACGCATATTTTAGAAGACCCAAGTTTTGACATGTTTATATATTTTGAAAACCATGTTAAAACATGTTTTAATAGTGATTTGTTTGGTCCTAACTTTGAAGAACGTTTTGTTACAAAGGATGGATCACGACTGGCAAAAGTAAATTCTTTTGATGACTATTTTACTAAAAATACAAATGTGTCCATTTATACATAAATATATTGTCAATTTGCCTTTGCAGACCACCCATGAAAATTGTTTTTACCAAGGAACTGTTGCTGGTGCAGAAAATTCTGATGTTTCTTTGAGTACTTGTGATGGAATAGAGTAAGTAAATTGTTTTTGACCAGTGATTAGATAGCGAAAATTACATGGTGAAATAATGAGTTAAAATAAAGTAACATCATCATTTTGTATATTATATTTTTTTGTGTTGTTTAGAGGAATCATCAAAACAAATAGTGGAACATACTTCATTCAACCTTTGAAATCTCATGATAGCCATGTAAGCAATGTCAAATGCTCTAAGCTATACTAAACTAGTTTTACCTAAGAGGTCAGAAAACTGTTGCACGAAAGAAACATTTCTATGTGTTTTTTCCTAGCAACTTACCTTAGCAACTTACAAATTAGTGATATTAATGTTTTAGTGAAGTTTTTAACTATTTACTTTGTTTTAGTCTGTAGAAAGTCATATTTTGTTCAATGCAGATGATTTGAAGCTTAATGAGGTTACTTGTGGTATGTATGTTATGAATGTTATTACTTTATTAGCTTTTATGATGCTTCAGACTCCTTTTTCTTTATCTTTAGGACATAGTTTGCATAGAACAACTCCAGGGAAAAATATAAAGCATGTATTTAAACGTTCAAGTGACTTCCAAACAAGGGTATGTGAGTTTTCATTGAATGGGATTGGTTTAATGATTTTGGGCTGATTTTGATTGATCGTTTATTTTCAAGTTTAAAAGAGATGTTTTGAGTGAAACGAAATATGTGGAGTTTTTTGTCATAAATGATCGCAAACAGGTAAGTCTTATGGTATATTCTGGTATGTACTAAAATTGATCAACTGATGAGTATTTTCTTCTCTGCTAAGCTATCTAGCAAGCATCTGGCGAACTTCCTTTATTATCACTAATTCAAATCAACATTCAGCTGAACATATGTGTGTTCAAAAAATCTTTCTTTGTGCTATTCTATTTACTTTTTGACATTTTTGAGAAATGTGAAAACCTTACCATTAAGATATTTGGCAAATAAACGTTAGAAGTATTTATTAAGGAACTAAAAAAAAACCAAGCTTAGGTTCAATACAATCAATTCATCTCACACCTCCACAAGATAATAATTAAAGTCATTTTAACAATGAAACTTGTTTTGTAGCATGATAAATATGGAGAGAATGTTACATTACGAACAAAAACTCTGGTGAATCATCTAGACTCAGTAAGTTTATGGAATTTGTATGACACTAAAGAATTATTACTATTCAATCTTTCTAGATAAAAAGCAGTTAGTCTACAAGATGCATGAGGCAGGTTGTACAAAATGTCTAACATGGCCATTATTTTTGCAGATATACCGTGTCCATAATATACGAATTGCCTTGGTGAGGGTTGATACATTAGTGGATGAAACTATCATTTGGACGGGAATGAATGCCTCAATTGGTCTGAAAAACTTCGAAGCATATATAAAAAACAAATATGCTAAAGACAAAGGCAAACATTTTGACAATGCGCAACTTATCACGTAAGTGTGAAATTATGGAGACTATGATCAGTGAACTTTTCATAACAAATCATGTTTTTCTAAATGTTTAAATAGAGGTGAAGATTTCAAAGGAACAACTGTGGGCTATGCACCCATACAGACTATTTGTGATTATCAAAGATCAGCAGCTGTTGTGCAGGTTGTTATTTCAATATTTTATATAATATTTGAATTATTTGCGTGATATGACTGCATCATATCAAGAATAGAGCCAGGATAATATAAATCTTTTTTGGGGGGTGGGTTACATGGTAGTTTTGATTAGATTTTTGGTGGCAAATTTGGATGTTGCTGTGTTGATGTCAAACATTTTCAAAACTATTTTGTTCTGATCCCATGGTTGGAAGATATATTTTGGAAGTGTGCTTCATTAAACCCAAGTCAGAATTGCTTTTGCTTAAATACTTAGTATGTATATAAGTATTTTGTATCGAAGTTGGCACCACTTGTGCAGCTCCTTTAACCCAGGCTAGTAGGGTGCATCCTTTTCCTCGCCCCCTATTAAACCCTTTCCTGCATCATATCAACCTATAGAATACTGATGAATCTATTTCTTTTCATATTAGGACTGGGATGACCTGGCTGCAGTGACTGCAGCAACTATGGCACATGAACTGGGACATAATTTTGGAATGCATCATGACCAAACTAGTATGTTGTCTACATAAAATAACATTCTGCATTATCCCTCCTCTCCCCCTCCTGTTGACAAAATTATTGATGATCCACAAGAAAAAATACTCATTGTTTGCATTTATCTGACCCTCTGTTGCAGAAACACAGCTAAATTTCCCTCCTTTGTTATTTAACTTAAATATTCTTTTTTGTTTATTTTCAGATTGTGAATGTCCGGAGGAAGAAGGCACAGTCTGCATCATGAGTGCTACACTGACACGGTAAATGCATTAGTATTGTAGCATTTGTGTCGTTTCTATGAAATCATCTTTTCCAGCTGACCTTTTGACTTTATGCTGACCCCTCCCCCTTTCCCCCAGTAAATTTCTGAAATTGTTGAAGAGAATTTTAAAATCTACATTTTTCCTGAAAATCCCTCAAAACGTAATCGCATATTTGGATCAACTCCCATCCCAACTCCACCCCCATCCCTACTCTACCCTCTTCCCCACTCCAGCCAATCTTAATTTGGTTCCAAATCCCTGTACTGTCAATTCTCCTTTTTATTAACTGACAGTCAAAACGTCAACAAGTCAAAAGATCGCCGTTTAGTATGGTTATACAATATGTTTTCTTGACTTTCTACTCAAAATGTTTGATTTTGGTATGCTCAATGTTATCCGAAGTTAGGTTGTTTGTTGTTTGATTTTGTGTAAATGCTATTTGGAAATTTACTTAATATTAGTGGGGCTTCCGTACACCAGACAAGCGCTCACTGTACTTCAGGTAGTCGAGGCACTACGACACAACCACCTTAATTTGCTGACGTTAATTTCTATGCGTGTGTTTTGCGAGTACCGTGTTTTGGCAAGGTAGGTTGCTAGTCTTTGGTTTTCAGTGAGAGGCTAGTAGAGTTGCCGATTATTTGTTTAAATGCCCGTAATTTTGGAACATTGATTTTTTGATGCAATATTTCGAACGTACCCTATCGCTGGGGAAGGGAAAGGTGTCATCTCGTATAATATGCAAAATAATTTTCACCCGAGGACGGAAGACGAAAGCTTAGCGTTCTGGCGCGATCATCCAATAATAAAAAAGCTCAGTACATTTCTTCCAATGGATGTTTCTTTTGATCCCTTACACATTTGAAATATAAGAAGTCTAACAGACTTCTTTAATTAAGAAATAAAAGATGTTTACTGTGCACAGGCTTATGCAAACCAAAGAGACTTATGGGAGAACTCGAGAGCAGATCAGTGCAAGCCCGAGACCGAAGGTCGAGGGTTGCACTTGCTTGAGAGTTTCAACGACATCTAATTTAAGAGAGATTTTGTCGTGGTGATAAATTTGAATATCGCCTTAAAAAGAGCAATACACAAAAATGCATACACAGCTGACAAATTTCGTATCTTACACAAATGCAAGTTAAGCCTTAACAGATAGCAGACGTTGACACCTGACGAGTTGTCTGCCGAAATGCACAGTGTCTTAAATTTCGAAAACAGTTTTTTCATAACTTTCGTGTTAGTACTCTTGTTCTAAAACAGTTCTTTTCAGGACTCTTCATCTTTCTCGGTTTTATCTTGGGTTTCGTGGTTTTTATTTGGTTTCAGTCCATTCACCATGGCAGTTGCTCTTTTTAAGGCGATATTCAGATGTATAATTTTTAGTTTCCTACCATACCTCTCTTGAATTCTCTTCTAATTCTTTCCATAACTGTTCGTTTCATCTTTGTTTCAAAATTCAACTTTAGGGTAGAACTTCGGTTGCATTCTTCAGGTTTAATCATAGTTAAATTTCATGAGAGAAAATTAGCATCTTTCCACATGGAATGTTAACACGTTTATTGGCTAAATGCCCTAAAATATTCAATAACGTTTCAATGATAACTTTCCTAAATTGTATTCAACTAGTGTATCGATCTAACATTACTATCTTTCGTTAATGTTTGATTAAAAATCTTTCTCGCCGACTGAAATTGCTATCATTCGAACATATTGAATCGCAGAGCCTATAGCCGCCGACACTCTACAAAGCTTACACTTTGAATTCATTTGTTGCAAAGTGAAAGTTTTTGGCTGTTATGACTGCATTCAAAGAATTTTTGATGTTTTCTTTCAAAAATTTGTTTTTTGTAGTCAAGCTGATTAGTTTTGCGTAATTTGTGACCAGTGCTCTTCATTTTCACACGGAACAAAGTTGGCGCCAATTTTATTGAAAGTCCAACATGGAACCAACATTTTCATATTTTTCAAATATCTCAAATTTTTGCTCAAAAGAACATTTTTCGCCGACGAAGATCAACCGATGGAATAAGAAATACCCTTCTTGTCCCTCATTTTGCCATAATGTTACTTTTCACAAGGATTTTGTACATATTTTTGTGTTAAAACGAGAAAGATGTCGGTCGCACAAGTTTGTTGCCGAAAATATAAATTAAAAATATTCAGCATTGTTTTGCTTCGAAGTATTCAGAATCCAGCAATAAGTAACACACTAAAGTAAAACGGAAAGAAAGACTTACAAACATACAAACTTGCCGTTTTTATACTGACAAGGTCCTCTTGCGAAGCGAACACACTGACGAAGACACGCAGTTGAACGCCAAATTTCACGAAATTCACAGACAAAAAGATTTACAAGTAAAACAATACGTAACTATACACCAAACAAGGCTTTTGTCATCGAATTTATCGACATCTGAAGTACTTTTTTATTAAAAAATTAATAAAAATTTCACTAACCTACCTCAAACCTTTCACTCTCAAGTCTTGGTGTGTGGAAAACTGAGAAGTGATTGATCATTTACGTGTTTTAAGATCATTTGGTGGCCTGATTTCATTGGCTGATTTTGATGTGCTTCCACTTCCACTACTAGTAATGAGCTTCTACCACTTCTACTGAGAACAAGCTTCTTCGAGTAGTCCATCTTTGAACGACAGGCAACTTCTAGGCATTTAGTATTTAGCTAATTGAAATTGTTGGTTTACTAGGAAACCTTCTACGAAATTCTCATCATGCAGTAGAAATCAACTGAAAGAAACCTTGGAGAATGGTTATGGGCAGTGTCTTTTTGATCAGCCAATTAAGGTTATATCCAAAATTCGATTCAATTTATCAACGAACCTTACTAAACGTATCGTTTTTCTTTTATTACAAATTTCCATTTGTCAATGTTTGCAATGTTTTAGATTTACGGCAGTCCCATTTGTGGTAATGGTTTTGTTGAAGAGGGTGAACAGTGTGATTGTGGAACAAAAACGGTGAATGAATCTTTTCACATAATTTCGTCGAGATTATTTCATGTTATCAATGTCGTCATACGTGTATGACGTTATAGGAATGTGACAGATACGGAAACAAATGTTGCAACTCCACAACTTGTATGCTTCATCCTGATGCATTGTGTGCTCATGGCGAGTGTTGTGATAAGAATCGCTGTCAGGTTTGTTGCCTTTGAACTTTATTGAATTAAAACAGTTACTACACAAGTAAAGATGAAGACGTTGTTTGATGTAAATATTTTTTCAACAGTTGAAATCTCGAGGAATTTTATGTCGTGAGAAAACAGATGACTGCGATCTTAGCGAATATTGCACTGGTGATAATGAACTGGTGAGTTGCACTACATCATTCGTGATTAAGTCATTCTTGGCTGAGAGCAACGTTGATTGCAAGATTTGGCGATATAATATAGTTGGTCGTATATATATTTCAGTGTCCTACAGATCATCATGTCCACAACGGTATACCTTGTAAAGACAACGAAGTGAGTTCCTTTGACGAGTGTAAACACGAGTTGTCCATCGTATACATAAAAACCATAAATTTGCCTATGAAAAAAGTGAAAACTAATTGCCATAATTCTTCTCCAACCGATCTTTGATTTCCTCTGTATTCATAGGGATACTGTTATGGGGGTATTTGCAGAAGCCTTAAACTACAATGTCAATTTTTATTTGGCAATGGTAAACTGTTTTTGTATTTTTTAATCTGCTGTGGAATAGTCCAATTACGAAAGTCAAATTTTTGTGATTTTTGCTGGTAGATGTTCAAGAGGCCGATGATCGTTGTTTTCTGAGGAATAAAGATGGTAGCCCGTTTTATCATTGTCTCAATGGAGCACAAGAACAACAAGCCTGCAGGGAAGAGTAAGTGATTTCACTATTTAATAAGTCAAATTCTAACATGCCCTGAATTGGTTTGAAGACGCTACTACGTTTTTTACTGTGTGAGAGATGTGATTTGCGAGTTATGTCCTTAATATCGTACAAACATTGGTGTGCTAAAGCATATCTGTTGTGACAAAGTTGTCGTTCCCATATAAGTAATTTAGATAAAAGTTGTACTTGAAAACAAATCCTGATGTCTTCCGGACTTCCAATTTTTAGGGACGTAAAATGCGGAAGGATTCACTGTCTTTCAAATGATCCTAATCGAAAACCGATTCGCGGGCAGAACAGGGGCTCTTCTTGGCTCACGTTCGATCGAAAATCGTATTGCCTGTAGGTTATATGTCCGTTTCTGTGAAAGTTTTTCTTGTTTTCTGATGGCTTTTTTATTATCAATAACAGTGTTCCTATCGTAACATGGAGTGATGGAATGGATCCACAATATGTACAAAATGGCACAAAATGTGCTGAAGGAAAGGTGAGAATACTACATTTATTAGTTGCTTTCCTGAGCATCGAATTCTGATCAAACTATCATCGTTGAGTTGGCCATAATCACGTGATGTCGCCATTTTGCTGCACGTGCTATAGCACTAACTCTTTTGATTGGTCAAGCTGAGCATTTATTTTGCAGTAGTAAGCAGTGACGTCGATGACATAAAAACGAGGAATTGGGAAAGAACAAACGTAGACCCATTGTTTTCTGATAGAAACTATTAAACTTTTAGATGTGTTATAATGGGAAATGTCTTCCGGTGAATGAAACTATTCCAATGTCAGCCAACGATAAATGTCCTAACTATTGCTCAGGGAACGGTGTAAGTAGTTCAAGGATCATGCAGTTAATCACCAGTAATATTCTCACCAGTTAATCAATAAGATAGTTTTGAGCTGTATTTTTGAATTGGATAAGCTTTTATCCTACATAATTTAATCGTGAAATTTCCGCTAAATGTATTCTTGTGCAACAAACCATTAACGTGAAATAATGAACATTCCAAGGATCGTGGTCTTTCTCTTGATCTTAGATATGTAACAATAAAGGCAACTGTCATTGTTACAATGGTTACGCATGCCCAGACTGTAAGGAACGAGGATCAGGCGGAAGCAGGGATAGCGGTCAAGGCTGCATAATAGCTGGCAAGAAAGGTAATGTGGTCTTTTTAAGATGTGCTTTCTACCGTGCCATAAGTCTAGTTGGCACAAAATAAACCAGCATTGCTTTTCGTTTTTTCCTTGAGTTATGTTGCATACAATACAAAAGCATGTGCCAGATAATTTCCATACGCTGTCGCGATGAAATTAAAAGTTTATAAATTAACAACGATATAACGCGTGCGCTAATTGGTCTAAGCAGAGTTTCCATTAGCTTGTGCAAATGTGGGAGACCAATATGAGCTCAATCAATTAAATCAAAGAGAGTTCGCAAAGCAATCATCTATACGTGTCAGAGGAAAAACCAAAGTGTTTGTTTTAAATTCGTCTGTATTGTTGTTTTATGAAAGAAATAAAAGATGTTTTTCGTGTTTGCAAAGTTTTATGTAATGCTCGAAGCTACCACCTGAGTTGTAAAAAAATAAACATGGATAATAATCTTTGAAAGCTTAAAGTTAATAATGTAAAAAGTTTGTTGTTCAATGATACACATCTTTTGCCACCAAAACTTTTTCACTTTCAATCTGTCTCTCTTTTCTCAGGTGGCGGTGGCGTCAATATTGTCGCAGCTATCCTTATTCCCATTTTCTTGATCATCCTGATCGGAGTAGCTATTCTTGTATACATACAACGACGAACCATACGCGATCGTCTCAGCCATTATAAATTTGTTCGTCGAAACACGTAAGTGTGCGAAATGAAGGGGAAAGGGGAGTGGTGTTACAATTTTTAAGCAAGGGAACTCAATATTAGTTTTATCCTTTAGAAATCCACCATCTCGTAAACCACCTGCCAGACAACCTTCGGGTCTGCACTCTGGTCTTATTTCTAATCCAACGCTCGTCGAGCAGTCCCCAGCCAACAGGAACGAAAGGCCCGCTAACCGACCGATAGGTAAGCTTTCTTTCTCACGATTTAATCCTTTTACGTTCAACGAGTGCCGATGTGTCGTTTTTTTAGTTCCATTGGTGCCAAAAGTGCCATCGTATTCGGAGGTAAATCAGGAGGAACTCGATCAAGGTGTCCAACCCCCACCACCACCTTATAATACGGGTCACAGAACCGTTGCATTGTTCCCACCCAATGCCCCACCAGATGATGTGTTGTACGAGAACACAAAACCAAAACCTGCCCCTCCTGTTCGTCCATTACTAAAGTCAAATTTACCTCGGACACCTTCAGCTCCACCCACATCCATCAATAACAAACCCAAAATTCCACCAGCTCGACCGAACCCTAACTATAAATCTACACCGGACATAACTGCGCCAGAGAAACCCGTCACGCCTAAACGTCCCAAGGTTGTCCCTCCTCGACCTAAACCTCGAGCATTTGCCGATAAAAATCGGTCTGTTCCGGACCACCTTGACGAGATCGAAGATACTGCGCCTACGGCAAAACCAAGAAACGTAGGGCCTCGACGTGGACACCAGTCTGTGCCGTTATTTGATCTTCCCGACAATTCTGAGGACGAAGGTTTTGTTAGACCTTCGGCTGTAAAAGCTAGTCAGGCACGGCCCTTTCCAGCAAAGAGACCAGGGCCGCAAAGAGACCAGGATGACAACGACAAACATCGAGTTGATTTTAGAGCTGGCCTCAGACCTGTTCCAAAACCCTGGGATAAATCGTAAAAAAATATGAGTAGCTTGACACCCTATCTAATGTTTTGATAGTGTATTTTTGTTTGGATACGGAAACTGCGGCCCGTCAATTTCCAAAAAAAACACAGTGAACCAGAATCTAGTTCTCTTCTTTTAGTTAGAAAACTTACTAACAATATTTTGACATTGCTGTCCCTTAATGTACTCCAGTATCCATGAGCCCGAATACGAAATCTGATTGGAGGTAAGCTTGAATATCGGGGTTACTGCCCAAAACATATAAACGATCGTTTTTTGCCTAAACTTATACTAATCTCAATAAAGTAATACCAAATAACGCTAACTTATAAGTTATTTTTCTACGATGTGCTTTTCTATGATTTAAGGGGTTACTCCCCTTTAAATTGAAGTAAATTTATTTCAGCACAAAGAGAGTGTAATGTTTTCAATGCTTTCACAAAATGATGAGTAGAGTTTAATCAATCGTTATTTTGTAGCTAAAGAAAAAATCTACAATCAAATATCGCCTTCCTGACTCGCGAATATTTACGACATTTTATAAATCCACAGTTGAAAATACATTGAAATGTATTAAAAAGACATTCGTTATTACGGGGTGTCAAGGCAATGTGAACACTTGGTCCCCGATGAACACTTCATTTTTCTATTATTGCAACGGACACGTGCAAGTGTTTTTCATTGAAGACAATATAAAAGTCACGGACTTTTTAATTTAAAGGAAAGTCCATATATTTTACAGTATAAAAGCCCGTTCACACGATCCGATTGCTTCGGTTTCGAGTTTTAGTTGCTTGTTCAGATTGTACGATAATTTTGTTAATATTTATATTCATTTGGATATTTATAGTCGTGAGAACAGCGATTTTTGTTAGTTATCCAGTACATTTATCGATATATTTTCGTACTTTTGTTTTTGTTTCCAAGTTTCAAATCTATGTAATTTGTCTAGTGGGCTAGTGAATTAACCATTGGCAAAACTGTAGCCAACCAACCATCTGTAAAGTTACCATCAACAATCCATCAGTGGAGATGTAACCCATTAACAATCAGGTTCTGCAAAGGCTTTTGTGCCTTCAAATTTCATATCAGTTGCTTTTTACTGTGTTCATTGAAGAAGATTAATACTTTTTAAAATCATACATGATACGAGTATCTTCTGTCAGACAGGCACCAATGTCAACAAAAATACTATTCCCATAAATAACGTGAACAATATAAATGGCGTGAAGATGCCCCAAACCGGCCATAACGCGTATGCACAGCTTAAAACAAGAAAATGCAGATTGAAGCCAATAACCAAAAAAAACTAAATCCAAAACAAAATATCTTACCAAATCATCCCAGCTATGAATGCTCCCGTAGCTATGGGTATTGCAAATGGTGCATGACTCTCCCAGTTGTCAATACCTTTAAAGTATGAGCACCAAAAGATGAGATAAAATGCTAGAAGGAAATTCACCAGTAGAAAAAAACATCCAATGTACAGCCATAATCTAAAAAAAGTTTCGGCAAAAAGTTCATTGCTTTAGTTTTAAGACAACAATGCAGACACATTTGTTAATCCACTTTATATCTTAGTGCAAATGTACAGGTTGTATCCAGCATGTAGCATAATATCAAAGAAACTTTCAAAATATTTTTGATTATTCGTTCAGGGGGGTACAAGGCAAAGGTCCCCATTTTTTCAAGCAACAATTATCTCAGAATCATTGTATATTTGACGCACATATATAACTTTCCACAAAGCACCAGAATATTTTCAATGTCCCTGGGCATGACTAAAACAAATTAATTTCAAAATAATTCAGTACCTATACACTCTAGGATCAATTTTAATGGCCATGTAAAAATCTGTGTAATAAAATACAGCCATTGATGCGACCATCCAAAATACCATGTGTATGTTCACAACGAATTTTGACTTGTTCTTTGGATCATTTTCCTGGAGGATTTTCCTCCCTTCTTGTTTGAGACGGTCTACACAAAATGTTAACGACAAGCATTTTAGTATACAAAATCCTGAATATCTGTACAGAAAGAGGCCAAACAGACAATACATTTCTACAAACTTATTGCACACCGTCTAACTTTTGATCGTACTCTCCTCTGCGATGTTTTATAAAAGCCTGTTTTAAGTTTTCATCCAATTCGAAGGCCATTTCTCAAATCGTTTCAGGTTTCTTTGTATTCTCTCTCCGAACAAAAATCAAAATGCAAGTCCAAATGTCCAAATCATTTAATCATTTACACCTTCCAAATGATTTATTGCCATCCGCCACGACGATTACGTCATAACTTTCTGTAAGATGCATGCGCAGTTCTTCGAATACACGATGGAAAATAATGGAATATTTTCCGGTGTCTGGTGACTGCAGACGCCAGATAACTAGGGGTGGTGCAAAGCATTGCCGTACCTACTAAAATTTGGCTTTTCTGCGAAGTAGCCATTAATTAAGCATTAATGGATATGTAACCAACAGACCACCAGTGAAATTGTCGTCCGACAGCTAAATTTGGGTTTTTAAGCTGCGAAAGGGCTTCACGTTGGCAGCTACCGAAGTCCAATACCAATGGCCAGCCGTATATGTTGCAATTTTCCTCATTTACTTTCGAGATGAAAAGCTTATTGGTTGCAAACTCTTTGCCGGACATTGTCTATTTTTGGGCCGACGAAAAGTTTACGGAGCACTTGAACGGTGTTTTTTTAAAAGAAGCAGTTATCAACGAAGATGACGACATGAGGACTGTTGATTTGAACATGGTGTTGCAATACTTTTCTCCTTTACTCGTGTCTCAGAGTTCCATGCAAAGACTTGGATGTGCATACAAATCGATCACTCTTGGAAATGGCATGGTCATTGTCCTTGACCAGGTAGTAACACCTTTGTAGAGTTGATAATCTGCTGAACTCTTAACAGGTTTTCAGCAAAAGAGCTCCAAAATTTGTCTTATGTTTTGAATGACTAACAAACAAATGCTTACAAACACAGCTAGCATCATATTATGATACAGAGACACATTTTCACAACCAGGGGTGAAGAGCTGCATGTTAAGCTGGGGTGGTGGTGGTGTAATAATTTACTGAAAAACACAAGGTATTTCGAACATATTTGGTGAAATAATGTTTGCTCATTTGGTGCAACATCATGCTTAATCAATTGGTAGTAACATACAAAACTTATTTATGGAAGATGAGACATTTATTATTGAAAATCGGTTTATTAGTTCAAAAGCAATGTGAAAATCATTTCATTGAAGACAAATATTGCATTTCACTCACCACTTCCTGGAGGGAGGGTGTGGGTGTGTAACATCTCCACACCTCTTGTCCACAACCAGGTTACTCGTCTTAATGCAATACTAAGGTTCTTACTTTCACCTGTCATTTGTGTTATATGTTTATATATGTTATATTGTCTAGCTAATGTAGAAAAACCGCATCAAATATTTTGTCAAAACAACTCTTAGAAAAAATCACTGTTTAACTTGGTCTGTAATCAGTGTCGGCATCAGTGTGGGACTTCTGTTTCCCTAATTTATTATTGGCCACTTCCTTTCCCCACCCACCCCCACCTCCAAGATATATTCATCGTGCTTTTCTCCAGTAAGGAAATAAAGGATTGTCCAACAAACTCAAGTCCAAATATTGCCTAAAATTACCTATTACTTAAAATTGATTGCCCCCCCCAAAAAAAACCCCCACTTCTTTGCCCTCCCCTATTCATTTTCATTTAGTGCCACCATAGTCCATAATATTTGCAATGGGAGATAGTAAGCTTTGCAACCAATGTTTTATACCCATTATAAAATATTTCAATACTTGCCAACTCAATATTGCATATTAAAAAACAGCATCTTTGAATTATACTCTTTGTATTACAGAAAGATGATCATGTCTACTTGGCCATGAACGGTGATGGACAAGAATCCGAAGACTTCTTGAGAAAGAAACTTCGTACATTCCAGTGTATTGTGCGCTTCCATTTTGGACTCAGTCTGGACTTGTTGAAACCTAGTAACAGACAGTCTCGCAAAAATCTCTGGGATTCCCTGAGTAACATTCTGACAACATATTGTTACCTTTCCAGTCAACAGCAAGCATTTCTTGTTGGAGCGTTGGAGATGATTGATATAAATGATGTTCTTAATGAGATGTGTCTTCATATACTTGAGGCTGTTGTGACAAAAGCCAACAGGGAAGGAGATCCTCTTGCTAGGCATGCAGCAATTCTTGTGAACTCCAAAGTTCTGGCTTTATATACACAGTAAGTCCATCTATTTCTTGTTGTTTGTTCTTTTGACAAATGTTATTATTATATATGTAACATTATTATAAATGTTAAATTACAATATTTTAAAACTTAAAATATTTTGTGAAATTGGATGTTTATTTGAATGAATTTATAACACTTACCAAGATAAGACATAACTTTGTTCTAAAACTTGCTCATCGCCCTTAAATCCTTGCTTCTTCAAGCAATATCTGAGAACAGTAGCGAAGCCAGCCCGTTTTTTTCTCTCTAATAATTGCAAATCTTTTTATGTCCAGTAAATGGAAAGCCAACGTATCACATTAATTATCTAAACTCTAAAGAAATGGATAATAGTTTGGCTGAAAAATTTGCTTCCTAGGAGCAAAAGATTGGGCTGGCTTCACCACTGTCTGAGAATATTAAGGCTTTAATGTTCTCAGACTCATGGGCATACAGACTCATATTTTTTAGAAGGTGCTGGCGGTAAATTTTAAAAAACAACCATTTTTATTTTGAATTCATTTCAACAGAACTTTTAAAATGATAATAGACTCTAAAACAATCTATGTATACCTCTTTTCATTCTTAAATTATTAAAAATTTTGATTTTGTTGAAATTATCCCATTTTGTACAACCAGTTACGTAATATTGCCTAATGAGATTTAAATCTTCAAGATTCGATATTTTTCGTCGACCATACGGGGATATCTTCATTATGTAGTCTTAATTGAGTAAAATTCTTCCGAAAGATTTCATCCATAAGTTGCCCAGAAACGGAAGGAAACTGGAAAATTTTCGGCGACTCCATTATGCAATACGACGTCATTAGTTGTACAAAATGGGACAAAAACTTCGATATCTCGAGAATGAAAAGAGATGTTCACAAACTGTATTAGAAAATCTACGGTCAATTCGAAAATTCTGATGCATAAAACTGCTACTTAAAAAGCAAAATTGTTACTTCAAAATTTTCATTTTTGTCATCAACCAGAAACAACGCACGCAAACTTGTTACCCACGATGTTATGCTACTCATGGCATTGCTGAACACGAAGTTCCCACCTCCGCTTCAATCCATCCCACTTTCGGTGAACAGAACCCCGCCGCCACTCGCTCATGACGTCATCCGGTTTAGCGATGTTCACTTCAAGCCCGAAGATTGTCCTTCTCAAGGTATCGATGAAGATAGCGCGAGCTCCTCTCAGTTTGGCGAAGCGAAGTCCTCGAACGTCGACATCAAATCTGGGCTGAACACCTGCCATTCGCTTTCGGAAGATGTCTTTTATCCAGAGTTATCGGAGGAACGCGTTTCCACTGGCGGCGAGAAGACTGGGGAGAGTGAGGAATTTAACAAGGAGTCCAGTGACTCGGTGGCTTCGGATAAGTATTTCACTCCGCCCGAAGAAAGCATACCTGAATCGTATACGAGTGCCTTTTCGGTGAGTATCCTTGCACGTTGCCGGACACTTGGTAATCACCGGAAGATAACTGTTGCTCAAACTGTGGCCATGAGTTAGGGAAAAAGTGTGAAATGCTAGCTTTCAGTTCAGAGTCGAGTTATGGTTTGAGAGATTTCATGTTTAGTGCTTCGAGAAGAAACAGAGTATTGTTTATTGATATTCGTAGCACTACTAATAAAGATTCTCAAACCTGAACAGACTTACGGCGAGCAATATCATGAATGACTCAGAGGCGTAGCCAGGATTTTCTGTCAAGGGGGGAGGAGTCAGTTGAAAGGGAAGGGTGACCGTCGTATAAACCCATGTAATGTGAGTAAAATATAATTTTTAGCAAGAATTTTCTAGGGGTGGATGGGTGGAGCTGGATCCCAGGCCCCTCTCTTGCAACTTCGTGAATGACTACCTTTAGTTCTTTTTCAGCCGCACAAATCACGGTTGTTATATGAAGCGAGCAACAGCAGCAACAGTTACTCTGATCCGGATAACGAGCTCTTCCGCAGGAGGATATTTTTAACATCAATTCAAGGTTTTTATCTACCACATACCGTACATTCAATGCAGATATTCCCCGGTGCAATACTACTTATTATAAGTGAGGTAAGTCTTAGTGACGTAGTCAGCGCGCGAGTTTGGTCGTGCTATGTTCGCTGTCACATGCAACAATAGTTGGCAACAGTCCTTTGTCACATGCAACAATAGTCAGCAATTCCCTTTGTCACATGCAACAATAGTCGGCAATGCCCTCTGTCACATGCAGCAATAGTCGGCAATGCCCTATGTTACATGCAACAATAGTCGGCAACAGTCCTCTATCACATGCAACAATAGTCGGCAATGCTCTCTGTCACATGCAACAATAGTCGGCAATTCCCTCTGTCACATTCAACAATAGTCGGCAATGCTCTCTGTCACATGCAACAATAGTCGGCAATGCTCTCTGTCACATGCAACAATAGTCGGCAATGCTCTCTGTCACATGCAACAATAGTCGGCAATGCTCTCTGTCACATGCAACAATAGTCGGCAATGCTCTCTGTCACATTCAACAATAGTCGGCAATGCTCTCTGTCACATGCAACAATAGTCGGCAATGGCCTCTGTCACATGCAACAATAGTCGGCAATGCTCTCTGTCACATGCAACAATAGTCGGCAATGCTCTCTGTCACATGCAACAATAGTCGGCAATGCTTTCTGTCACATGCAACAATAGTCGGCAATGCTCTCTGTCACATTCAACAATAGTCGGCAATGCTCTCTGTCACATTCAACAATAGTCGGCAATGCTCTCTGTCACATGCAACAATAGTCGGCAATGGCCTCTGTCACATGCAACAATAGTCGGCAATGCTCTCTGTCACATGCAACAATAGTCGGCAATGCTCTCTGTCACATGCAACAATAGTCGGCAATGCTCTCTGTCACATGCAACAATAGTCGGCAATGCTCTCTGTCACATGCAACAATAGTCGGCAATGCTCTCTGTCACATTCAACAATAGTCGGCAATGCTCTCTGTCACATTCAACAATAGTCGGCAATGCTCTCTGTCACATGCAACAATAGTCGGCAATGGCCTCTGTCACATGCAACAATAGTCGGCAATGCTCTCTGTCACATGCAACAATAGTCGGCAATGCTCTCTGTCACATGCAACAATAGTCGGCAATGCTCTCTGTCACATTCAACAATAGTCGGCAATGCTCTCTGTCACATTCAACAATAGTCGGCAATGCTCTCTGTCACATGCAACAATAGTCGGCAATGGCCTCTGTCACATGCAACAATAGTCGGCAATGCTCTCTGTCACATGCAACAATAGTCGGCAATGCTCTCTGTCACATGCAACAATAGTCGGCAATGCTCTCTGTCACATGCAACAATAGTCGGCAATTCCCTCTATCACATGCAACAATAGTCGGCAACAGTCCTTCAGGCCCAACGTTCCTCTAGATAAAATACGACTTATTTAATTTACAATAATTCAAAGGTAAAAAGAAGCGACATCGCGAAGGACTTGTGCACTCTCATATCGATCATGGCTGATCTCATCGAAGACAGCGTGAAAGTAAAAGAAACTTATTTTAACATTATGGAGAAAGTTGAGCTGCATTTGGGACGGATAGTTGAAGCATTAATAGGAAAAACTTCAAAAAAGGAGGTTGTGTATGTTTTCTACGGGCAGTAAAATACAAGCGCGAAAATAGTTGAAGGATTAATAGCAAAAACTTCGAAAAGGGGTTGTGCATGTTTTTTACGAGCAGTAAAATACAAGCGCGAAAATAGTTGAAGGATTGAATGTTTTATGAAGTGCGGTATTTGAAATTAAATGAAGATATGATCTTCGCACTTTGCTGGACAATTTAAGCAATCGTCTCAGGACCTGAAAAAATCAGGTGACTCAACGGGATTCGAACCCATGACCTCTGCGGTGCCGGTGCAGTGCTCTGACCTACTGAGCTATGAAGTCACACAGTGGTGAGCAGGTCAATATTCTCGTGAAAGGAATGTCGAATGAATGTTTTATGAAGTGCGGTATTTGAAATTAAATGAAGATATGATCTTCGCACTTTGCTGGACAATTTAAGCAATCGTCTCAGGACCTGAAAAAATCACTTGAGCTCAACAATATTGACCTGCTCACCACTGTGTGACTTCATAGCTCAGGAGGTCAGAGCACTGCACCGGCACCGCAGAGGTCATGGGTTCGAATCCCGTTGAGTCACCTGATTTTTTCAGGTCCTGAGACGATTGCTTAAATTGTCCAGCAAAGTGCGAAGATCATATCTTCATTTAATTTCAAATACCGCACTTCATAAAACATTCATTCGACATTCCTTTCACGAGAAAACTTGAGCTCAACAATATTGACCTGCTCACCACTGTGTGACTTCATAGCTCAGTAGGTCAGAGCACTGCACCGGCACCGCAGAGGTCATGGGTTCGAATCCCGTTGAGTCACCTGATTTTTTCAGGTCCTGAGACGATTGCTTAAATTGTCCAGCAAAGTGCGAAGATCATATCTTCATTTAAGTTGAAGGATTGATAGCAAAAACTTCGAAAAGAGTTTGTGCATGTTTTTTACGGGCAGTGAAATACAAGCGCGAAAAATAGTTGAAGGATTGATAGGGAAAACTTCGAAAAGAGGTTGTGCATGTTTTCTACGGGCAGTAAAATACAAGCGCAAAAATTAGCTACGTGTTTGTAGCTTTACTTGTAGCTACGTACGTAAATCGTCCAGGTTTGCCTTGTCCTGAGAAGGACTGTTAGTGTTGGTATTGAACGACGGTTCTTTTTTATTTTTTTTATTTAAAATTAGTTCAATTTTACCCTAAAGCCAATTTCAGAATGCTTCTCGCTAAGAAACTCCTCGCTTTAAACATGGTCACTTTCCGCAATTTTATGGTCAGGTGAACCATTGAAAATTCAAAGACCATCGAAAGTTTTTTAAAACCTTGCGCCTTGATTCTTTTAGCAACGTTTTCCCGACAATAAACCTTTTATTGATACACCCTGTACACTGAAAATTTCGTGATCGAACACTGCTTTGGCCCCACACGTCTTACGTAGCTGCGATCTCATAAGTCGCGTTGTGTAAATAGTTTTCAATTTTACAGAAAAACGTGGAAAAGCACGTCAATGCCGTACGTCAAAAATGGGAAAACGTCAAATTGAATGACCTGGCCGATCATGTTCAGAAAAAAGAAAAACTAAAGCCAGGTGCTCTCGAGAGTTCCCTCACCAATCTTTTAAGAGGTTTGCAGACTCTTTTCGGCATGATATACTGCTCCGGCGACACCGTCAAAGGACCGTCCATCAGCATCCATCATGCGAAAGCCTTGTACCGAATTCAGGAGATGGTTCAAAAAGATCTGAAAGATTACAAGGGATTCTTGGCCGTGAAAAGCGAACGGAATATAACCTTGACGCCATATCCTTTTTATATGTGGCCAAGTTTTGCAGCTTACATCCATTTGTAGTCTAACACCAATCTGTCATATGACAGGTTTTAGGGGAGTATCGAGAAGAAGTGAGAACCACCCATATCGTTGGTCTGAGGGTGCTGGAGCGCTGGTGCAAATTTCACTGCAAACTACTTACATACCAAACAATTAAGCAAAAGCAATTGTGATTACTGATGTTCAATGGAGCACACTTCCAAAAATCTCCCAATCGTTATTAAACAGCAAAATTTTACAATAAAGCACCCCTCCTACAAAACCAACGTGATGACAATCCCTGTCCGTGACTGTTCACCCCTCCTACAAAACCAACGTGATGACAATCCCTGTCCGTGACTGTTCACCCTCCTACAAAACCGACGTGATGACAATCCCTGTCCGTGACTGTTCACCCCTTCTACAAAACCGACGTGATGACAATCCCTGTCCGTGACTGTTCACCCCTCCTACAAAATCAACGTGATGACAATCCCTGTCAGTGACTGTTCACCCCTCTAACAAAACCAACGTGAAGACAATCCCTGTCCGTGACTATTTACCCCTCCTACAAAACCAACGTGATGACAATCCCTGTCCGTGACTGTTCACCCTCCTACAAAACCAACGTGATGACAATCCCTGTCCGTGACTGTTCACCCTCAAACAAAACCAACGTGATGACAATCCCTGTCCGTGACTGTTCACCCCTCCTACAAAACCAACGTGATGACAATCCCTGTTCGTGACTGTTCACCCCTCCTACCAAACCAACGTGATGACAATCCCTGTCCGTGACTGTTCACCCCTCAAACAAAACCAACGTGATGACAATCCCTGTCCGTGACTGTTTACCCCTCCTACAAAACCAACGTGATGACAATCCCTGTCCGTGACTATTTATCCTACAAAACCAACGTGATGACAATCCCTGTCCGTGACTATTTACCCCTCCTACAAAACCAACATGATGACAATCCCTGTCCGTGACTGTTCACCTCCTAAAAACCAACGTGATGACAATCCCTGTCCGTGACTGTTCACCCTCAAACAAAACCAACGTGATGACAATCCCTGTCCGTGACTGTTCACCCCTCCTACAAAACCAACATGACAATCCATGTCCGTGACTGTTCACCCTTCCTACAATACCAACGTGATGACAATCCCTGTCCGTGACTGTTCACCCCTCCTACAAAACCAACATGACAATCCATGTCCGTGACTGTTCACCCTCCTACAATACCAACGTGATGACAATCCCTGTCCGTGACTGTTTACCCCTCCTACAAAACCAACGTGATGACAATCCCTGTCCGTGACTATTTACCCCTCCTACAAAACCAACGTGATGACAATCCCTGTCCGTGACTGTTCACCACTCCTACAAAACCAACGTGATGACAATCCCTGTCCGTGACTGTTCACCCCTTCTACAAAACCAACATGATGACAATCCCTGTTCGTGACTGTTCACCCTCCTACAAAACCAACGTGATGACAATCCCTGTTCGTGACTGTTCACCCCTCCTACAAAACCAACATGATGACAATCCCTGTTCGTGACTGTTCACACCTCCTACAAAACCAACGTGATGACAATCCCTGTCCGTGACTGTTCACCCTCCTACAAAACCAACGTGATGACAATCCATGTCCGTGACTGTTCACTCCTCCTACAAAACCAACATGATGACAATCCATGTCCGTAACTGTTCACCCCTCCTACAAAACCAACATGACAATCCCTGTCCGTGACTGTTCACCCCTCCTACAAAACCAACATGACAATCCATGTCCGTGACTGTTCACCCCTCCTACAATACCAACGTGATGACAATCCCTGTCCGTGACTGTTTACCCCTCCTACAAAACCAACGTGATGACAATCCTGTCCGTGACTGTTTACCCCTCCTACAAAACCAACGTGATGACAATCCCTGTTCGTGACTGTTCACCACTCCTACAAAACCAACGTGATGACAATCCCTGTCCGTGACTGTTCACCCCTTCTACAAAACCAACATGATGACAATCCCTGTTCGTGACTGTTCACCCTCCTACAAAACCAACGTGATGACAATCCCTGTTCGTGACTGTTCACCCCTCCTACAAAACCAACATGATGACAATCCCTGTTCGTGACTGTTCACCCTCCTACAAAACCAACGTGATGACAATCCCTGTCCGTGACTGTTCACCCTCCTACAAAACCAACGTGATGACAATCCATGTCCGTGACTGTTCACTCCTCCTACAAAACCAACATGATGACAATCCCTGTCCGTGACTGTTCACCCCTCCTACAAAACCAACGTGATGACAATCCATGTCCGTGACTGTTCACTCCTCCTACAAAACCAACGTGATGACAATCCCTGTCCGTGACTGTTCACCCTCCTACAAAACCAACGTGATGACAATCCCCGTGACTGTTCACCCTCCTACAAAACCAACATGATGACAATCCATGTCCGTAACTGTTCACCCCTCCTACAAAACCAACATGACAATCCCTGTCCGTGACTGTTCACCAATGCAAAAAGAGCGTTGTTTGAAAGAGCGAGTAGCAAAATCATTTCTGGCATGACTACCCAATTTCTACTCAAATTATTCTCATTTCCCTTAATGATGTTCAAATATTTGGATGAGTTTCCTGGAATGGTTCACTTTCTTTATGTCGACCGCACAACGCATCGTGTTGTTGGGCCATCAATTAACACTGAAATGTCAGAGATTTTCAATCCGCTTGATCCCTCACACTACATCAAGCAGATTATCTGGGATGGATGGAACTACATTCAATCGTTTCTCGTTCAGGGTGAGATGGTTTTCTTATGTTTAGAGGCAGAGAGGAGGGGATCGAGCGAAACAGGAGGGTTATTATTTTGATGCTAGCGAAAGATTTACCGGGGGGTGCACGACGGGTGAATTTTACATTAAGAAATATCGATGTACTAAGCAGTTAATTGAAAGCGATTTTTCATATCTCCCAATCATGGTAAAAGAGTAGAGGAATTTAACAAAAGTCTGTCTTGTTACGGTTACACCTACAAACTAGCTACAGAAATATATAGAAATGCCCCCCCCTCTCCATACACACACTCACATGACTATCCTGGACCTATCCGTGTATGTTACTAAGATGTTTTATAACTACAAAAGTATTTGTCCGTTTAAATTACCTGTTTCGTAACGACGCATCACTTTTTGTTCAGGACACACAAGTGTGGCCGTCCGCTATGGTGACTTTCTGCTATCCTACGTTCTTTGGTTTGAAGACCGCTCAGGAAATCAAAGACCTGTGAAAGACACGAATGCATTTTCCACACCCTTCCCGACAGCACCCGGTATCTTTGGCTTGTCTTTTTACAGGTATGACCTCGAGTTGCATGCTGTCTGCTCGTCACATCGGTTTGACAAACTTGTAGAATGAGGTTGGTATAGTCCTGAGAAAGACTGTTTTTGTTGTTGACTCTGAAGATGACTACCGCTAAGGTTGTCGAAACGTCAGTCAACAACAACAAAAACAGTCCTTCTCAGGACTATACCAACCTGGACGATCGACATTTACAAACATGTAACGATACTCCTGGGTTCAAACCATTTACCTTTTGTAGAATGAGGTTTGCCGAAAGTGCCATCTTTGTTAAGTCAACGTTTACAGCACTTACAGCGCATTTTGTTTTTTAAGTATTGACAATATGATGCACGCTGAATGGTATGAAATTGGACGCAATTTGGTCTGAAACCAACTGATCAGCGCCGGTTCGCTGCGACAATATTCCGCCACCGAATTGAACCCACTTGTGTATTATGGCAATCCGTTTTCAAATAAAAAAATCATTGCGTTGATAACACGATGAGATATAGTCAGAAGACTTCCTCTGAAAGCAACCCATGTTGTTCGTTGTTTCAAAATCGATGTTCGCTTTAACGTAGTTTCAGGCAAAACAACTATCAGCCGAGAGAACACCAGACTTAAACCGTTAGGAAAATGTGGAAAACCGGCCTAAATATTCGTTTAACGACACCACACCATCTTGATTTTTTCAGTGAGCTGAAACGACGTTGTTTCCCTTCAATGACACAAGAAAAGATTCATTGTCGCGAGCTTTTTTGTATGCACTTGGGGGCATTACCGGTGAGTCAAGCGGCGGATCATGCCAGCAGGCTTGCAGCCAAGTTGGGTGGAACGATGATGATACCGCTGTTATTGTGAACATCACGGTAAGATGACGTGGAAACGAAATTGAGCATGACGAATTCTAATTGGCATTGGCTACTTTATTTGGAGTCAGCCACCTTTTATGGCATTTACAGCTGTGATAAACGGCAAAAACGAAATCTGCGTTTTTTACAAACGAAGCGATGAACACAATCTCAATATATTTATCGTGATAAATTGTATTATCACGCTGATTTGTAAATATGACAATGCGTACATTGATTTTTTATAGAAGCATTCCCTAGCATTCCCTATGTAACGCCGGTCAGGGCTCAAAATAACGGCCGGTCAGCGGCCCATTTTCGATTCATGGCAACATCCGTAAGCAACTAAGGACCTTGTGGTTGGTAACGGGAAAATGTAGTAAAACAATGCGTCGTAACCAGCATGTTTTGCGCTGTTGTTTTCCTGACAATCGGATCTTTTAGCCCCCCCAAATCACGTGTAAAATGCTTGTTCATTTTACACTTTGCAATAACATACTTCAGTTTAGCTTCAGTTAAAACTAATTATTTGCTGGCTAAACTTGTATGGAAGGGGGTTTTCGTACAGTCGCGAACCAACCGGATCTTTTATTCCTGCAAATAAAATTTTTCAGCAAAATTATTATTCATTTGTATAAAAAATCAAATCGATTCACAGTCTCTCCAGTGAATGAACAAAAAAATATTTGCATTGTGGGAGTAAAAAATACGCTGGCTTCGCTACTGTTTTATACTACATATAGTGGTCTGATTAGATTTTTTGGCCCATTCATCAACACTTAATTTTCATGTGTTTGGGCGATGTTGCCCATGTGAGAATTTCTCCCAATAAGTAAGGCAATGCATTATAGCGTTTTGAACGCTTTGAACGTCTGCCGTGAGAATCTTTTGTCTCAAAATAAACATCCTTTCCGCCTAATTTTGCGCAAATTATGCAAATTAGTAACCTTGACCTTCATATCGGTCGTTATTATGAACCACGCAGTTTACCTTAAACGAGTACGAGATTTGTCTCTCATGGTCTTCTTTATTTTGTATTGCTGCCTCCAGATTTCAGCGATTAAATGATTTCCTGTTCAAAAGGTCGAACGTTGAATCTTTGTTTCGACTCAAGTTCTATTCAAATGCAAACATTACAATTAGTTTTTTCAAACGAATAAATCAATGATAAAAAAATTTAGAGATGTATAGTTATATGTAATAAGATTACCTTGAATTATTGTACTCGTGAAGTTCGCGAAGCTGTTCTCTGAAATAAAAGAAAATATTATACTCGACATTGTGAATTCATTGTTTTTTTAACGTTTGATACAATACCACGAACTCTACTGTACACACACAATATTACACATCAAATTTAGAATAATGCTTCTGACTATTTTTGAAAAAAAAAATCGAGGACTTTATGTGAAATATTGTCCGTTAACAATTGCCAAAGGATAATGTCCACGCTAGTCTCGTAATATGCACATTTTTATTTATTTGATGTAGTTTTGCGCTCCAGGCCCTATTGAATTGTACAGTTTGTCTTGTTGCTGATATAATTTCTTTAACTTCTTTATTTGCTTTGCGCTGATCGCTTCGCCATTTCCATCGTGAGTTGGAATGCCCTAAAGACGACATAAAAGTCAACTTACTAGTAACGAAAAACAACAAAGAAACATGAAAATTTCTCAAGTATAAAACCGAGTTTTCATACTAATTTTTATAAATAACTCGGTTCGGGGTGCCCCCTCGGGAGCTTGCGCGCACGCGGCTCTACCCTCCCACCCATAGCTCGTCGCAGTTACGCCAATGTAAATACCGTTAGAAAGTGAGGTGAAGACGCCAACTTGAAAGATGGCAAAACAAAACTCTCAGTCAAATAGAAGATAAAAACAAAACAATTCTATAAAACACTGAAATACCAAACTATCAACTCTGAAACAATTTATCAGGCTAGAAGAAGCAGATTTTACTCGTAAGTATCGTCACTTTTGCAACCTGTCAAGATGGCGGCTTGCATTATTCGTAACTATAGAACTATGGGTATCGGTACATCGGGTTCTAGATCATTCGTTCTCATACCTGTTCGTCGAACGCTGAATATTTATCTTTTTCGTGTTTGAACATTTGTGAAGGTGGAATTTTAGCCTTTGCTAACTTAGCGGCCTTAAAATACAACAAACGTCATACAACTTCGACTGTTAAAGATGGCGTTGCTGTTGAAGAATAACGAACCTTCTCTTCTTCTTGTTTCAATTTTAATTTTTCTTTTTCCCTTCTCTTTCTTTCTAATTCCTGTCGTGAAAGTTATGGTCAGAATGGTCATAATATTAAAATAATATTAAACCCACCGTCACTATAACAACAAGCTTTTCATTCGTCAACCATCATGCACTGCGCGCGTAATCGGTCATTTTTTGAAGCGGGCATGGCGTGATTTCACATAATGTTTATACGCACTTTTTGTCCTAGTAAATCAGAAATGTGTGTTTGTAAATGAAAATACGCGTCCTTCATATTCTGTTCTCATCGCATAATGGTTGATTGTGGCAAATTTTCATCCGATTTGCAATAAAAATGGAGCGATTCCTTGAATGAAAAATGTGAAAAAAAGTAAAAATCATCTTCGATTGTTCGTATATGAATGCTTGAAAGCGGAGAAATCATGAAGAATGACTACGAATAAGCTTCAGGTTAGTGGTGTGACACTGGTGTAAAAATATGTATCAATAAGGACGCCAAAACGTGTCCCAGTAAAAATCTAATGCCTGATTTAAGCCTTCGTAATCCTTGATCCCTCGTAATCCTTCGTAATCCTAATTTAAACCTTCGTAATCGCAGCAATCCTTGTTGAATTATAAATTTTTTCATTTAAAAAAATTTACATGTGATTCTACAACTATACTTAATCATATTTTCGTAAAAGAGGAAAAGTGAAATTATCCGAGAGAGACTCCCATATAAAAATAAACAAACGCTCGCAATGCGTGATGGTTGAAACTCGCTCTTTAATTCTACGCACCTGCAATTGTTGCTGCCTTTCCTTCTTCAATATTCTTGCATCGACGAATTTTATGACCGACGATTGACTATCTACAAGACAAAGAAAACGAGTTCACGACACTCCTAAAAATCGATTTCTCGCGAAAGCAAAATACCATCTTGATCTTCGAGCTTTACGCCTAGATTCGGCAAATGTTCATCTCTCAGAAGATCGCACAGCTTCATTATTTCGCTAACTTTTTCCTGTCGCGCGATGTTGCGAACTTGTTCGCGAAACTCGGCTAAAAGTTGCACGTAAGGAAGAGCGATATCTTCATGGTTCGTCACGTGACTCGTGGTACTAGATGTCTGGAAACCTATTGTCTGAGGACCTTCGTTTGCACCGAAAACCTGCGTAAAAAAAATCACAGATTCAACTGCAACACTAACGATAACTGAGAAAAGCAGTTTTCTTAAGGGCAAAGAAGCCAACACTTTCGCCAGTGCAAAATTTATGTCATATTTTGATGGCTAAATGGTCTTATCAAAAGCGATTCGAAAAATTTTATTGTTTTTGACATATAGATAACATAAGAAATGGAAAAAACAAGTACTTCGAAACATCAGTTTTCAATGTTTTACTACGAGCTAATTATTACCACAGAATATAGACTATACAGAAGGGTCAATCGTGTCGGAACCTTTGATGTTTTTGTTCTCGCGCATGTCGTACCGCGCATGTCGTACCGCGCATTGTGGCCGCCATTATTCCAGCCAGATGATTAGGCTTTTTGACTTTTTCCCAACCTTTCAAATGATCCGAAGTCATTTCTTAAGTCAAAATATTCTCGAATTCAACATTAAGTATTGACGCCATGTTATTTTAATGGTTGGAAACAAGTGACAAGTCCTAATCAACTGGCTGGAATAATGGCCGACGTGAGGCGCGTTGAACACCTGAGTGACCCTTCTGTATAATCATTATTCTGTGCTATTACCAACCCGAAGCATGTCTGTGATATATTTCGCAATGTTTTCTAGCAGTTGATGATTCGGAGACTCGTTTGGTAGTTTCTTCGTTGCGATGTAAATATTCGTGATTTTTACCAACGACTGCAAGTGAGAAAGAACTGTTGGCGTATCAATCGAATCTAGCAACAAAAATTAAAAAACCTCATTTTAGACAAGAACCAAGTGATGGCTTTCACGAAAGCTTTGAATAAATATACTTTGCATTCTCAATAATAACAATAACATGGGTTCAATATTCACCATGGGTTCATCAATCACCATGCGGTCATCAATCACCATGGTTCATTAACCATTATGTTTCATGAATCACCATGGGTACATGAATCACCATGGTTCATCATCAATCACCATGGGCACATCAATCACCATGGTTAACTAACCATCATGGCTCATGAACTATAACCGCCAATCTCATATTCAAAATACCAATATTGCAATGCCATTGGTTATCGCTGGCTATGCACATAGCCGGCTATACTTCACATTCATTGATGGTTGCCACGCGTACAACACATGCAAATGTATCAGCATAATTTAAAAAGAACCTCTTTTATTCTTTTCAATCAACATATAAAAACATCGTATAAGATGATCCTACCACATAAGGCACGATGAACGTCGGCTTTTTTCGCATGTAAACTAAAAAAGAAGTAACAAAAGCAGGTGATCCCTTTCGTTTGAAGAGTAATCAAATATGAATGACGACGAAAAAACTGATCAACGTACGTTGCCTGCAGTTGTTTTTCAGCTTCGTGAAAGTTGTGACAGGATGCAGAAAAAACTTCCGGTTTGCGAAGTATGTCTTTGACGGCAAGGAAAAAGTCCTGCAAAACATTGATATTGTAGAAGTGAGAAGAAGACGAGATGCCTTTCGGTGGTTTGGTTATATTTGCGTGTTATGTTGCTTAAGAGTTGCCACTCATCCTTATCTGGAAGAAATTCACGGCAATGCAGTGTTACATGTGAAAATTTATCTTGTCAACCATGTTTCAGCGCAGTTGTCTTTAGTGACACTCGCCCATGAAACGATCCAAGAAAGATTTTGATTGGTTCGAGGACTTCGTGTAAGTCACGCGTGATTTGAGCACTGTCGCGACACGACAGGAAAAACCAAACGCATTTTTTAATTTGAGCTTACTTTTGTAGCAAAAAAAAGGGAAAAGCTACAACTTAGATTATCGAACAAGATCAGTGGCGTACATTGAACAATTTCTCAACTTGAACAGCTTCTTTCAACACGTTTTCGCTATAGTCAAGCGTGGAATGCCAAGAGTGAAGTAAAAATGCCAAACGGATTTGCCGTGCCGAGTTCTTAGCCAATGCTTCCTAAAAACAAAAACCATGCAAAACGAACAATTAACAAGACGAAAGTCAAACGCAGTAGGAAGATGTAGGATTATCGAAGCTAAAAACGGCCAAGTAAATCGTACCTTGATGGTAACAAAGTTTTTCAATGATTTCGACATTTTACATCCCTCGATTGTAAGATGACCGGCGTGAAGAAAGTAATTGATCCATTGGCAACAGTTGTAATAAGACTGCAAAAAAAAACAAATTATATCGTGCGACAACAGTCATAGTAGTATCGTAGTAGTATTTCAGCAACAATCATTGAAGTATCTTAGTCTTTTAGACGGTAATCTGAACTTTTCCTATCATCTATCTATATGCTATTTATGAAGCTGTGTCCCATAGTGCATCTGTGTATCGTCATGCTGTTGTATCGTGATGCAGCCGCATTCCACTATGCATCTATGTGCAGCTATGTCCCGTCATAAATTTGTTTCCGGTCATGCAGCTATAAGGCATTTGTGTCTCAACATGCATTTGTGTTCGGTCATGCAGCTCTAAGGCATTTGTATCCCATCATTCATTTGTGTCCGGTCATGCAGCTCTGTCCCGTCAGGCATTTGTGTCCCATAATGAAATTGTGTCCAGTCGTGCAGCTGTGTCCCATCATGCACTTGTGTCCTGTCAGGTAGCATAGTCCCAACGTGCAGCTGTGTCCTACCTCAGTCTGTGCCATTTCATTGTCGTGATGAGGAAACTTTAAGTCGACTCCTCCAGTGTGAATGTCGATAGGACAACCCAGAACATCGCTGAAACGACAAAAATGATTTAATACCTCTCAGCAAACGTTATCATCAATTGTCGTTTCCTGCGTTCTGCAAAACGGATCAGTTTTCACGGAGAACGCATTTTCGGCGTTCTACAAAACGGATCAGTTTTCACGGAGAACGCATTTTCTGCGTTCTACAAAACGGATCAGTTTTCACGGAGAACGCACATCTAAAGCAATCCTTGCTTTTATTAACGATCGTTTTACTTTAAAAGCGCGAATGTAAAACAAGCAGCCATTGCGACAACTGAATCATTTCAGAAATTGAACAAATGTCACAATCTAGTCCTGTGAGCTTTCTCATATCTAGTCAAGACCTCTGTATGCTTTAACATGCATCAACGAACAGTCCTCTGTGGCGACGTATTAAACTGCCATTTATCACATGCAAGCTTCACTTCCCGTTAAATAGTGCACTTTTACTGGCTGAAAACATTTTTTAGGCTGTCCATTACTCTACGTCCACAACGAAAAAAGTGAAAAATTTCCAAAGCAAACAACAAGAAAGCATGTATGATGTCATAAAAATCCTCTAATAAACATCGCTCTCTCAGCCTTTATAGAGAAATTTATTGAACCGAGATCTTCGAGATGTTGTTGTAATGAATAAGGTCGTAGATGACAAGACGTCATTAATATTGGACAGAGTTTTTAAAATCACAATGATAGTCAATCCATCGCGCAAAAAAAAATACCTCAAAGAAAAATACGCGAGATTTTAGTGTATTATTCCCTACCTCGCCATAACAGAACATTCAATATGCCAACCAGGACGACCCTAAAGGAGAATCATTCATTAATAAATTAAAGGAATTGGACTTTTGCTAAGTAGTTACTGAAAAAAATCATCTTTCAACAAGTTAACTTTAACCATGTGAACATACAGTGACCTAACCTTACCCCAGGGAGATGTGTATATACAGTACAATGACCTTACCTTACCCCAGGTAGATGCGTATATACAGTACAATGACCTTACCTTACCCCAGGTAGATGTGTATATACAGTACAGTGACCTTACCTTACCCCAGGGAGATGTGTATATACAGTACAGTGACCTTACCTTACCCCAGGTAGATGTGTATACACAGTACAGTGACCTTACCCTACCTCAGGCAGATGTGTATACACAGTACAGTGACCTTACCTTACCTCAGGTAGATTATATACAGTACAGTGACCTTACCTTACCCCAGGTAGATGCGTATATACAGTACAGTGACTTTACCTTACCCCAGGTAGATGCGTATATACAGTACGATGACCTTACCTTACCCCAGGGTGATGGCCAAGCAGGCTCCCCCGGTTTGCTGGCTTTCCACAAGGCAAAATCCCGGTTGGATTTCTTTCCCATTTCGTTCTGGCTAAGTTCTCCCTCAGCTTCGGCTACCGCATCCAAATCTCCTACAGCCTCCGGGACAAGACGAGCGTATTCGTGGCCTTCACTCGAAGCAAACTTAACTGTATCAAAATATACTGAGCCATCAGCCGCGTATCTAAAACGGTATAAGTGAAAAAGACTTTGAAATAAGTCAAAGAAAAGCGGAGTATATTTGCCATTTTATTCATGTACAGCGTAAAGAATAAAGCCCAGCAGAGTGCTTTTAAAAAGTAGTAGAACACAAAAATAAGCAAAGAGTATTTTTTTGAAAAGCGTAATGTTTCGCCTTGACGCACAAGACATCAAACAACATTAAATTAAGGGTAATGTGGAATATTAACATGTTGGTTTTGCATATTCATGATAGCATATTGAACTGTAAGGTTGGATAAAAGATGTGACAAACAGATGGGATAAGGCGGTATGAAGTCAGACACGGAGATTACATAGAAGACACGAAAAACACAAACAAATATAACAAGAGACAAAATAACATTACAATAACTGAGGCGAACTGAAGCGAGTTTCCTTGGAAATTAAGAGAGGGTTTTATTTGGTTAATTTAAAGGCTTCCACGAATAAGAAGTTCTTTGGTGTCTGAAGAAGATTAAAGGGTTTTAAAGTCATCAAATGTAGCAGTGAGATTGATTGATAATGACATGGTATGGATGATGGAGTACGATTTTTACAAGATTTGTCTGTGGAAGAAGTTATACCTAAATGCTCTGAAATACGAGTGAGGAGATGGCTGGTGGTTTTACCCACTTACGATGCGGAACGGCTTCGACAGGTAAAAGAATATAAAAGATTGGATTTCAGAGTTTTAGGTATTTTATCCTTGAACGCGAACAGCCTAGAAAGTCGTTTAGTGGATCGGAAGAAAAATCTTATCTCACAAAGTAAGAATAAGATGGAAAAGTAGTGCGATAAAGTCGGTTGATTTGAGGGCAACATTTGGGATGAATGCAAACCCGCAAATGGAAGGCCGAAATACATTATATTGAAATAAAAATGACCAGTAAAATGACTGATACAGGTGACGACACGGGGTTCTTGACGTCATGATTGTGTGTAAACCATTGAATTATATATATGAATGTAAACCATTGAACTATATATATGTATGTAAACCATTGAACTATATATGTATGTAAACCATTGAACTATATATGTATGTAAACCATTGAACTATATATGTATGTAAACCATTGAACTATATATGTATGTAAACCATTGAACTATATATATGTATGTAAACCATTGAACTATATATGTATGTAAACCATTGAACTATATATGTATGTAAACCATTGAACTATATATGTATGTAAACCATTGAACTATATATGTATGTAAACCATTGAACTATATATATGTATGTAAACCATTGAACTATATATATGTATGTAAACCATTGAACTATATATATGTATGTAAACCATTGAACTATATATATGTATGTAAACCATTGAACTATATATATGTATGTAAACCATTGAACTATATATATGTATGTAAACCATTGAACTATATATATGTATGTAAACCATTGAACTATATATATGTATGTAAACCATTGAACTATATATGTATGTAAACCATTGAACTATATATGTATGTAAACCATTGAACTATATATGTATGTAAACCATTGAACTATATATGTATGTAAACCATTGAACTATATATGTATGTAAACCATTGAACTATATATGTATGTAAACCATTGAACTATATATATGTAAACCATTCAACTATATATATGTATGTAAACCATTGAACTACATGGAACGCTACCTGAAGCAAATAACTGAAGCCAAATCTTCCGCCCACACACGCAAGATTACACCCAGACACGCGTGTGTAGTGTTTCGAGATTCTTTCGCGGAGTGAAAATTGATTGAATACACACGCGTGTCTGGGTGAAATCTCGCGAGTCTGGGTGTAAAATTTCGCTTCAAAAAATTATTAGACTTTTCTATTACAGGTAGACAGGTAGCGTTCCATGTATTTTAGTTCAATGGTGTAACGACAGTAAAAAAACTTACGCGTAACCGTTTTCAATAATCTTTTCGATGTACGCAACAATTTCTGGGACGTACTGACTAACTCTCGTGAGACAATCAACAGGAAGTATCTGGGTAGAAAAAGAGGAGAATTATAACCAAATATATCCATTCTTCATCATTTTCTTCCTTTATAAGTATGAAAAAGCATTTCGTTTGCTTCCTTAATCAATACTTTAATTAAAGATGCAGACGAAATGGTGACAGGATAGTAAATCAATGTGTGTACAAACGTGATCACAACATGACACACATTTCCATGTCACGTGATATGAGAGAGTATCAATAAATGTACAAATGACCACGACGTAACTTACGTTTAAAGCCTTCATGTCTTTATGAAATTCGTCTTCCCAATGTTTTGAGAGTTCGGAAAATATTTCATGTTTTCTTATTTCTGATCCAAACTAACGAAAAGAAATTCAATGATGATGAATCGTGTAACAAACTTTCAAAGTTAGGCCAATACAAAAAATCGTGCTTTTCACAAAGCAGAAATCCAGTTCAAAACCATCATTGTCCAACATACACAAACAACGCCTACCTGATTATCTAGCCATGCAGACAATGGATCAAAAGCTTTTTCAAGCAGTTCCTAAAGAATAAACGACAAAAGCCCTTTATTCAAAACAAGGAAATTTTATGATTACATAATGAGCACGCCTGTGCTGGTTTGAAAATGCGTTTGTTTAAATCTGTGTTCTACATCTTTCAGCTTTTTATAACAGGAACGTTCCAACCACAAATATTTGCCTTTTCACAGAATACAAATGCATTTTCAAGCCAGTAGCTTTAAGGCACGTTCACGGAATTCAACATAGTTGAACAAACATCGTCCAACATAGTTGGTGAAACAAATATTGAATCGTTAAAACACCATGCTGTACGATGGAAGACGATGTTGAACAATGCAGAATGATGTTGAATGATGTAGGAGGAAGTGGGACGATGTTGGATGACGTTGGACAATATAGGACGATGATGGACGATGTGGGACAATGTAGGATAATATTGGACAATTCAGGAGGATGTAAGACAATATAGGATGTTGGACGATGTGGGATGTGTTGGACGATGTGGGATGATGTTGGGCAAACTAGGATGATGTTTAGCAAAGTTGGATGGAGAAGCCAAACACATACTCGTCACAATAAAACAAATATTTCGTCCAAACAAATAAAAAAGAAACAGCTTACATTGACTGCAGCGGACATAGAGTCATGATCATCCGATCGAGAGGCTTGCTCCAGGTTTTCTTTTGCAGGAGCAACTCCATTCTAACGTTTGACAAAAAAGCAACAACATAAGATGTTTTAAGCAATTAAGTATTCAAAGTAAACGAAACGCTTTCCAATGGCTTACTCGAGCTAAAACATAAATTTGCAGTGACTGTACATGCATCATTCAGATATTTCCATTCTGATGGCATTGAATTAGGTGTGACAGTCTTTGATAAACACGGTGAATAATTTCAAGTGTAAGGTAGATCGAGCACACAATACGTACGATCGCTTGCTTGTGATCGAGCAATAAACCTCATACAATCATCTTCACTTACGATTCGATGTGATTGTTCAAAAGTACAAAGTGACTGCACATGTGACAAAGTCATGCACAACCCTCCTCCCCCCCCTCTCGAAAGTACGACTCTCGTTTATCTCATGTAAACAGTCGTGAAATAAATACAAAATTACTGGCACACAGGCTTGGCTTTAAAAGCGAAAAAACTCACAATTATTTTCTCCATCATATTTTTCTTTTCGGGATCAGTGGTCTTGTTCAGTTTGTCGGCAAATTTCTACAACAAAAAAGGCCAATGGAGTATGATCATCTAGGAAAATCACCCAATGACAACATTAATGAAAACACATTGCAGGCATACTTTCATTGATTCATTAACATTGTCTAAAATCTGTTCAGTAGGATGACCTTTCTCTTTGTACTCCTTTATGAGGAAGTTTCTTCTAGCTCTGAAAATAATCTTTTTGAAAAAAACACAAAAACTATTTTACGATTAATTTCATAAGTGACATGCAGTACATGATAATGATGGGAAGGCAAACGCTTGATATTTTTTCGTGATCCAAAGGGAATTCTGGTTGATGTTGTACTTCAAACTTGGATTGTCCAATAAAAAGGCTTTCTTTTTTACGTAGGTCACGTGACGCTACGTCAGATTCTTCAAAGAATTTCACTTTTAAAGTGGAGCAGTCTCAGTGCCACTAGCAAAAGGGGGCAAATAAAATTTTTAAAGCAATTGTGTTCAATTGTACAATTGAAAATATAAGTATGAACAAAATGTAATAGACATTGCTGTCAGGGTTTTGTAACCTCCCCCCCCTCCATTAAAAACAGCGTAGCAAATGCTACTGATTACGCAACAATTTTTGACGTTGCTATGATTAAGCAGACGTCAACATGGTGATAGCTGTAATTTGTAACAATTTATAAAATACATCATTTAAGCTGTGCCCTCAGGAAATATGAAGACTTTAGACACTGTTTCATTGTACCACATTCATTGTGGGTATCACAGTCTTTCTTAAGCATGGTGCAGATGTAGTTGTAGTTAATTTCCTCACTTCCAAATGATTTACAACACTACATGTTCACATATAGTGGTGATTGTTGTAAATCAGAAGATATTTGAATACTGGTATCAAACTCACATTCGACTTCTAATTGCTTATATTTGATACAATATGCCCAGGTTAAGTTCAGTTTTTGTGACAAGCTTTCTCAATGGCAAAGTTTGGTCAAAGGATTTTGATCATATATTGTATAAGAAATTGAAACAAAAGACGAATTGCCATCGGCCTTCACGAAAAAATTAGGAAAAGTTTAACTTCTACAACAGCTCCCAATTTGTCTGCAACAAAATTACAACAATTACAATGCAAGTTCACATATAGTTGTGATTGTTGCAAATCTTCGTAGTGGATGGAATTACACACTGTAAAACCACAAGCGAACTAGGCTTTAGGGCACCATACCTTATCATCGATGTCAGTGATATTCATTACATAAAATACATCATAATTGAAATAGTCTTGATAAACTCTTCTCAGTATATCAAATGAAATGTACGACCTGCAACACATGATAAAAAAACCCAGTAAGTTACCACACACCCGATTACTGACAATGGTAAGTCGAAGACATTCCCTCAAGCGGTGGATTTCCTGGGGGGGTACCCCATAAAATTCTTTAATTCTTTAACACCCACCCGGCCAAGAAAAATTCTAAAATTGTTTTACATACAGTAGATATTATAATAGTATTAGACGCTAGGAAGCTGTACAGTAAGTCTGAGAAAATAAGTGGAGCTTACACAGCTATACAACTACAATGTATAACTTCCTTGACTTGATATAGAATCCTTGAAAGCCAATAACACTTTCATTTTGAAAGGTTCACTCATCCGTAAGCCTATAAGTCTACAATAGCTTGAGGCCCTGTCACCTTTAGCTAGGAAAATGGTGCACCCCCCTGGAAAATCTGTGCCCTATCTGTCAAATGAGCATTGATCAGCCACTGCATTCCCTGTTCACATACCGTGCATGTCCCATGTGCGATGCATCATAAACTGTTGGTCCACAGCAGTACCATTTAACGAGGCGACCATTATGTGGTACAAAGTCATTCTACAAATGAAATGAAAAAATACACAATTTGAAGTCAACAGATAATGATTACTTCAACCAGTAGCGCAGCCAGATGGACTTTTTATTTCCGCTATAATTTATGGTAATCTTTCAGAATCTACATCACTAGAGTAAATCTGCAGGCTTATTGCGCTACTTATGTCAACTGCCATATGCCTAATTTTTAGGAAAAAAAAATATCGAATTTTTAGCAAATTGGAACATTCACTTCACAAGAACCATCTTATAAAAGGATGTTGGAGTTTTGATAAGGAAACTTTTACAGCGTACTACGAAAATTTAATTATCAAACCTTTTCTTTAGTTAAGCTGTTATATATCCTAAGCTCGCTTTCTCCTTGAGGTTGCCTCCAAGTTCTTTTCATATCCATTTCGATACGGCAAGTTCGCCAAAATAATTGAAGGCTCTTTGTCGTTTTGTTCGTAAGTAAGCGATAGCCTGCCCAACAATTCCCAAATTTACTCAGCATAGAAGCTCAATAGTAAGCATTTGGTCACGCAATTTTTCACAACAATATTTTAATTTCAATTCAATAAAAAATGCTTAAAACACTTGTTTTAAAAGTAATCTTTGATAAACTATCTTATCTACAACATGAAAGACTTTAAGACACATCACATTAGCCAGCACTATTTAGTACAGCGGATGTCCCAACGTGAAGTAATAATAAAAAGTTAGAAAGAAATTTAGTTAACACTCGGTTGGTCTTCCTTTTTTTCCAACTGGTCGATAAAGTCATCGAAATTCTTTATATTCTGCTCATAAACATCAAGTTCATTTCCCAAGGTATCCTGCAAAATGAAAGTAACAGAATTGATGCATTTTATCTCGTCATGCGCAGTAGCGCAAACATGGTGTAGCAGGGGAACGGGTAAAGTGGCGACAATACGCGACAATCGATAAAAAGACTGCCCTAGGACTTCCCAAGGGAAAGGCAATGGCTACCATTTTGATCTCATCACAAAATGTGAATACAAATTGCATTTCAATTTACATAATAATACCACTTAGATTCCATAATTTCGCAGAAGCACTATGGCTAAGGAGCATTTACTATATACGACGAGTTTTTTTTAGAATAGACATGTTTTCGACATCTCATGAGAAACATGACTATTCTAAGAAAACTCGTCGTATATATTAAATGCTCATCACTTAGATCGTGGTCGCAGGTGTTAGATTCAGCTCCCAGAATCCGCACTGTGGATTTCTGATTCCACATTTTGGATTCCAGATTCCTTGGACTTTGCCGGATTTCGGATTCCAAAAAAAACGGATTCCGGATGTAATTGCATGGATTCTGGATTCTTGGGGGTTTCCTGGTTCCAAAGATTCCATGAACTTTGCTGAATTCTGAATTCCCTAATTTGTTCACACGCACACAGATGTCAAAGGCCTATACGTACCAATACATCATGCACAGATGTCAAAGGCCTATACGTACCAATACATCATGCACAGATGTGAAAGGCCTATACGTACCAATACATCATGCACAGATGTGAAAGGCCTATACGTACCAATACATCATGCACAGATGTGAAAGGCCTATACGTACCAATACATCATGCACAGATGTGAAAGACTTATACGTACCAATACATCATGCACCGATGTCAAAGGCCTATACGTACCAATACATCATGCACAGATGTGAAAGGCCTATACGTACCAATACATCATGCACAGATGTCAAAGGCTTATACGTACCAATACATCATGCACAGATGTCAAAGGCCTATACGTACAAATACATCATGCACAGATGTCAAAGGCCTATACGTACCAATACATCATGCACAGATGTCAAAGGCTTATACGTACCAATACATAATGCACAGATGTCAAAGGCTTATACGTACCAATACATCATGCACAGATGTCAAAGGCCTATACGTACCAATACATCATGCACAGATGTCAAAGGCCTATACGTACCAATACATCATGCACAGATGTCAAAGGCCTATACGTACCAATACATCATGCACAGAAGTCAAAGGCTTATACGTACCAATAAATCATGCACAGATGTCAAAGGCCTATACGTACCAATACATCATGCACAGATGTCAAAGGCCTATACGTACCAATACATCATGCACAGAAGTCAAAGGCTTATACGTACCAATACATCATGCACAGATGTGAAAGGCCTATACGTACAAATACATCATGCACAGATGTCAAAGGCTTATACGTACCAATACATCATGCACAGATGTCAAAGGCCTATACGTACCAATACATCATGCACAGATGTCAAAGGCCTATACGTACCAATACATCATGCACAGATGTCAAAGGCCTATACGTACCAATACATCATGCACAGAAGTCAAAGGCTTATACGTACCAATAAATCATGCACAGATGTCAAAGGCCTATACGTACCAATACATCATGCACAGATGTCAAAGGCTTATACGTACCAATACATCATGCACAGATGTCAAAGGCCTATACGTACCAATACATCATGCACAGATGTCAAAGGCCTATACGTACCAATACATCATGCACAGATGTCAAAGGCCTATATGTACCAATACATCATGCACAGATGTCAAAGGCTTATACGTACCAATACATCATGCACAGATTGAGCTGAAGACTGATGGAACAACTGCAGTGGTGGGGCATTCTGACATTCACGATAGAAACGAGTTAGTCCTGCCGACGAATTATCTGACGCAAACGCGGCTTTCTGTCGGAAAATGAAGTTTAGAATAAACGGACATGGAAAAATGGCAAACTGTTGAAAGCTGTTTGCATTGTTGAACAGAACTAACCAATTCGACCATGATAAAATCATCCTCGGGGTTGTTTTGTCCAAGATTTGTGACCAAAGTATCATTTTTCGACTCAGTGTTTCCGACATTCTGTGGCAAAACGAGAATAAGTGTATCTCTACATATGATAATAACTACAAGAACGTAAACACTACAGTTAAATTTTATCATTTTTGCGTTAATTACAGAAGCCCTCGACAAAACAACACAGCAAGATTGATGAAAAAAAAAACTACTTTTGAAAAACTGTGCTCACTTCCGCAGAGTTCAGGAGCTCCGAAGTGCGGAGTTCACTTCCAGAGGGTAGTGCGGAGTTCACTTCCCAGAGGGTAGTGCGGAGTTCACTTCCCAGAGGGTAGTGCGGAGTTCACTTCCCAGAGGGTAGTGCGAAGTTCAGAAGAATTTTCGGGGAAGTTTTGAAGCGACTCCATCTCTGCTGTTCCGTCGCTTCTGATTAAAGTGTTTATAACACCGAAATCTACCTCACAGTTTTCTAACTACAATGCAAAGAACATTCATGATGACATGGTAACTACTTCTTTAACATTTAAAATAGTTCATTCGAAACACATCATGGATATTACATCACATTGGATGATTAAGTACAAGAAAATGTAGCTTTCGTCGACAGTTTGTCGTAAAAATCAAACATTCGCACATTCATTCGCACATACATTCATTAAAATCTTGTACTTGTGAATGAAATGTTCGAAAATTTGACGTCATAGCAACGTAATTTGCATAACCAACAAAGTTCATTATCTCAAAAAAAGAAGTAAAACAACACAATTCCATCCGAAAAGTCTTTAAGTCATTTTAAATGTTCTTTGCAATGTTATCAGATAGCTGCGTGGTATAATTTCGTGTGATAGAGCATTTCTGCACCTTTGATGAACTTTGAGACGTACTTCCGGTCAAGGTGTGTTGACTACCCGACTCGTCGGACTTATTTACGAGTAGACTTGCAAATGGTGGCGTGGAAGACAAAGGAACGAGTCCTTCCTGCACATAAGATCAAATCGATTAACTCACTTTATATTATTCTATAGAACATGAATACTATGCGACGTCTACGTACATGCGATGCGTGCTTTCTGTCACGAACAAACGCCGCTTCTGTTGTACCTTTGGTTTCCGAGAATTTCCTCGTTCTAGTTGAAGGTAAAGATTACGTCATGGCAAAATGTCATAAATTTTTTATGGAAAACTAAAGAAAGTGCGTGTTCCGTAAATTCTTGGTACTTTCGAAACAACCGAGCGAACTTCGAATAAAATTCCCGAGTGTTTTGGTTGGATGTCTTTAAATAACGACGTCGTATTTTTAAAGTCTTCTTTATCGCAGACTATCTAAGGACATCAAGCCAAATAACCAAAACAAGTAGGTAATCGTGATTTTCTTGTCCTCCATGCTGGTAGGGCTGGTTAGATTGATAGACCAATCGGTTTTATTATCTATTTCACAGCCCAAATGCTGAATTACGTAGTTGCTGAGATAACATTTTTAGCACTTAGCGTCAACAATTCTAATTTTAATTCCAATTCAAACTCTGATTCTCATTCTAATTCTAGTTCTAAAACTATTGTACCTATTATTCTAATAAACCTTTAAGAATCATGACTAAATATAACAAGAGAATATCATTACGTTTTATTGTTGTTAGAAGACACTGTACATGCCTTTCCTTGTTTAATATTCCATTGAGCAATACATGAACATGAAAAAACCGCAATCAGGACCCTTGCCATCCCCCAGTTAGCACATGCTTACTTCAGATTTCGCAGAAGTTCAAAAAATGAACAATGCAAAAGAAGACAGTAAGATCTACAAACCTTTCGATATTTGTGTTGCAAGTAGAACTATCCCTTTCTGGTTCAGTTTGGCTAGCAGAAGAGTGTTCAGTCGTCGCGGATGGCTTAGAACTCGCGGTTGTATCAAATGTTTGCGGTGAAACGTTGCTACGAGACAAATCAGTATCCTCTACGGCACTAGCGATTTCCTTGACAATATGGTGCCTACGTAGAAAAAATCAGCTCGAGAAACATTTATATTTTATGACAAACCGCTGACAATTGAAAGACAGACAATGCACTCATTAAACTGAAAATAACTGAAATGCTTCTTCCCGCCAAAAGTTAATCTTCCCACGCGCGGCCGAAAAAAAGTTCATTTAGGTACGACGAGAAGTTAGAATGCGAGAATTGACCCCCTCCCCAGACACGCGTGTTTGACAGTGAAATTTGGTTTCTTGGAAATACAAGCACGCTTACGTTAAGGTAGCTTTTCCGTTTAATACATTTTTTCAATGATTTCACCTCAATTCAGTGGTCATAGCAACGGGATATTGCATCCCAGAGTCTGTATTTGGAACAAGTTGTAAATTCTCGTCGTTGCCTGGTAACATGACGGAATCGTTGGACGTTGATCTGTTGGTGTGAGGTAGGACGAGTTTGGTTCTATACCCAACAGAAAGCGTCAATCCTCCGCGTGGGGTCGCAATACTTCCGACAGAAACAATGCGATAACCTACAGAAAAGTACGATAAATCCATGTTACTTTGAAAAAAATAATCTGTTGTTATTTAATGTCGAAGGTTGTACATTTTCTGCAAAAGTAATCAGTTAAATTCCTGAGTAGGATCCCATAAAATCCTACAACATCCAACCAAGATCCTGTAAGATCCTTTCACATCACGGATGAAATATACTTAACCCTTTATTACACGTTGTGCACAATAGTAAACGCGATGAAAACCGAGTCAAACTCGAGTGAAAAAGTAGACGTAGCTCGCAGACTTTGCAAGATACTAGATACGATTGCATTACGATTCAACTCGAGTGAAAAAGTAGACGTAGCTCGCAGACTTTGCAAGATACTAGATACGATTGCATTACGATCCAACTCGAGTGAAAAGTAGACGTAGTTCGCAGACTTTGCAAGATACTAGATACGATTGCATTACGATCCAACTCGAGTGAAAAAGTAGACGTAGTTCGCAGACTTTGCAAGATACTAGATACGATTGCATTACGATCCAACTCGAGTGAAAAAGTAGACGTAGTTCGCAGACTTTGCAAGATACTAGATACGATTGCATTACGATCCAACTCGAGTGAAAAAGTAGACGTAGTTCGCAGACTTTGCAAGATACTAGATACGATTGCATTACGATCCAACTCGAGTGAAAAAGTAGACGTAGCTCGCAGACTTTGCAAGATACTAGATACGATTGCATTACGATCCAACTCGAGTGAAAAAGTAGACGTAGCTCGCAGACTTTGCAAGATACTAGATACGATTGCATTACGATCCAACTCGAGTGAAAAGTAGACGTAGTTCGCAGACTTTGCAAGATACTAGATACGATTGCATTACGATCTAACTCGAGTGAAAAAGTAGACGTAGTTCGCAGACTTTGCAAGATACTAGATACGATTGCATTACGATCCAACTCGAGTGAAAAAGTAGACGTAGTTCGCAGACTTTGCAAGATACTAGATACGATTGCATTACGATCCAACTCGAGTGAAAAAGTAGACGTAGTTCGCAGACTTTGCAAGATACTAGATACGATTGCATTACGATCCAACTCGAGTGAAAAAGTAGACGTAGCTCGCAGACTTTGCAAGATACTACATACGATTGCATTACGATCCAACTCGAGTGAAAAAGTAGACGTAGCTCGCAGACTTTGCAAGATACTAGATACGATTGCATTACGATCCAACTCGAGTGAAAAGTAGACGTAGTTCGCAGACTTTGCAAGATACTAGATACGATTGCATTACGATCTAACTCGAGTGAAAAAGTAGACGTAGTTCGCAGACTTTGCAAGATACTAGATACGATTGCATTACGATCTAACTCGAGTGAAAAAGTAGACGTAGTTCGCAGACTTTGCAAGATACTAGATACGATTGCATTACGATCTAACTCGAGTGAAAAAGTAGACGTAGTTCGCAGACTTTGCAAGATACTAGATACGATTGTACTACGATCCTACACCAAAGTTTCACCAAGGCAGGTTAAAATATTTTGGAAACACAGAGGAGAACATGCTCTTGCGATTTCACAGACTTTTTACAGCTAACTTAAAGTTGTATCAACATGCACTCGAGATATATCACTCCTGGATGCATGCAGTATTTAAATGAATAAAGAACTTACTTTCGCCAAAATCTGAAATTTTTATTTGACCAAAGTAAATTCTAGAGAAAAAACAGTTTGTCAGAGATAAAAAATAACCTTCACTACGAGACTTTATCTCCGTAAATAAAACTTCTTAAACGAAAATCATACTGGTTATTTTTCCCCCTCCCCCCCCCCCGCCAAAAAAACGGAACCCGCACAAATTAACTATGAATTTACTGAAATTAATATTCACAATAATGTTACTAGCATTCAAAACAGTTTGATGAACTTGGTCGTTCTGCGTCTCTGGAAGTTCACAGGGTATGTAAGTATTGAAAGCAAAACAAGTTAAAAGTACTGTATACACTGATTTTCACCTGAAATAAATCACGCAAAATTACCACGACAATTTTATTACGACATTAACTTAGTGCTACGAGCAATAACAAGTGTGTAACTAAATAAACCAGCTACTAAATTAACCAGAACAAATAGTTATTGCCTGTGGCGGATTACTAATTATAGAGCCTGTAGGCTAAGGGGCTGTTCATATGAGCCCGGCTAACCGGGATTCAGTGAGGTGTTAGATGATTTTGGCAAATGGAAACGATTCTATACTTATCATTAGATAAATCTTCTCGAGCAATTTCACAATATACTGATTTAATGACAGCGCAAAACATTTAAAATTGAAACAGCCAGTTTGGCCTAATTTGAGAATTTCAACAGAAATGACTTGTGGCGCTTAGCAAACAGTTGTAATTTTTACGCTTAAAGTTTTGCCCCCTTTCAATGCATCAAAATCATTTAATGCATCACTAAATCCCGGTTAGCCGGGCTCATATGAACAGCCCTTAAGAAAGTTGAGTCTTTTGACGACGTTTGCGTTCATCAAGTTCCCATTTCTTTGCTTTTGCCCTTTCTGTTTGTAGGCCATAGTGTAAACCATCGGAAAAAGTTCATTTTAAAGTTCAAACAAAATTTTTAAAATCATTTAAATGGTCATGGAAACTGGGAAAACCCACTACTTTACGAGTTCTGAGCATCGCACATTTAAAAAGTAGACAGTACGAAAGCCATTTTTCCTCTGCATTCAACTGCTCGTACGGTTTTAACACGTGAAACACTAAATATGTCTAGATAACACGGACCTCTTGAAATCCTGGATTACTGGATAATCCACCATTGAAAGCCAAGATTACTGGAAAGCCAAATGGATAATCCACCCCTGGTTATTGCAGACTAATAAACAACTATTGGTTGAGGTTGAGCATGATATCAAGAATTATTCAGACCGAGATCAATGTTAGCTATCTACCGACGCGTAGCCGAAGCGGATAACGTCGACCGAGGTTTGAATAATTCTTGACATCATGCAAAAGCCAAATTCAACAATTGTTTTATTATTCACCTTAACTAACTGAAGTATTTTTAAAACATATCAACGTAAAACAGTTTTAAAACCTTCGCAAATTTGTCCTTGTCAAACGGTTTTTTCAAGTTCTTCTGCTTTAAATATGCCGTAAATATGTTCAAAGCCAGTTTCGCCGCTTTTTGAATGTTTTTCACATCCTTTTGTTAAAATTGTAGAAAGTATTATTTGTAGATATGACGTCATAACCTGCAGATATCGAGAATTATTTGTAGGTAGTTGACCAATCAAAACCAACATTGTTTACATAGTGAATAATAAATTATCTCTGAGCAGATTTCTTTTAAAGCATACATAATTATCTGTGCAGGTTTCATTTTTCAGGGGGGGGGGGAGCCCTGCACAAATGTTATAATACCATTTATATGTAATTTCTTTACCTGTAACACAATATATAATCTTGACCTTGGTTACGAGCAATCTTATAGGCAGGTAAAACCCGTGTGACAGCAATCAGAGATCGAAGCAAAATTCCCATTCTGTTGTAAACTGTGAAGGTTATCTTGTTGCTATATTCACATCTGTGCAAATCATCAGAATAAGCAAAAGATGACATATCATTGAAAATAGTTGAATAAAAAGCTCTCAAATAGCTATAAAACATGCTGGGCACAATGTGGAGATAATGTATTCAAAGTAATTCTTTATCAGGAGAGAATCTGTAGTCATCTGACAGAAAGGACAATGATTTTCCCAGGGGGGTGTAGCAAAGTTTTGCCAGGTTTCCAGGACTATTAAGTATCTTGCACTTAACCCACATATGTCATTTTCAAAATTTTCAAGGGGGGTTCACCCAACCAATTTCCAGAAAATCAACTCATGTTCTTTAAGACTTACTTTCTATCCATTCCTAACTTCCATGTTTCTAAGACCATAGTATTGCCCTGTTAATGAATAAGAAATTATATAAAAGTTAACTAATGGTGTAAAATCACATGAAAGCAAGGATTTGTGAGATAATGAATTTCTCCTAGAAGGTGCAGTTCTGCAACATTTGTTTTGCAAGCATAAAAATTGTTATTGAAAAATCTAAATATACCAGGAATATTAAGTCTTCAGTCTCATGACAGATTGGCAACTCTAGGTCAAAAACACATGTCCAAAGCAATATGTCCTTGTAAAATAATGCATACCTCGTTTGTTTTTAATGAAACTTCAACACATAATGGACTATCTACAGAAGGCAATCTATTATTGCCCATTACTTTCTTTGTCTCTTCTAGAACTTCATGGATGTCGGTGATTGCCAGATTGAACTAAATATATAGAGCAAAGCATGGCAACTTAAAAAATTCTCAATTGCAACAAAGATGGCAAACTGACTGTAAGGTAACTGCATTTAATTTTGGGAATTGAATGATGAAGCTGAAGCTACTAAGCTCATCACACAATTGTTGAGTACAACACAAAATTGCACTCCTGCTAATCTGTGGCAAACTCATTTCTCCAACAATGACGGCAAGCTTTTTGCTAAAATATTTCAAATGAACCAATCAGTGGAGTGAAAGTGCCATTTTCAAATAGTTACGAGGTGATTTTGAAGCCCAACTCTGTGAGTGTGAGTATGAGTGAGCTTATACGTAGATAGCATGTCACTGTAACAACAACTTTATATAGCTGCATGATTTTCAATCTTGAGAAAAGCGTTACTGCAAACACATCACATCTATTCATGACACAGTGACAGATTTATTAAACAAGAAAAACATTTCAATACCCAATCATAGCCCATTGCATTTGGTTTTGAGATCGCGGAGATTTTCTCCCCAAGTCTGGACTGAACGATCACCTGAACGACCTACAGATGACAGAGTGAAGTAATTTTGATTATTGGCAGCGGGAAATCGTCGTTAGTTGAACGACGACAAGCAACAACCAACAGGAAATGTACACGAACTTTAAATGAAAAGAATTTCTGAAATTTATTGAGGTCTTTCTCCTCCTGAGGAGTTAATTTCCACGCTGGATCGGCCATCACAGTAAACTCGACGCAGATCTTACTCTATCAATCTAAACACAAAATTCATCAAATAGTTTGTATTATATTCAATTTTATTAACTGAAGATTTGACATTTCACATTTCTTACCCAGAGAATACAGCATCCGAAATGACAAGTAGCTTTTCTACAATAGAGGTCTCTCGTTTATAGTAGAAAAAATGTATTGAATACATAATAGATGTTCTAAAGTTTACAGAACTCAAACATTCTCACAATTTTCAAAAATGGTCATAAACATCGTCCATTTTGAGCAAGCGAAAATTAATTTGTCAACATGCGTCACGGGGGGTGGGGTGGGGTGGTTAAAGCAAGATTAAAGAGTACAATCAGAATCAATGATCAGAATACACAAAAAGTTATGCTGGCAAATAGAACATCTTATAAACTCAAGATATGAGCTTTTATTAAACAAGAAAACACTTCACGGTTATGTTTCGTCTTTATTCCATGGTTATTGTCAAACCAGAATGTAAATTTACAAACCAGAAAAAGACCACGAGCTCTTTTACTTCTTTAGGTCCCTTAAGTCCATTATTTAGCAGAGGTTATTGTATTCGACGTACAAAGCTGGAATTAGTGTGTTTGAGAGTGTGAAAAACTAGACATACAATGTGAGTGTCAGGAAAAATGAGATGATAGGAAGATGTGTCGAAGAGTATCTGTATAACTGTCGTTGAATAAAATCAAAATAAATCACTGCGAATGGTTTTCTTGTTTCATTAAAGCTGTTATCCTCAGTTTACAAGATATTGTTTATTGCTTTTCAAAAGATTTTTTTATATTTCATCAAATAGGTGAATTGCAAATTTGGTAAATGTTTTAATGAGGAGGAAGTGGTTCTCAATTTTAATGTTGTGAACCGGGGTCTGGCGTGAAGGAGCAAATTCAAAGGATAATTAGCTGGCCGAAGCTGGTGGCTACACGCACGCGTTAAGCTTTTTTAATATCAACGACCGTTTTAGTAATATTTATTCAAACTCGCTTGTTTACCACGATCAACTTTGAAAATTTGTCCCGGTTGTTCAATCGCGCATGCGGAAGTGGCTACACGAAAGATTTTCCAAGTTGAAAGAAGTGTCAAATGTTCATTTACATTCGAGAAAAACGCCTTAAAAATGGCACATGGTTAATAATATTTTTTTCCCTACAGGAAATAGATATTCAATAGAAATATTGGCAAGCCTATTCAACTGTAATCATTGCGGAAACATTTCTCAGCAGTAACACTAAGACACACCCGTTGTCTTTCCGGGTGAAATTACTTTCTCTAATCCTGCATCTCAACTTGCAAGATTTGAAAGTTCTTAACGGCCCATAGCATCTCTTTTCCAAGTCCTGTTGATCGAATGGGCAACAAAAAGTATTCTTCCCGTTTAAACACGCAAATAATTTGGTTAAATTACGATAAAGCCAAGTGACTCTTTGAGCACAATTTTCTCTAAAATGAGGACAAAGAGGTCGTGAACAATGCTTATTTACAGCATCATTCTATACAATGTGCTTTGAATGTCGAGACAAGCACGAGGCCTAAATAAGACTATTTTTGAAAAGCTGCATCAATTGTACTTAAGATTGTCTGTAGTGTCATCGTTTTCCGGAAGTAAGCGTGGCGCTCTAACAAAGGGCGACCGCGAGAATTTAAGAGTCGTCCACGATTATTCCACGAGGGAGATAGGGAGGGATTGGTTTAGCAAATGTAGGAGTTTTTTATTTAGATCACAGCACAATTCCGTTGTACGAATCATCGTGATAATAGTGGATGATAATAGTATCCTTAGTTTGGCATTTAACCTCATTCATGTACGTTTGTTTCATGTTAAGTTTAAAAAGAAAACAGACTACGAAGAAAATAGCTGTCTTGAAGTTGAATATTTGAATTAAAGCGAGAGATGCAAAATTGAATGTAAATATTTCTTTTTATTTCAAAGCCTCCTTTACAGACAATAAATTTACCTCGAGTCTATTTTGTGGACTTTCCGAGTCTCAGACTCTGGTGTCTGCCGCCCCCTTCTGACGCAACTTTCAAACGAACGACAAGGAGATCAAGCAGACTGAGATTTAATTATATGCACAACATTATTTAAGAAGGAAAAGTATCAGGCTCATCAGAAATTGAAAATGCACCCGTAATTCCATCTTCGCTTGCCAGCTATTAATTTTCCTAGTTGTCGTTTCCTAGGTTGCTAGCAGTAGAATCAGGGTATAGTATCAGTAATGAGTTAATCGTTTCAAAATGCGAGGTTGTTGTGCGCGTGCAGGCAACATATGTCCTTTTGATGTCGATGTCGGTGGTCAAAACGCCATTGACAAGTAATTGTCAAGTAACGGTTTTCCTTTCGGGATTCGATACAAGCATCTGGAATGTCTTAAGAACAAACAAAGAGTTACCCGTCAATTGCAAATAAAAGAATCATAGTGACCACAAGAAACAATGTTACTCTTTTGAAAATCGTCCCCGAACAGAAAAATACAGCTAATTTGTAATTCGTATAATCTATAATTATGGTTTGTACCCGACTAAATTATTGTGTATATATATTTTGTTATTCCCGCTGTGTTGTATAGGGATTTGGTGAAACCATTTGGTTTGAAGTTAAACAATTGTCAAGGTTTTGTAAGTTATGACTTCATAACTTTCCATAAATTTTACATCATAGACTATATTACCTAGGAAATCGTGAAGACGACGCTGTTTTAGCTAAACAACTATGGCAATTGAAAATAGCAACATGTTTTTGCTTCTAAGGGCTGGGTTTCCTACATGCAATTAGGACACACAAGTGTAGCGTGTCGTGGACTAGTCTCTTTATAACAAAATAACACAACTATACCGCCACGTGGATGTGTAGAGGAACTCCCTTTTTAATCTCTAAGGGGCTCAATTTTATCATTAAATTCAAACTTGAATAGTAAAATTTAGTAAGGTACATGTATTTCAAGGTCATAAATATATATTTCTTTGCTTCGTACGTGGGGATTTAATTTCCAAAAATTAGGTCATCAAATTCCAAGTCGTTTGATAACACCTCTTTAATACGATAAAGACCGTCTTGAAGGACTGACACGAGGCTTTGTTTCTAAAACATTGTTTATACAATTTGGCATCTGTTTCTAATACATTATCCTTCCTACCTCTTTATCTCGGAAGTAAAACAATGTCAATTTTCATACTTTAATCACCGCTCGTTATTAAGTTCGCTTTTAATTTGGTATTTGGAGGAGCTGAAGTGCTTGAACGAAAGCAAACACAAAATGGATGCGATTGCCCGCGATTCGGGTATTGGCCAATGAAATTTTGCGCTCTTTCTCTTTAAAGGAGAAAGTCTGTCTCATAAGTTGTACCGACAAGAACTCAGACGGTTAATACCACCAGTTCATTCTAACTAAGCAATCATCTTTGACTGTGCACCTGTCAATGGATCAGTGTATCAAAGACAGGTCGGACAGATTTTTAATGCAAACAAAAAAGGATCTTTGAAAAAAAGTAAATCAGAATTTCGATAGTCTGTAGAAACCAATAAGTTAAACACTTGCCTACGACTTTTTAGTATTTTGTTCAGTTCGTTGTCACAAAACAAAGATCCACGCACGAATTGAAATTGCCCGTGGCATTTGACGAATTTAGTACATGAATTTTCAATGCACTTAATGTTATAGTTAAGTGCTCTGAAATGTAATCGCCTCTCATTTACGTGAATAAAGGACTCGGCATATGTTCATGAGTGCAAAATCCAAGCCTTAAACAACAGTTGACATTGCATGTGCACGTTTCATCCAATCATCATTTTATCTTGTATTTAGTGCTCTGAAATGTAATCTCATTTACGAAAATAAAGGACTCGGCATATGTTCATGAGTGCAAAATCCAAGCCTTAAACAACAGTTGACAATGCATGTGCACGTTTCATCCAATTATCATTTTATCTTGTATTTAGTGCTCTGAAATGTAATCTCATTTACGAAAATAAAGAACTCGGCATATGTTCACGAGTACAAAATCCAAGCCTTAAACGACAGTTGACCATGCATGTGCAGGTTTCATCCAATCATCATTTTATCTTGTATTTAGTGCTCTGAAATGTAATCACTTTTCATTTATGAAAATAATGGACTCGGCATATGTTCATGAGTACAAAATTCAGGCCTTAAACAACGGTTGACAATTGCATGTGCACGTTTCATCTAATCACTATTTTATCTTATATTGCTTATGGCCAGAAACATTTCTCGATGACTATTTACCTGTAACTTTCAAACTATATCTTTTTTTTATAACAAACAACACGAACTTTCAAACAACTATAATTTTTACGCACACAATAACCTTTATTGATGACAGACGCTTAAGACTGTAAAACGAAGTTCTAGCTCAAAACAGCTAGCAGCACTTTTTCCCTCTATGGGAGTGCAGAAGGCCTTTGAATAAAATACATGTGAGTACACCTGTATGACGCAAGAGAGCTCTTGCACATGAAAAATGATCAAAAACAGGTGACCCATTTCACAGTTTATCATGCATTGGCCGGTACCTGAATGATAGAACAATAGTATTTTGATGAAAGACTGTCCTACAGCTTTCGCTTTTCTTGGCCAACTAATCAAAGCACATGGGCACAAGCAAATCCATCAAATACTGTAGAGTGCAAAACGCTTAAGCATTGAGCACCTATTTTCAGACACTGTTTATAGAATTAATTCATCTTCTTATATACTCCGTCGCTGCAAAACGATTTTTTGTTCCAAAAAAGCAATCTAACACTACTAAAACGATTATTTTCCCCAAGACCACATTTTAAAGGAAAGTGTTGCACGACTCGATTAGACGGATTAATTTAGTGCTCATCAGAGATCAAAAGTATCATACATGGCAAAGATAGTAGTCATTCCCAAATCTAAACGAAAAGGTTACTGACTAATAGTTCATTTCACTTGGCAATTCAGAGTTTAAACTCCCGCTAAATTTGTGTATTTTGCTGGCGGGGTTCGTTTGTAAGCGTACAACGGCAGTGTAACTGTTCTTATTGCTATGAAAGGCGTGCACTCATTAACTTTGTGAATATAGACTTTTGTGTTTTAGATTTATAATTGGCATGTTTGTATTCTTTTTATTAAGCTTGCACATTACGAAAGTTTAACAGCTGTCGCGAGATTCCTATGGACGGCGCGCTCGCCCTGAAAAGAACAACGACAAGAAACGCGCGAGGTATTGTATGCTGCCACGAGATTCGAAACGATTCATTGATTTTTCAAAATACGCAATAAATTATTCACAATGCATTGTGCCGACGCATTGTTCGTTAAGGCGACCACGAGTGTTCTGATTGGTCGGTTGTTTGAATGTGCGGTACTCGACTGCTTGATACATTGTCCATTACGAATGAACCTCAGAACACCTGTTACCATATAAGTGATGGTATATAAGACCTGACAAATCCACTTCAAGTCACCAGTCGCTTTCACAACATCACTGAACGTGCATCGTTTATTAAACAACGTAAAAAAGATTTAGCCAAATAGACTTTCAACGACGTTCAGTTTTTCAGCTTCAAAATGCCACATTCGTTTTTGGTGAAGAAAAAGGATTTCAAAAAACCATTAGCCGTGCAGTTTGGCGATAGAGGTATGTAGAAAGCGTTTCTCGTATCATCCTAAGTCATAGACTACTTTTTGAAGACGGAAATGCATGCATAATCTCGAAATAGTTAGTGTGGACGCAGCAACTGAAAATGACTGTTTACGTACGCGCATGCACCTCGGCGTTTTAATAACATCATTATGATGCTGAAGTTGGCAAGTGTACGGGATGTTAGAAAAGTTCATAAAGATATACATCACGAGCAGATAAGAACTTGCAAAGAAATTGCGAACAATTGAATAAAAAAAAAGAAACGACTATCGCACCAATAGTTGCGACAAAAGTTTTCAAATCAAGGCCGTCATGGGTGAGTCGAACCCCAGCTGTTGCCTAATAGGCTATACCAATTTCATTACAATTTGTCTTTTATACATGCAGTTAATCCCATAATATGATTAATATAGCTTGTATATTTTTTATACAAACTTACATGATGAGCACAGGTGAACACACGGAGAAAAAAGCAAGAGCTATTCCGCGCATTCGGAAAACTTCGTCCATTTCTTGCGTTTTCTTGCACTGATTTCTGCACAATTGGCGTGTTTAATGTTGTGATCTGGTTCGATTTGCATACGAAGTTATTGAATTTGATAATCGCTTTGCCCATCGAAAACTTCACGTAGAGAATGAAGAAGTATCTACGATCACAACATCCAATGCAATTCACATCAGCCCATTTTTGCATTTCGACCGCCAAATTTGAACATCTTGAGAAAACCGTTACTCAGACTTGTACAAATAATAATAAAAATTCAAATTGTTATTGTAACTTGATGAATGGAGCACTCCAGACTTTAGGAATGATTTCGCAAATGCATCCGCACCGGACCGGAACACGACGAACTCGGAGAAAAAATTCAAACGAGAACCACCATAGAGCTCGAGAGTATTGAAGTAGTCGGGAAGTGAGATATTTTCACGATGAAAACTCAACTCCCGAGAACGTTGCAAGAGCTTTTTTGTCCCAGTAGAGGCAGAGAGGCCTGCAATGCTAGACTGACGCCACATGGTCATAAAGAGCTCCCACTGAGTGGCGCACGTGTTTAAAACAAACAAGTTGATTGTCCAATTGAACGTCCAAGTGGTTAGACATTAGCGGCAAATTCAAATTACGTTTAAGACAAGAGAACTTTTACAGTCAAAACAAAATGCGCTTTTCAGTACAGAAAATCGGAAAAATATGCATCCGTAAATGCTACTAGTATGAAATGAAATTATGAGTGGTTTCAAGCATTCAACTGTCTTAAATTGTTGTTTCTTGGTACAGAAATATCATCGACTTATGTGATAAGATAGACCTCCATTTACCATAAAGTTGAATTCAGTTTGCTGTGTTTACGAATCAAGTAATTTTATTTTGTTTTCAACTAAATATTTTTGATACTATTTTAGTATTCCCCGAAGCGATGCATTATTTCCCTTTTCCCGTACAAGACATCCCGCAGCTTTTGTCGTTTCCCGTACCTTTTCCGGCCGCGTACGCCTTATTCCGAGAATATCCGATGCATTTGATGCCAGCGGGGCCTGTCGGGACGCCGTATCCTGTGATCCGCGAGCTTCGACCCGCGATGAACGAAAGCATGCACGACAATGGGAAATGCAAAGAAAAGACTTCGGAGGACGATAAAAAACCCGAAGAGAACGCGACGTTCAAATGCCCACACTGCAGTAAAGTTTTCACGCGATCCTGGAACTTTCATCGTCACGTGCTCATACACAGCGGACAGAAACCATACAAGTGCGAGAATTGCCCAAAGGCTTTCGCTCTTGCTGCTCATCTAAAGATTCACAATAGAATACATACCGGCGAGAAACCATACACCTGTAATATATGCCAACGAGGTTTTGCCCAACTGACTAATCTTCAGCGGCACATTCTCACTCACACCGGACAAAAGCCCCACAAATGCACGTATTGTCCGAAAGCTTTCGTCAGCTCCAGCGACCTCAGACGTCATGTAAGAATCCACACGGGAGAGCGACCGTACAAATGCAAGCAGTGTACTAAAGCGTTTACCACATCCGGTAATCTGCAATCGCACATACTGACGCACACGGGAGAAAAACCGTACCAATGCAAAATCTGCAAGTGGAAGTTTATATCATCCAGCAATTTACGTACGCACATGCGCATTCATCACACAAACCAGGAGACTGGTAAAGAATAGAGAGAGGATAGTCCCAGTAAAAATTATAAGACCGAGTTCTTCTCTGAACAATGTGTCGACACTGGACTCGAATAGAAAAGTAAAATTTTGTAAATAAAATGAAGAGATTTGGTTAGCCGACCACAATATTGTTTCTGTACATATTTGCCACCAATCGAATATGATTTGCAAAGTAGACATTCTATGAAAAAATTAAAAATACGAAGATGAATTTTGTCTAAATGTTTATTGTCTGTAGGCGCAAACTTTACAGTCGTAAAGAAAAAAGATTTTATTTGTGACTTCTCTTGTGACGAAGTATTTCGGTTACAGTAAACTTGAACTCTTTATTACAATCGGGACAAAAGAACAATTTTCTCAATCGGTTTAAATCGCTGTCCTCGGCATCTCCTTCAGACTCGTCTTTCTTAAAAGGTTTTTTTTCAACGCCTGTCTCTTGTAAGCAATGTTTCTCGTGTTCTATCCTCTCGAGTACCGTGACCACCATTTTGGTCCCGCACTTTTCGCACGTCCAATGCCTCTGAATATACTGCGCTGCCTGCGAGGCTACCTGGGCCTCAATTTCATCTCTCAGATCGTTATACGTAAAGAAATCATTCACTTTGACTCCTCCCTTTCGAGGATGAGCCTCTACTACGGCTTTCCTGTCACCGAGAAATGGGGCAAGAGCGCCGAGCCGAACATCCGAGTGATGGGAACGGGTTATTTCATCGTCTTCCAATTTGCCAGTGACATTATAGTGGTGACCAAGGTTACCTATATAAAGGTTTCCCACATCAGTCAGATGTAGACGTTTCATAGAGTAGCTAACATTACAGTCAAGAAATTCGGAAAGTTTCGTCGAAAGTATATACTCAAGATACTCGGTATCGTTACCAGTCTCCCGACGGGATTCCTCAATCTTGCATTTCAACAACGCATCCCACGTGCTCCGTAAGTGTATCACGGAAGAGATAATTTTCTGAGCATGCTCAGAATCGGGTATACCGAGTTCAATCCAATCGTCAATGACTAGCCGGGTACAATCAACATTAGAATCGATACCACGTCCAAACAACAATAACGTTTGCAAACCGGGTACTCGCATTACAGTCATGACGTACGGTTTTCGCGTCTCCAAGAGACTGACGTACGACATTAACTCGTGATCATTTCGGATGTCGTCGTGAAAATGTCGTGAATCCTTCACCATTTTCTCGGATCTAACAACGGACGCGCTCGGCTTGACATGTATAGCAGTCAACAAATCAGGTTGACTCACGAAAACACAAGTCGGATGAAGCATTAAATACTGTTTGTTTACTGTATGAAAAACATGTTCAGATACATTTTTGGACGCGTTGTGTTCGTCAGGGATAGCCATTTGTGGATACAGACCGCAGCACAAGATAATTTTAAGCAAGTTTATATCCTTCAACGTAAAAGATCGCCGTAGTATAGAATTGCGTTGAAGCTTGTCCATGTCGTGAATCAGTTTGAATTCCAAATCCCGTACATCCGTTTCCATTCCTTTGTCCTCATCGTTATCATTGTCTATCCCTTGTTGTCCCAGTTTCAAGAGTTGAGGTCGTCGTGGACCCCTGCCGTGTTCTTTCTTCAATTTTCGTAGTTTGTCGCGATTTTCTCGTTTCCTTTCACGGGAATTTTGCGTCTGAAAGCAAGAAGATGAGTAGTTGAATACAAAAATAAAAAAACAAATATTTTTTGAACGTTGGCGGACTCTACAAAGATAAATTACTGCTAACAGTTATCAGAAATGTGTATAAATAAAAACTTCACAAAAAGAAAGACCCCCACTAAATAAATTATTTTAAGTGCTAAATAAATAAATCCAGCCGACCTCTAAAACACCAAAAACGATGGCCCTGTTTTGATACGATAATCTGGGTATTCTTTAAACTGCATTACAGGATGACTGTTACTAAAGAACAATGTTGCTGAATGGTGAGTGAAACTGACCAATAAAGAACAATGTTGCTGAATGGTGAGTGAAACTGACCATACCACCACTTTTTAAAGCTCACTTTCATGTAGGGTATTCTTTAAACTGCATTACAGGATGACTGTTACTAAAGAACAATGTTGCTGAATGGTGAGTGAAACTGACCATACCACCACCTTTTAAAGCTCACTTTCATGTAGGATATTTTTAAATTCAAGAGACGATACCTGTTGTGTGATTTAGATTGCATGATGAAGAGAAAATAAACGTAATTGTAAACCATCGTAAAAAAGCCTTCGTGCAAAGATTTTAGGTTCAGTTCCCATTACATGAAGTATGTACTCACATTTCCTAACTATTTGCATGTGATTTCCTAATTTGATGTCACTTTTGCAAGAAAGTTATTTTTTCATATGTCACAATACAACTGATATAAATAGAAGTAAAAGAAATTAGATTAGTCACTATAGTCAGTAGAGTTATTAGAATGCTATGTAGCCCGAGATTGTTGCAAGCATATCGTACTTCTTTCTCCATAAATTCCACAACTAAGAGGATTTGAGTGCAGATCAATTTGTTGGATGAGCTCAACGAATTCTGCGACAATACGTCCTTCTTTCATAAAACAAAGTAACCTCATTCTTCACACGGTAGTTGACAAGTTACTGTAAGTCTAAGTAGTGCTGTGTAGAATTATCTCGGATTCAATAATTTAAAATTTATAACAATATCTCGGTGAGGGAGGGGAGTAACAAAGAGCTTTTTGTGTTGTGTTTAGGACCGCAATCAGAAACACTCAAAAAAATGATTTTGAGACAAACCTTTTCCTTCAATAAGCCATGATCGTGTAACAGCATTTCGAATTGTTCTTTCAATTTGACCATTTCGTAAAACCGCTGTTCTTCAAGACCGCGTCTTCGACACCACTTCCGGCTCGACGAACCTTTACTTTTGGCATGCAACCATTCGTCAAACGCGTTCAATAATGTGAACGGATCCCCGTGCTCCGATTCCAGCAGTTGCCTTGAACTCATCACATCCGGGTCGTTGGTGAAACGGCGCGTGAAAGGAGACTGGACGCTCATTGCAGCGGCGATTGTTAGGACTGGGTCGACCATATGAAATACGGAACCCATAATCAGCATTTTACCTAAATGATGAACAATAAACTCTTATAGAAAACTCCTATGGCATTTTATATTAACCTTTTTTGGAAGGAATATCAGGGACTTGCTTTGCGCGCCAGATGCCAGTTGCACGAAGGTCGAATAGCGCTATCCATTGAACAGCAATATTTTTGAACGTTTCAAAAATCTCTTGAAAAGGACAAATCAACGATTTGAACTGTGCAATTAATGAAATACAATATTGGTTCAACAATTACAAAGTTTCATGATCGTAAAGAAAATATAACCACTTTTTTCACAAGTTTTAAAATTTTTGCTATCCAATGGATAACGGTATCCTGGCTTCGTGCAATCGGCCCCAGTCTGTTCATGTTTTTACACGGGAACTTTAAAGATGCACAGTGGGTGACCGAAAAAGTACCCCTCCCCCCCTTAAAATACGGGTTTCGGTACACAAACTTTGCAAAATTAAACCGCCATATTTTCAACTGGTTGTTAAATTTCACGAGCTTTACTATGGAGCCTAAGTCTTTGAGATTAAGAGTTTTGATTTTTCTTCAAAAAACGTTTTGATTTCTGGGTTGAAAACGAGTTTATGCTTTAAAGCTTTTTGAAAAATATATCACGATAGGAATAACTATACCAAGAGAATGAAGAGATATTTAAATTTTTTCTTCATAAACAAATTGAAGAGTGAGTGTCAACCATCATGCAATGCGCGCGTTATATTACTGGGAATTTTTCGAAGCAGTATCCTTCGAGTAATCCTTCGTAGTCGCTGTAATCCTTGTTAAATTATTCGTTTTTTAAGTAATAATAGCTGATATATCTGATTCTACAGTAGTTTCGCTATTTTTTGTAAAGAAATCTGAGATTATCCAAGTCAACGTAAAATACAGGAAAACGCGCACAATGCATTATGGTTGATACTCACTCGAGAAAAACATCAATAATGTCAGATCATACCGATCACGACGTCAACCGGCAATTGTGCCAGCATTTGACCGGTCGGAGTTATTTCCTCGTTGCTATCCAGCGCTCCCTGTTGCCTCAGCACATACACCGAGTTCTCAATGGAGGATTTGGGCGGAGGTTCAATGAAAGGAAAGTTACGTACATCGGGGATACCAAGGGATATCATCTGCAAAATGATACTGTCGAGGGGAGCACGATGGATCTCGGGAGTTGAATACTGGGCAAATTCCTCGTAATCACTTTCTGCATACAAACGAAAACAAACACCCGGTCCAGTACGACCTGAAGTGAATGAAACATTTGTGAAACAAATACTGTTTTTGAATCACTTTTTTTGCATAATTTTACACTAATGTAATGCATTCTTGCATCCTTGCATCAGTCGAAGGAAGTCTGGCTTAATCAATTGGGTCTATTGTCCTTGTTTAATCGATAATACCTATCTATCTATCTATCTATCTATCTATCTATCTATCTATGTATGTGTGTATGTATGTATGTATGTATGTATGTATGTATGTATGTATGTATGTATGTATGTATGTATGTATGTATGTATGTATGTATGTATGTATGTATGTATGTATGTATGTATGTATGTATGTATGTATGTATGTATGTATGTATGTATGTATGTATGTATGTATGTATGTATGTATGTATGTATGTATGTATGTATGTATGTATGTATGTATCTATGTATGTATCTATCTATCTATCTATCTATCTATATCTCTATCTATCTATCTATCGATCTATCTATGTGACACCAGCACACTCTATTATATCGCTCGATTCTTGAATTGCAAAGATTTATTCATTTCATTGCATTACGTATGACGTTGACACATTTTGTGTGTATCTTTCATTTCTCACACTACAAAGATTTATTCATTACATTGCATCACATGCGACACCAACAAACTTAACGTGCGTCACTCGCTTCTTATACAAAGAAATCTTTTTTCACATTACTAACCAGCTCGGCCCTTTCTTTGCTCAGCACTTGCTTGACTGATCCAAAACTCCTCGAGTTTCCGAATTTTAGTTATAGAATCATAACTCATTTCTTTTACCTAAAGGGAATATGTGCTTTATAAGAAGCTTAACTTGTTGACTAAGAATGCTAATAAAAGCTCACTATTTTCAATTCACTCTTATCCAATTCATATTTTCCATTTACCTTTCCAGAATCAACGATAAAACGCACTCCATCTATGGTCACGGATGTTTCTGCAATATTCGTAGATACGATGCATTTTCTAACTCCTTCTGGTGGTACATCAAAAACCTGTAGATTTGAAAACAATTGACACTGTTTCGAAAAATGACACAATCGCAGGAGTAACATTGAACTGCTGAAACGACACCACTATTGATGTTTCATAAGTTAAGTCGAACTACATCATATTTCCTAAAGAACCATGAAAATTGCTAAAGCGTGTGTTTTCCATCAAAACCTTGTCAATTGTGAGTTGAAAATAATTTCGTGGCTGGAATGAACATATGAGCTAAACAAGCATTAAATATACAGAACATTAACTGTACATAGACTAATATAGAAAGCACTGTGCAAGAGCAATAATTTCATAGGTGATGGCATATTTTATATATACTACATGAAACTTTAAGCTTTTACTTGCTGACGACAGAAGCAAAGACGTGTAAAAACACTTAAATATCGTGTTGTTAAATTTAAGCATCGTGTTGTCACACTTAAAAATCGTGTTATCGTTTTTGAACATCGTGTTTTCAAACTCAAACATTGTTTTATCGCACTTACATATCGCGTTGTCAAACTTGAACATCGTATTATCAAAAAAAAACATCACACTAGAACATCGTGTAGTCAAACTTAAACACCGTGTTGTTACATTTAAGCATCGTGTTATCGTTCTTAAACATCGTGTTGGCAAACTTAGACATCTCTTTGCCACACTGAAAAATCGTGTTACGAACTTAGACATCGTTTTCTCAAACTTAAACATAGCTTTGACACGCTCAAGCATCGTGTCATCACAATAAAGATCAGCAGCTCTGCTACCTTATCCTGTTCCTCTATAGACAGAGCGCTATGTAATGGAAGCACGATCCATTTCTGAGTCTGCTGTGCATATTCTTCAGCGGCGTCCAGTACGGCAGAAATTTCGGCCATACCACTGAGGAAGATCAATAAATCTCCTCTCTCGTCGGCAGAATACTACGAGGAAAGGAAAATCGAATAATTGCATATTATAGGGTATTATGACTGAAACATTTTATCACCTTGGTGTCGATAGTCTGAAGAATTTGCAGATAAGGTCTGGGATCAAGTCGTTCAGATCCACGTGATTGCACAGTTGCTATCTAAGAACAATATGGGGAATAAAGTAAATGGTTTGAACCCAGGAGTATCGTTATATGTTTGTAAAAGATGATCGTCCAGGTTAATAAAGTCCTGACAAGGACTGTTTTTGATGTTGTTGACTGACGTTTCGACAACCTTAGCGGTAGTCATCTTCAGAGTCAAATGGCTCTGAAGATGACTACCGCTAAGGTTGTCGAAACGTCAGTCAACAACATCAAAAACAGTCCTTCTCAGGACTTTATTAACCTGGACGATCATCTTTTACAAACATAATATGGGGAATATGGAGATAAGGACTGGAAGTCAGTCGTTCACATCCACGTGATTATACAGCTGAGCTCTAAGCAAAAAACCTATCCGTCTCACTTAGTGGCCTACCATGAAATGTTCTAACACTCCAAGGCAAAATGTTTACAATACACAAACACTTATCAAGTTAACTTACGTCTATCGACGGTGGCTTATAACGTACTTCAATGGGAAATAGACGACCAGGAACCTGCAAAGCGGGAAAGAGTTAGCTCTAATCTTCCAATCTTGTGATCATGCGTTTGATAAAAAGTAATCAGTAGTGAGGCCAGCCACAAGCTCGGTGGTAAAAACAATAGATTCATAAAGAATTATAAAATAAACACAATGAAACGCGTGCGATGATTGGTCTATAGCCGTGTTTGCATTAGCCAGTGCAAAACGGATCTGAGCTCAACCAATCAAATCAATCGAAACAATAAATCAATCAAAGAGAATTTGCAAATCAATCATGAACATCTTTTAGAGGAAAAATAAAAACGTTTGTTTTAAATTTGTCTGTTTCATTATTGTTATTTTATAAAAGAAATAAAGATGTTTTTCGTGTTTGCACTGGCTTATACAAACCTCGGAGACGTTTGTCGGAACTCTTGAGCTTGTGCAACCCTCGACCTTCGGTCTCGGGCTTGCACTGATCTGCTCTCAATCGAGTTCATCCAAAAGTCAACTCGGTTTGCATAAGCCTGTGCAAACACAGTAAACATCTTTTCTTTCAAATCAAATCAAAAAATTGTTCAATATGAATACATCTTGCAGTTTTTACAACCGAACTACATGTATAATACACCATTATTATCTATAGTTACAATAATACAGTTATTTACAAGCATTAAGATTAATAAAAGTAAAACTTAAATAAAGATTAAATAAAAGATAAATTACATAAGCAGATCGAATGTACAACATATGGGCAACCTACAATTTAAGAGATATGTTCGTTTAAGAAATTTGGAATAAAAGAGTTTTTAAAACGATTTGTGCAATATCTTTCTCACATGGTGAATGCTAATCACGACAATACAACATGATTAAATTGGCGGGCTCGCCACGCTATTGGTGTTAGCGGATTCATACCTGTATGACAGGCGCACCGGAGAAGTAGGTGGCAAACAACCTGAAAACAAGAAAAGAAATCATATCAAGAAATTTCGACGAACCAAAACCATGAGAAGGCAAAAGACGAGAAAGAAAATGATATAGAGACAAAAAAAAACACGAAGGTGAATAAAGAAAATGGAGCAAGGGGGGAGTGATTTGAGATAAAATACAAGGAAGGGAAAATAACAAAGAAAAAACTAAAATAGGACGAAAGAAAAGAATGCACTTAAAATATTTTCTACAACGATTAATTTTCACGTTGTTTTCTCACTCGATGTTGATGGTCGCTGACATAAGGATCAATTTTAAATCACTTCTTGCTCTCACCAATCCCTTAAGAACCCCGAGTAAAAAGTCCCCGTGAATATGGCGCTCGTGAACTTCGTCCATCACGATGATATTGTACTGAGATAACGATGGATCCGACGATAACTGACGTAATAACAAACCTGTGATGGACATAAAATACAAATGAAGAACAATCATTACATTTGAAAATCTCTCCGATATTCCCACTCTAAAGTGCGTATCAATAATAGTTTATAAAATAAAAATAATAAAACGTGTGCGCTTACCACCGATCTGAGCTCAATCAATTAATTCAATCAAAGAGAATTTGCAAATCGATCAAGAATACATGTTACACGAGAATTAAAACATTTGTTATAAATTTATCTGCTTCGCATTACAATTATTTTTTATAAGAAATAAAAGATTTTTTTGTGTTTGCATTGGCTTCTGCAAACCTCGGAGACGCACACGAGAACTCTCAACCTTCGGTTTCGAGTTTGCACTGATCTGCTCTCGAGTTCTCCCAAATGTCCCCTCGGCTTGCATAAGCCTGTGCAAACACAGTAAACATCTTTTATTTCGTGCATTTGATGCTGTGTTATACGCTTATATTTTTACACAACAAGAAAGAAGAGCTCTTTAGCTTTCCAATGATTTGTTTTTCGTTTTACAACAATCAGAAATGACTGAATATTCCTTAAAGAAAAATTGCAAGTGAAAATTTCATTTGAACAGCAACGGGGATTGAGTGCATTTGATGAAGTGTCACTGCCGCTTCAAACAAAACCAAATGAAACAACGGGTTTCCCCTGAGTTGTATTTTACGCTAGAAAATCTTCAATAATTGTATTCAATTTCCAGCGATAAAAAATGCAATTTCGACCCGCAAATTTCATTTAAGGAGTACTCAATTATTTCTACAATACATCTTGAGATTACAAAATATGCATCAAAACAAGACGAGAAGTGAACTGTAAATTTACGACTTTATAGGATGACTTTAAAATAAAGTCGAAAATTTACAGTTCACTTCTCGTCTTGTTTTGATGCATATTTTGCAATCTCAAGATGTCTTGCTTTTTCGGAATTTGCTTTGAACTATATTTCTTTAAATTGTCGGCTGGTAATGGTTTTTATTTCTACTCAAATGTTGTTATGAAATAATAAATTTGCCAATAATAAAATAAAGACTTTGCCGTGATGACAAGTTTAAAAATTGTTTTAAAAAGAGCAAATACCATAGTGAATGGTAAAAATAATAAAATAGTTCTTAAAACCAGAACACTAACCTAACAATTCTAAAAGAATTCTAAGAGAAGCAAACGTCTCCTTAGCTAATTGATATTTCTAGAAAGGGGAAACTGTTTTTATCGTACCTTCGGTAAGAAAAAGAATCTTCGTTCGCCTTGTTTTACTTGTTTCAAATCTAATCTACAAATTGGATTGGTGTAAAATTACTTATTTCGAATCTAATCCATAAACTGGATCGGTTGAACATTACTTATGTCGATCTAATGTGTAGAAACTGTATAGAGTTGGCGATTTTAAAAACATTTGCAATATAATTTGTACAACGAAAATTGGATCTTGCTTGACATTTTGAGCATAGTGTTAAAAAGCAGCGTGTTCTCCAGTGTGCGTCACGTCCGGTGAACTAGTCCCAGTCACAGCACTTCACGCAATGCTGCCACTCGTAGGAGAAATCCCCTACAGTAGGAGGATTAATGGTTTGTAGGTGGTAGGGGAAACCTACGGGGAAAACTGTAAAATGTAGGGAGATTGTAGGGAGAAAAGAAAATCGTTTAAAAATGAGCCTCCTTTTTGCCCAAAATACTCTTTTCTTCTTGTGTTTTCACCATTTAGCAAGTGATTGTAACAGAATCTTCCTTTTGGCATAATTTGTGACCATATATGGCAATAGAAGATCAGCAACTTAGCAAAACTCAGTGTGTCATTTTGCCACCTGCATGTCATTACTTCTACGACAAATTACTAACTTTGTCGTCTAGATGTTCTTTCTTAGTTTTCAATAAATCTTTTTTTGTATGCATTTTTTTAAAACAGACTAAAAAATTCAATGATCCGACCGGACGTAGGTATATAATAGAGGGCTTTGTTGCAGGGTAGGGGAAAAGTAGGGGAAAACAAGGAAAATCATCGTAGGGGGAGGTAGGTGGAAAACAAAGTTTTAGTTGGTGAAATGTTCATACACTGAGTGGCAGCACTGACTTCACGGTCAAACGCGAAAAAAGCCAACTTTGACGTCCAAAAAGTCAAGGAAGATCAAATTTTCGTCTTAAAAAATATATTGCAAATGTTTATAATATGGTCAACTCTATCTAAATTGATAATTTCCCCGAGGGTGATGCAGGCACTTTAATTATTTATGAAAATGATGATGAATTTGTAACAAATTCGAAACATTACTTTACAAATAAAATTTCTTGTTTCTTTCTCAAATATTGAGTTAAACACGAGTCTTTTATTCGGAGTATGCTTCATATTACATTCTTATTTATTCTATATGTTTTTCAGTACATTCGATCAGATGCGCAGTCTAACGTAGGACAAGATGTCTAAATACAAAATTTGGTACCTGATAAGCAACCTCTGAGCCATATTCATTCAAAGTCTCGTAACTCACGCGTTTCGCAAGCGATATACACGCTATACGACGTGGCTGTGTGCAAGCAATCTGCGAAAAGCCAGCAGCTAGTAGGTACTGGGGTATCTAAATATAAAATATAAAATAAAAACAATAAAACGCGTGCGCTGATTGGTCTAGAGCCGTGTTTGCATTAGCCTGTGCAAAAGAGACCTGAGCTCAACCAATCAAATCGAATGAAATCAATCAATCGACGTATCAAAGAGAGTTTGCAAATCGATCATGAATACATTTTCGAGGAAAATTAAACGTTTCTTTTACGTTTGCCTGTTTTGCATTGTTATATCATAAAAGAAATGAAAGATCTTTTTCGTGTTAGGACTGGCTTGCGCAAACCTCGAAGACGTTTGTGAGAATTCTGCAGCAGGTGCAACCCTCGACCTTCCGTCTTGGGCTTGTAATGATCTGCTCTCGAGTTCTCCTAAAGGTCTCCTCGGTTTGCATAAGCCTGTGCAAACACAGTAAACATCTTTTATTTCTAAAATAAAGCGAGAACAGCAAACATTTTATGAGCAATGACTTAATCTCATGTCACAAAGTTAAAATAAAGTTTTCATTTTAAAACCATCTAAAATGCACGGTAAAAGCTGCACTAAACATTACGACATGTACACAGAAAAATACTCAAAAATCCAACATTGTCATTTATTATGGAATTTACGTAATTCCCGCCTTGAATAACAATAATGGTACGTATGTGGAACTACATCCATTCATGGATAGAGAATGTTCATTTATGAAAAGGCATTATAGATATTAAAAACCCGTTATGGATTTTAAACTTTTTTTTGAAAGTTAAATCGATTTTAAAAACATTTGTAATATATTTGATAGGTAAAAACTTTTATCTCCGTCGGTTTCGGCCTACATGTACCTACCTACCGACTCCGCACCGGAAGTGACGTGAAAGAAGAAACGCTAGCGTCGAGAAATATAAACTTTCGTACAATAATAAAAAACTTCAGTTGGAAATAACGTCCCACCGGTGTTCTCCTTTTAACGCCACTTCCGGTGCCGAGTCATCTGCATCTAGGCATAAAAAGACCCACGAAGATAAAATTTTCGTCTCATCAAATATATTGCAAATGTCCTCAAAAAGTCATTTCCTCGACCCTGACATAGACAGTTTAAGAAAGCTACGTACTTGTGTTGACTTTCCGCAGCCGGTATCACCAGCAACGATAACAACTTGCTGCTCTTTCACATGCTTCACAATGGCATCTCGAAACTGACTTATGGGCAGGTTCTCCTGATCCGACTTCAGCTTTTGAAGTTTTGCAAACTGAAATACAAATCTCGTTGATTTTCGTGTTCCTTATGTTCGTACTTATGCTGAGTGATGCCAACATTATCAGAGGTGACACTAAAAGCAGGTAAACATAATGCGAATGCTACCTTTTGCTTTTGACAGAAGTCAAGATAGTAAAGAATTACGGATTTGAATTCCACTAAATCATTAACGGTTAACGAATCTGATTCGTCTCTTTGATTGCCACGATAATCAACTGTAAATTAGTAAATAAAAAAAGAGAAAGAATTAATCATACGCACAAAATTTTTTTGAAAGAAAGTAAAGTTGCATGTAAACGACTATCTGATTTGATTGCACGAAAGAGAAAGTTTCCGTATGCCATCACGCATGCGTGGATGTGTTGTAAATTATCTTTCGCATCGTTAAGATCCGCAATTACTGCGATACGAGGAAGTCAGTCGGCTTCCAATCGTTAACATACGTTAAATATTGATCTGGGGTGTTGGGAAAGTCATCTTTCATCCTGATTTTTTGGTTAAAATGACTATGGATGTTTTCATATTGTTCATATTGATATGAGTAGATATTTTACATGTTTATCAATATTTATGTTAAATTATATTTATAATTCTTAATTTGTATCTATCATAATCATTATTAAATGAAGACTATAAAAATCTAGATTTTAGACTTCTATTTTTATACTGCGTAGTTGCTTTTTATACATAGATGTAGTAATCTTTTAGGTTAATTTTGTATAGATTTTTTTACAAGGCCCTCAGAAAATCGGCTGTTTCAGTTCTTATAAATAGTTGTAGCGGTTTAGGATCCAGGTTGAGATGTTAATGTGTCGTTAAATGTGTAAATAATAGTAAAAATAGCAAGACCACATGACCTGAATTGTGCTGATAACTATATGAACATGCTGGTCTTGCTCCAGGATAGTGATTGCAAATGCATTAGATAAAGGGAAACTGCACCAAGAAAATTCCTTACATAAGCATGTAAAGCTTTTTATTGCTAATGGTTTTCATTAACACATTATTTTTTTTGTCATGCAATCTAAATTAAACTACTATCTGGAAATGGATGCAAATCAGTAATTTGATATTTATCACAACAGTTTCGCTCCGTAAGCTGGCCGCTTGTGAGCGTGCGCACGATCATGAGCCCTTTAACTAAAGTCCTGATTTTGTTTGACAGTCATGACTAATACACAAATAATACATATTTACAAGCAACTTTGCACTCCTTTGTTTCCTTATTTTACTTTGTATGTTGATATTTCAGTACCTTTGCCACGCAATAGTTTCTTCAGTGACCTGACATCTTTTCCAGCCAGAGAAATGTTGAATTTATATCTTTTATCGAAGGTTTCGGGTAACTCAAGGAATGAAGACACTTTCCCTATGCATAAGTAAATGTAAAAACGTCAGTAAGGTAAACCAACAAGACATGGTAAAAGTTTTTATTTTTTCATTCAAGCATGGCAAAGTGACATTTCTCGATTTCCTGCCATCTGGCTGGCTGCAGATTGGCCACGATATCTGGACAGTGGTCCAAAACTAATATTTTTTAAAAAAGTGAAATTTAAATTTTTAAAATTGATTTAAAAGCAATGTAAATTGTTCAAAAGGTGTATTCAGATAGCCCTCCTATGAATAAGACCCACAGGATTGTGACACTCAACTTCTTCCACAAAAAAAGCCCACCTGTGTATATGTAACACCAACTGTATATAAGCCCATCCACATGTAAGCCTATGCACCTCACCCCATACATCCAATACAATAATGCTCAGAAATCACAGCAATATTGCATACATTAGGCAGAAGTATAAATCCCCCCCACCATGTAAAAGCCTAAAGAGCCTCCATTATAGTTGTATAATCAAAATACTTACTTTTTGTGCCATGTCTTTCACTAGAACATTGAGAGTTGGTGGTGTCCACATTGCTTTGCCTCTTTCTTCTTTGATATTTTTGATATCTCTCGAGAAACAACCAAAAATCTTTATACTGCTTGCTATTCCTAAATTGATAAAAAAAGGGTTATAACAGAATCCAGAAAGGCAGGGCTGGCAAAAGTGAGTTAACTCTAAGCACATGCATCATATAAAGCACAACTATGTACCATTCATGTGAAATTCAAATAAGGCTGCAGGATCCCTTGAGGTTTGTGGAAGCAATGGTAGGATTTTAACTGATATGAATTCGTCAAAGTACATCATTGCCAATCCATTCGATATGAAAAAGAATTTCTTATACAAAAATTCCCTATTTTATAGTTATCATCCCAACCATTCGTGATCATTTGATTCAAACATCATACGAAAAAAACAGAAAGCCGTTCACGAAGGCATGGACATTGTAAATCATGACTATTTTGATCTAGCAACGAGCATTGATGATGGATTTGCAAGATTGCTATTGACGGCACTCTATTAGATAATATGGACGTTCGCATCATATAGTTCAAAATATTTCTAGATAGAACATGGTGGGAATGCAAATTAAAAATATTTACATTACTTTTTTATGGCGTCATTTTCCGTAAAGAAAACATCATCTAAAATCTCACGACAAGCTTTCCAATCGAAATCAATAAAATCCGCCATGTTTAATTGAAAGTTTTGAACTTTGCAGGCAGAAATTTAGGGCCGTAAACCTTCTCGCGGGTTACACTTTTCGTTTTCTGTATCTCACTCAGACCAATCAATATGATTCGGTCGGTTGTCCCACGGGTTGTCCAGTCTTGTTCTTTTTAGGCGAACGGACTTGAGAAGCAGAAAAACCCGTCTCCCCTTCTCATAATTGAAAATAGGCCGATTTTCGTGTAGGCAATTGACAGAGATTTGAGAAGCGTGAGGATGGTGGTTTCTTACTTCGTAGTTGAAGAATCTGCAAGAATCTTTTTTACAATAATTACAATATCTGTCTCTTGAGTTCATAAGAAATGGGGAAAGGAAGCTTATTCCCGAAATAAAATAAGTCCAGCCCAATATTGACGCTTTTATGGATCTGATAATTTTTTACCTCGTTTTAGGGTCTTTAATGTAGTAGGCAATCGTTAGCAAAAGTGTGACAAATTGTGGAAAAAACCCCGCCGTTTTACTTCAGATGCATATATACAATAAACATTCATTCGCCACTTTTTAATGCCAAAAAATCACATTTTTCTTTCTTTGATACTACATTGCTAGGCCTGCGATTACCTTAGCAAGCCATCATTAAGTTAATAACCTACATCTTCACCAAAAACTACCAGAAAACCTACAACGGCAAAACCTTTTGAAAACACACATAATTGCAAAACACATCTTAAATTCAATCGAAATGCTATCGTTTTGAAAAGCTAGTTTCATACTTTGCTATGATCGCGCTGATAGGCAGCAGTTCGCCAAAATCGTTCGTGAACAAATCCTCAAAATAATCCCAGTCCGAATCGCAATAGTTCTTGAAAATATCAACGACTTTCTTCCAACGAAAAATTTTCGTTTCCTGACCGATCTTGTCGGCCTTTGTCCACGCAGCAACAGGCGGAAATTCTTCATTTCCTTTCTCCCACAAATTAATAATATCCTTGGCATCGACTTTTCGAGGTAGGTTGTACTTTCGTACGACCGGTCCTTTTGACGAAGCCTCCTTTATCGCACGATGGCCGGTGTCAGCTTGTGACTCGTACATTGAAATGATTGTGGTCACGGGATAAATTTGACCTTTCTCGTCCGAGTAATGATCATTAAATTCTGCAAGATTGCCATTGAATTGCTTCTCGTATATTGCATACAGCTTGCTCCATCGAGCTATTTTACCTCGTTGTCGAAATTTCTGATGTCTTGTCCACTGTGAAACGGGAGGCATGTCTTTGAAACCATTTTCCCAGTAGTTGATGATGTCTAGAGCGGTCACTTTCTTAGGCAAATCAAAGTCATCCGCAGAATGGTCCTTCTGACTATGTTCAACTCCATTATGTCTATCCTCGACGTCTTCAACAGCATCTTCAATTTCTGTAGCTTTTACCGTATTCTCTTCATCATTTTTCCCGCTCTTTTTAACACATGGCTCATTATTGGCATCCCAGAAATCCATGCGGCGATCAGACAATGGCTTCGTCGTAGACTGGAAACTCTCGTCTTGTTCTTCATCTTGCATGGCTATTACAGTAGAGAGGGCTAAAAGTTCATAATGTTTCGGTTTGGGATACTTTTCTTCGTACGTACGCCAGTTGCTGTTACACTTTTGGTGAAATATGTCAGCGATTTTCCGCCATCTTGAAAGCTTTGTGGTGTAGCGAAGTTTCTGAGCAGAAGACCATCTTTTCACGGGAGAATTCTCGACAACCGTGATCCCAAAGCCAGACGATTTCCTTCGCACCGATACGTTTAGGCAGTTGTACTTTCTGGTGGGACACTCGAGTGGTATCCGTTTAAAATAACAGCGGTATTTATCGCACTCACTGGAATATATGATCCCGGTAATCAGTTTGTGGATTGACCATTTCAGAATGTCATCATTCTTCGATTCCCTTTGTTCCTTTTCCAATTAGCTATAGTGTGTGCCTGCTTCCATAGCATTGCTTCAGTGTGTGCCCTTCCTACATTTCACATCATGTGTGCCCCTTCCTACATTAGCTGATCAGCGTGTGCCTTCTATACATTAGACTATCAGTGATGTCCCTTCTTACATTAGACTTCAGTTGTGCCCCTTCCGACATTGCCGATCAAGCGTGCATTCATACATTAGACTATCAGTATGGCGAGTTCTTAGATTCAGTTTTCCGGAGTTCTCGGCATCGTACTTTGCCAAAATTGTGCTCCGGCACCAGTTCACCACGCTGATTGCTGTACCTCCGACAAAATTCCCAGACTATCAGTGTGTGACCTTCCAAAATTTTCTTTCTTTTCCGCCCTTGGTTTCCTGGCCCATCTTCTGCGCTCGGGTCCAGTCCTTAACCGGTCCAAACGTATTTGAGCCTTCAGTCCAATATCGCACAACCTCAAACGCCGTCACCCTTCGTGGAAGAGCTACGTTGTCGGACTCTGAAGTAATTCTCTCTTTCTTTATAGTGACGGCCATCTCGGACAACCTTCCATCATCTGTCGAAGATTTTTCTACCATTGACGTTTTTCCGTGTGGTGAGCAAATTAAGCAACTTGGATAATATGGTTGCCAACGGCAACAGTTCACCGTTATCATTCGAGTATCTTTCGTAAAAGAGATCCCAGTTCGAATTGCAGTCGTTTTTAAAAAGTTCCACGATTTTCTTCCATCGAAATATCTTTGTTTCCTGTCCGATTTTTTGAGCCTTGGTCCACGTGGCAAGCGGTGGGAAATCATCGCAGCCGTACTCCCACAGGTGCACGACGTCTCGTGCGCTTGCCCTTCGTGGCAAAACGTAACGGTTCGTCTTTTTATCATCAGGGATCTCGTAAGTTTTGCAAGAAACACTGCTCTCGGAGTCTTTCTCACTTCCAATTTCTGCTGAGGAGAACTAAGCTCAATTGTATCTTGCTTTACATTACAATATCCTTTGCTAAGAAAGTCTGATGACAACTTGTTCTCGTTGAGCGCCAAGATCGTCGTGACTGGTAATAGATCGCCATTGTCATTGGAATACTTTTCTTGAAACAAATCCATGTTTCCGTCACATTCTATCTTGAAGATATCCACAATTCTTTTCCATCGTCCAAGCTTACTTTGCACCTTGTTCTTTTGCGAAGGTGGCCAGTTCTTAACCGGTGGAATCTCGCTGTTGCCATCTTCCCAAAGATGTAAAATGTCGCAAGCTGTAGCCCTCTTTGGAAGAATGTATTGCCGTTTCTCGCTGCATAACGATGTTACGGGGGGTAAATCTGGAGTTTCAAAGGAGGGGCGCTGCTTTAAAATTTCGAGTGACGTATCCGACGACTCACAATTTGATGAACCAAAGCGTTTTTTTGAAGGTGAGTCAACAAGTGAACTGCTTGCATGCACATAAGCTGACGATGAACCAGAATAGCATGTAAGCAGGTAATTTTGAGCTTCCACGAGCTGAGACAACTTATCGTGCGACTGCTGAAGAGCATCGTGTTTATTTTGAAGAAGAGTGAATTTCTTTTCCAAAGAGGCAAATCGGTGGTCGAAGTCTGAACGGCATTTACACTGATTCGGTTCGATTGGCTCCGAGATAGGATTTGAGACCGGGACGAGACCAAACGCTTGTGGGCCAACAGGAAACTCGGTATCAACAAGAAAATTGTTCACTTCCCTATCGACAGGAAAATCATTCACCTCTTTATCTACAGCAGAACCAATTGCCTCCTTAACGACAGGAACACCATTCATTTCCTCATCAGTAGAAAAACCATTCACTTGCTTATCAATAGGAAAACCATTCAATTCCTTATCGACAGGAATACCATTCACTTCCTTATCGTCAGGCAAACCGTTTGAGTTATCTTCAATGGATGTGGCAGACTCTTTTTCATCCTTAACTGCGCTAAGATTGTCATGCTGTTCGGGGGAGGATAAAGTTGGGTCGTGTTTGATGACCTTCCGAGGTTTGTTGTCAATGCGAGAGAGTTTCCTGCGAGTGGGCAAAAGGAAGACATTGCAGAGTTTACAAACTTCAAAAATAATATCATCCCATCGAAAAGAAGGCATACCTTTTGGAGGCCTTTTGCACCGGCTGTTTTGGAAGCCTGCCACTGTCACTTTCTTTAAGATTAGCCTGTCAAAAAAATGTGTTGACATTAGTTCATTGACAATTGCAGAGCCTCATACGAAGCAAGAAAGAAGATGGTTCAAGCATTGCCGCAAGTAATCTGTCGATAAGTATACAAGGCGCATCAGATATTTTTACAGTGAAAAACAAACCTTTGTTAACTTCCTAGGACTACGCTTCTTCTTCTTTGACGTAGTACTTTTAGACACTATTTTATCACACTTTGTAGTACCGACTTGAATATTCGGCACATCTATAGTTGGTATTGCATCTTTTTTTAACCTTATTCTGATACCCAACGCGCGAGCGACATTCCTGTGCATGGAAAAGCAACTTTCTTCGAAATGCAGCGAGCATATGGAGGAAGATTTAGACCGAGAAGGCACAAAGAAAGGCCGATATTTGCGAATGAACCTAGTCCATGCTTGTCGTCGGCTCAAGTCTTTTTCTTCGTCAGGAAAATAGTGTAAAGTAATATCTGGCGAGTACTGCGTAGTTGGGCAGTGAATGCCTTGGGAAGAAATGGCGCAACACATGCGTCCAATTTTCCGTTTTCTTTTAGTACTTGTCGCCATGTTTTCCTCGACATATACTGTTATGAATATCAAATAAGGAAGACACGTGAAACATCACTTTGAGGTCATAATGTCGTTCAAATTGACACACATCGCTTGGTGTCCGTCTCAGATTGCCTTCGACATTGTAGCATATTTTCAGATCTCATCGCGTAATTTTGTTGATGACATCGCGAAAGAGAATTCAGCGACGATCGATTCCAATCGTATGCGAGGTTACGAGACTATGCTTTGATTTTTCGTTCGGAGTGAAACATGTTTGGGAAAAAGTATGGGGATATTGGCTGAAGAATGTCTCACGGAAATTCAAATATACCTCTAACTGACGAGATGAAATTTGAAAGAAATTGTGAACTAGGAAGATGAGAGCCACAACATTGTTCGATTTTTTATAGGAATTGGTATAGAAAGTTAAACCCGAACGCTTCAATGATAGATATACATCGACAAGCGAATAACACAACAACTTCGACCTTCGACAAAAGAATATTTGTATAAAAGATTATGGCTTCTCCAAGCACAAAGTCGCTCAATTCTTCATTACACTTGGGAACTGCGTCAAACCCTTTACTCCAGAAGACTATGTAGCAAAACCGACGATATGTTATTCTCTCATTGATATGTTATTCTAAGCTAAGTCCGAGTACTCCGCGACCTTGTATGATATATGTACAGGAGTTAAACGACACGCATGATCAGATTGCAAAAGGAAAATAGAGAAAGAATGTTTTGCAATAAAATATTGGGAAAACAAATCGCGCACACAACGAATCTATAAAATGTACTAATGTATGAACTTAAACGAGAGAAAGCGAAGCCGACAAAGAAAACGAGTTTAATGATATTTCGATCAAAATAAGCAAAATGAATGTTCAGTTTCCGAATTCAACCATTCGCTTCATTCACTTGCAATTTGCAGTTAAATAGAAATTTGTGGAATGTCTTACCGTATTTGCTTGCAGAAAATCCTTTTCTTCGCGTTGGAGACCTTCAACGCTTGATGCCATTTCTGAAGTTTTTATTTCGTAAAAGCAAAGAGGAAAATCTTGAGCAACATTTGATTTGCAAAGTTACCAATCGGGCATTTAAAAATGGCAGGGATAGAATGACGGGGGAACAGAGAAATTTCATTACATAATAGAAAATAAATCGCTTAGACAGATTGCTTGCCTTAAAAAATCCTCGATGTTAACACGTCCAAGACAAGCGTTTCTAAGAACATATTTCTGCCGATTGTCACGATTTCATTTTCCTTTTGCACAGCATCGCGCAACTAGATAGACTGCCAAGTAATATGAAGGCGACGAATCGCTTTGCCGTGAATGAAAAGGAAAAATAATAGGAAAACAGATGACAATTTCTACCTTACTGGGGGAGGGAAGAAAGCAATGAGATTGAAGTGACTCAATCTTACGTGAAATAAAGAAATTATTCTGATCGTGTATGCGCTGAAGAATATTTTATATTTTCATTTAACTGAATTTCAGCAGTAAAACAAACAGTGTTTTGATCTTTTAGAACTCTTAGATTTAGTTCGTGTCTCTCCTCCCCACTAAGTCACAAAATGTCAACAAACTGAACACTTGAACCCAGTCTTCCATAAGGCAAAATGGAGTGGGAAAGAATCAAGGAATGATATTGTCGATAGTAGTAAGAAAAAGTGAAAATGCCGAGGGAAAAGCTAAGAATTTTAAAGAATAGGTTAAATAATACTATCAGGTAATGGCCCTAGCTGTTGCAGATAAACTTCTCAGAGCATTCGAAGTTTTGAAAAACTTTAAAGAAGGAGTAATCACTTCCGAGACAATCCCATCTCCTGCCACTGTCAAGTAAGTTACTCCTTTATGTCATTCACCGGAGCTGCTATCAAGATACAATTGTATTTGAAATGTATTCAACCTTTGATTTAAAATGTAAAATCGTTTTGCATCTTTTTTTATGCTTTCGGTTTTATGGTATGAAATTATTACTGATTACATAATTTCCTGTCAAATGGTGTGTCAGTGTGAACTGTGATATCGTTATAACTTACCACAGCCATGCATACTGCAGTTGCATGTGTGTCTAAACAAGCATGCTCAATTTTCAGTAAACCACAGCTGTAGGTCTATTGTATTCTGTCGTGCTGTGCTTAGACCAGTTTGCCTTGCTAAACAAACAAATTTTGTCTAAATTCAGCTTAATGATTCCAGTTTCATTGCAAACCGAGTACAGGGGGTGGCCTTATTCACCCAAATTTGATGGCAATCAATCAACTCTCCATTTCACTTGATTTATTTGTCTATCATAGCACACTGACATTTGTCAAGATGATGCAATTGCAATACATAGCAAAGCATGTCTGTTTCTTACTTCTACAATGCAAACATTTTTGTGTTCATTTAATGAAAAAATTATGAACAAAGAAATCCTATTGTTGAAAAGTTTGCTTTGTAAGGGTAAAAGTTTGTGCTGTTGTTGATACTGCAGTAGTGTATTATGGTTTTGTTCAATATAATATGGAGGGCACAAGACTGATTGTTTATTGTAATTAATGTTGGATGACTCAAAATAACTGTTTTTTACTTGAATAATGATGGGGGAAACAAGACCACGATTGTTGATCTTAGATAAAGATAGGGGACACAAGACTACTATTGTTTAACTTGAATAATGATGGGAGACCTAAGTCCTATTGTTTGCTATGAATATTGTTGGGGGACACGAGACTACTATTGATAATAATGATGGGGACACAAGACTATTTTTTGCCTTGAATAATCTTGGGGGACACAAGACTACTATTGATTTACCTTAAATAATGATGGGGACACAAGACTATTATTTGCCCTGAATAATCTTGGGGGACACAAGACTACTATTGATTTACCTTGAATAATGATGGGGACACAAGACTATTTTTTGCCTTGAATAATCTTGGGGACATAAGACTACTATTGATTTACCTTGAATAATGATGGGGATACAAGACTATTTTTTTGCCTTGAATAACCTTGGGGGACATAAGACTACTATTGATTTACCTTGAATAATGATGGGTACACAAGACTATTTTTTGCCTTGAATAATCTTGCGGGACACAAGACTACTATTGATTTACCTTGAATAATAATGGGGACACAAGTCTATTTTTGCCTTGAATAATCTTGGGGGACATAAGACTACTATTGATTTACCTTGAATAATGATGGGGACACAAGTCTATTTTTTTGCCTTGACTAATGTTGGGGGACAAAAGACTATTTTTGCATTGACTAATCTTGGGGACAAAAGACTACTATTGATTTACCTTGAATAATGATGGAGACACAAGTTATTTTTGCCTTGAATAGTCTTGGGGGACACAAGATTACTATTGATTTACCTTGAATAATGATGGGGACACAAGTCTATTTTTTTGCCTTGAATAATCTTGGGGACACAAGACTACTATTGATTTACCTTGAATAATAATGGGGACACAAGACTATTTTTGCCTTGAATAATCTTGGGGACACAAGACTACTATTGATTTACCTTGAATAATGATGGGGACACAAGTCTATTTTTGCCTTGAATAATCTTGGGGACACAAAGAGTACTATTGATTTACCTTGAATAATAATGGGGACACAAGACTATTTTTTGCCTTGAATAATCTTGGGGACACAAGACTACTATTGATTTACCTTGAATAATAATGGGACACAAGACTATTTTTTGCCTTGAATAATCTTGGGGACACAAGACTACTATTGATTTACCTTGAATAATGATGGGGACACAAGTCTATTTTTTGCCTTGAATAATCTTGGGGGACACAAAGAGTACTATTGATTTACCTTGAATAATAATGGGGAAACAAGACTATTTTTTGCCTTGAATAATCTTGGGGGACACAAGACTACTATTTTACTTGAAAAGAAGAGGGACACAAGACTTTTATTGTTTATTTTGAATGGATTGCAAAAGCATTCAAGTTCATTCAAATTATGTTTTTTTATGTTGTAGAAGGAAAGACTCAACACTGTCCAAAAAGGAGAGAATTGTTTACTTGAACACAATAGGAGATTTGACATGTTCTCGATTGTTAAGGTATAAAATGAATTATAGTTACTTTAAGTATTAGAAAGAAAAAGCAAGCATCACCACTTACTGTATTGATTTTATGACCTGTGAAAGAAACCTACCAGAGTATGGAAAAATTGTTGCAGTTGCTATCGAAACGTTGATATTATTTTGTGACGATGAAGATTCTGATGTTCGTCTTGTCGCCGGGGACAGTATTAACCATATTATTAAGGTATCAAATTATTATGTAGTTATATGTGCAGGAGATTTTCCTTGTAAAAAAATCATAGAGATCAGTACCCAACACAATATTTTAATTGTAGCCATTTAGTTTATAGGATTTATTATGGAAAGTGACATTTTGTCTTACGTCCAAACATATTCAGACTGTTGTAGGTGTGATTTTAGCTAAAAATGTATGAATATAAACTATTTTGTGTTATTTAACAGGTGCATAACTAAATATTATTAATGTATGGGATGCTTTGAATGTGATTCTGAATATGTATACTCATAATAGTTATTTTGGAATCTGTATTAGTCTGATGATTTCTTGAGTTAAGCTAAAATATCACTTCTATTAAAAGTCTATTTTATACTAAGCAATACTGCAGTGCTATTCTTAGAATGGTATTTTAGGAGCAGGGCTTTATTTATAGTGATTTGCAATAAAGAAATAAAAAATGTTTACTTTGTTTGCACAGGCTTATGCAAACAGAGGAGACCTTTGGGAGAACTCGAGAGCAGATCAGTGCTAGCCTGAGACCGAAGGTCAAGGGTTGCACCTGCTCAAGAGTTCTCGCAAACATCTCAAGTGGTACAATACATTTTTCCTCTAAAATGTATTCATGATTGATTTGCATTTGAATGACTGATTAATTTGAATGTTTGAGCTCAGATTATTTTGCACAGACTAATGCAAACACAAGGATGATATATATGTAATAAGGATGATATATAATTTGAATCCACTAAGAATATAAACACCTTTTGAGACCAAGCTATCAGCTTCATACAATACTGAAATGAATTGAGAACTGACTGCTCGAAAAGAATGTTTTGATTTGAACAAAAATGAAAATTGATACAATTATTGAGAATCTTTGATAATAACCTTGATTGGACATTAATCTTTATTGGACATACTTTTGTCACATTGCAAAGCATTGGCTGCAGTTTTCTCAACCTTATTTTTTTGGATACTCCTGCTGTTATTTCACCAAAATATAAATAGTTTTTATCATAGAAAGAATAAGATGCTTCTGGTTCTTGTTCTTGGTGTCATTAAATTTTGTTCTCTATGTTTGTAAATTATTTAGGGATTCATGGATCAAAATGTTGCCCGAATTCATGTTGAACTTTACAAAGAAATCAAAAAGGTTTTCATGTGCATTAATTTTATATGTGCACAAAATTAAAGATTCCGTCCTAGCATTGCTTTCCTATTCTGATATTGTACGAATATTGTATGAATTTCAAGAGCATCCAATTTGGATCGTTAAAATAGTTTGTCAATGAAGGACTGGAGACCCTGTTTGGAATGGGTGTGCTGAAATAGGCTTGTAACATAACTTGATGCTGAGTTTAATTGCCGTGTATATTATTGAACAATGTGTCGAAAGCAAAACCTGACTCTCAGAGGTTCACAATCCCCCCAAAACTTCGCAGGCTTTACATTCTGGGACGCACTTTCGTCGTGTTATTATTTTTATCCCCAATCAGTTCATGGATCGGCTTGCTATACATATTTCACCAAAGGCGGGGCTGCAATGCCCTCTAGGCCCCTCTAATGTGCGTCATTTCTTAGACAAGATAATCATTGAGTGCTCACTAGTGTAATTTGAATGTTTGTTTACGGTCTATGCAAGGGATAAAGCTGCCACTAGTGTTTATGTCATTTGAATGTTTGTTTACGATAGCTATGCAAGGGGATAAAGCTGCCACTAGTGTTTATGTCATTTGAATGTTTGTTTACGATAGCTATGCAAGGGGATAAAGCTTCCACTAGTGTTTATGTCATTTGAATGTTTGTTTACGATAGCACACATCCAATTTAATATGAATAAATAGTTTAAATCGCATGGCTACATCTGTCTTTCTTGGATTGATTTGGCAACTTAAATTAGGCGGCATTAACATACTTTGTTTTGCAGAACGGAAATGCGAGATGCCTTCGTGCGGCCCTCTCGAAGTTTGCCGAAATCTCTTGTTTGATACGTCCTCAAAAGTGCAGGTTAGTTGAGATTTTTAAAGTGCTATTTTTTATACTACAAAGAATTACATGCTTGAAGATGTAGATCGTCCACGTTACATGTTTGTAAATGTCGATCGTCCAGGTTGGTATAGTCCTGAGAAGGACTGTTTTTGTTGTTGTTGATTGACGTTTCGACAACCTTAGCGATAGTCATCTTCAGAGTCAAAAGTAGTCGTCCACGTTAGTAGCTAAAGTCCCGAGAAGGACTGTTCATGTTGATGTTTACTGACGATTCGACAACCTTAACGGCAGTACAGGAAATTTGGGTACACACAATACGATGACGTACAAACCAGATAACAAATACGGCTAACCTGACGTTTACTCCTCATTTGACTCTGAAGATGACTACCGCTAAGGTTGTCGAAACGTCAGTCAACAATAACAAAAACAGTCCTTCTCGGAACTCTACCAATTTGGACGATCTACATCTACAAACATGTAACGATACTCCCAGGTTCAAGCTACAATTGCTTGCAATTTTTTCTCACTTGTTCAGGCCATTCATCACAAATCTTCTACCATGCATTGCAAGAATTTGCCAAAGGACCGAGGAACCTGTTCAGGTAATCGATCATTTATCCTGGTATCAAATTATACCTTGCAAAGGAAAAGCATGGTTGTTTTGTCAGTACAATGGCTGCATTGGCATTCGTTATTTGTTAGAACTCAATTTGCGACGTATTTAGGAAACTTTGGCACAAACTATGAAACAAATTATGCCTGTTCTCGGAGCGTTCATGAATGATAAAGAAACAAAGGTGAAATACTTGGACATTCTTATGGCAAATAGTATATTACGTATTTACTAGTGTGGTTCCCCAAGTTTTAGGAGAGGGGCGAGCTGGTAACGAATTGGGGTAAGACCAAATGCATCTCGAAACCAATGCGGGTATTATGAGCAACATGAGAAGGGAGGTTGAATATTTTGCAGGGTTGAAAACATGGTGTGTGTGTAAACTGATGATTTGAGGGGATATTACTCCAGACTCCACCCTCTCTCTCTTTCAAAAAGACAGTCTATGGTTTCAACTGTATAAAGCAGTCATGTAATGATGTCTTTTTAATAAATGTTCAATAGGTTTTACTCAAGTCTTTTCTTCAAAACATCAATGCGCCATCAACGACCACTCGCCGTACTGCTGCCACGTCTATAGCAATGATTTGTATTAATACGCGAAGACCGTCAATTTTTTTGTCTTGGACCATTCATGTGTTATTAGGTAGGACTATGTACTTTCAGAGTGTGCACTTTTAGAGATTGTACACGTTCAGGGAATGCATAGCTTTTTTCATAGATTGTCTACTTTTAGAGAATGTACACGTTCAGGGAATGCATTGCTTTTTTCATAGATTGTGTACTTTTAGAGAATATATACGTTCAGGGAATGCATAGCTTTTTTCATAGATTGTGTACTTTCAGAGAATATATACGTTCAGGGAGTGTATAGCTTTTTTCATAGATTGTGTACTTTTAGAGAATATATACGTTCAGGGAGTGTATAGCTTTTTTCATAGATTGTGTACTTTTAGAGAATATATACGTTCAAGGAATGCATTGCTTTTTTCATAGATTGTGTACTTTTAGAGAATATATACGTTCAGGAATGCATAGCTTTTTTCATAGATTGTGTACTTTTAGAGAATATATACGTTCAGGAATGCATAGCTTTTTTCATAGGTTGTGTACTTTTAGAGAATATATACGTTCAGGGAATGCATTGCTTTTTTCATAGATTGTGTACTTTTAGAGAATATATACGTTCAGGGAATGCATTGCTTTTTTCATAGATTGTGTACTTTTAGAGAATATATACGTTCAGGGAATGCATTGCTTTTTTCATAGATTGTGTACTTTTAGAGAATATACGCACTTAGAGAATGCGTACTTTTAGAGAATGCGCTTTTTTCGGAGAATATACGTGTTCAGAGAACGTGTACTTTCGGAGAATATGCGTTCAGAGAACGTGTACTTTCGGAGAATATGTGCGTTCAGAGAACGAGTACTTTTGAAGAATATGTGCGTTCAGAGAACGTGTACTTTCGGAGAATATGTGTGTTCAGAGAACGTGTACTTTCGGAGAATATGTGCGTTCAGAGAACGAGTACTTTTGAGAATATGTGCGTTCAGAGAACGTGTACTTTCGGAGAATATGTGTGTTCAGAGAACGTGTACTTTCGGAGAATATGTGCGTTCAGAGAACGAGTACTTTTGGAGAATATGTGCGTTCAGAGAACGTGTACTTTCGGAGAATATGTGCGTTCAGAGAACGAGTACTTTTGGAGAATATGTGCGTTTAGAGAACGTGTACTTTCGGAGAATATGTGCGTTCAGAGAACGTGTACTTTCGGAGAATATGTGCGTTCAGAGAACGTGTACTTTCGGAGAATATGTGCGTTCAGAGAACGTGTACTTTCGGAGAATATGTGCGTTCAGAGAACGTGTACTTTCGGAGAATATGTGCGTTCAGAGAACGTGTACTTTCGGAGAATATGTGCGTTCAGAGAACGTGTACTTTCGGAGAATATGTGTGTTCAAAGTAATTTGCACTTTCAGATAATATGTGCGTTGAGAGAATATGTACTTTCAGAGAATATGTAATATTTCAGAGCTTGTGTGTTTTTAACCTTCTCGAAGATTATATTCATCAAACTCTTTATTTTCCTGTTGTTGATTTGTTGTGATCATTGTAGTTGCAAAACTATTTTCTACGTATTACAGTAAATTAGCGATATTGCTTGCGTTTTAATCTTCTTTCACTTGTTCGTTGTCTACAACAATTTTTCTGCGTTATGCTGCTTTCAGAATCAATGTTTCCTTTCTCGTCGGATCAAAAATCTCCTGATTACTGCGGTGTCTTACTGTGTCTACGACATATAGTTCCTCATCTTGGCAATACAGACGAAGACTGTGATGTTGTCATGCGCGGAAGCTTCGGCGTGACTCGTCAGCAGAAACGAAACGACAAAGAGGAGCAGTTGGAGAAAGATGAAAAACAACTCCTTAAGGTAAAATTCCTTTTAAACTCACCCATGCTATAATTTTTACAAATACAGACGGTGAGGAGAACTTGTGCTTCGTGAGTTTCTGAGAGAGTTTGTAGCACTGAATAACATGACAGTCGTTAGGTCAACTCTTGTTAGGTTTCGCTTTGTGGCCTGCGTAATATGAACCGCGGAGCTGGGGGGGGAGGGCGGCATGCCACTTTACTTTTTCACAATAAGTCATGTACGTATTAGGTAAAATTCAGCGTCCCACAAGTAGAGGATGTTCTCGTATTCTGCTCCCCTTCTTCACTGTTTTTGAACAGGCTTTCTGGCGGCTGTTACGAAGAAGTCGGTTATCGGACTCGAGATTTTCATATCAGGGGGGTAGGCAATATAAAAAAGTCGTATTTCAGCATTTGCTAAAACGTGAAACCTAAGTACAGATATTTTTCTGCAGCTGCATTTTTCTTTTCATACATATTTCTCTGTTACTTTGGTAGAATTTTGTTGATAAGAACACGAAAACTCAAAATGCTGTATCCTCTTTATTTCGTCCTTTGCTATTTAAAACACATTTATTTTAATTTTGTCAAATAATGAATGTCGACCGTCGTGCATTGCGTGCGATTGTTTATCTACTTATGATAGTTGTCTCGCTGTATTTCACTCGGATTGGGATAATTTCACGTTTCCTCTTTTGCAAAAAGAAATCGAAATAATTGTAGAATCACATGTAGCAACTGTTTTTACTTAAAAATTGAATGATTCAACAAGGATTGCAAATATCACGTAAGATCAAATCACAAATCTCTTGCCAGTTGATTTCGCGCTTTCCAAAAATTGCCAATTACGCGCGCATAGCATGATGGTTGACACTCACTCTTAATAGGGCCAAGAACTTCACTCTGTTTAAGAAATATACAATTTAAATGGTTTATTCTCTCTAGATGTACAAATTAATTATGTTATCAACGACGCACGCGGATCACAATGTCGTCACTGCAGCTTTGGAAACCTTACAACAAACACTGCTGTCAATCTCTCAAATATTATCCCGTCAACTGTTGTCCCACAGCGGTCTCGCACCAGTCTCTGGTGAAGAACACCCTGGTAGGTATCTGTAGGTAGTGTTGGCGTAGAACTTGATTTTAGTTGTGAGAATCGAACACAACAGAAAGTCATTGTCGTCTTTGGTAGTTATCTGTAGGTAGTGTTGCCGTAGAACTTGATTTTAGTTGTGAGAATCGAACACAACAGAAAATCATTGTCGTCGTTAATTTTTGTATAAGATTTTTGCCTCCTTGATTTGCCAATCAGCCATTGCAGGAGACTGGGGTGACCACCACACACCACCCCCGCCAGGATAGATATTCCTTAGAATCTTCTTCTAGCCATTTTGAGGGGCAAGGGGAATTTCCTGTGTTTCCAGCTTCGGCACTGGTATTTTTTAGATCGACTTTCATTTGGTTTCTTGAATGTTTCAAATTTCTCACAGCGGGCTATAGAGGGCTGAAGTGTTGAACACATTGAACTTGCTCCCAGCTGCGTCTTTAATGGAGGTCACCTCTCTATGGAATATTTCTTCATATACCTCTTTGCTTGCGGTCAGGTTTGCGAGAGTCGAGATTTGCTAACTTTGTCGCTTGATACAGGTTGCACGTCTGCTATCGTTTGACATCGATTGTTTTTCTAAATTGAGTTTCATTTGCCTTCAAGATCGCTCTACATTAGTCACATCCATTGATATGTATATTACATGTTGGAAGGCGGCCATATTGAACAGTCCCACTTCACGAGGTTGACATAAAAATTATATCAACTTCTGTTATGAAAAATTGCGAGAGGCGTCTCTTATGATGCATTGACAAAACTGCTAAGTATTAGCTTTAACAAGATTTAGTGTAGGAAGCAGTTGTACTATTAAGAAAGGATTTATTCGAGACACCATTTGAGAGATACTATCGCAAGAGAATGCTTCTAGTTTCACGTTGAAAGATTTTTTAGGGTGTATAAGTCCAATGCGCTCCAAAATTCATTGCTATCGTGGTTCTTTACTATAGATTATTATGAGTGGGACTGTTCAATATGGCGGCGCATCTATTTATAGCTGTCTACATCCGGTTTCAAATTTTGCACTAACAATATTGAGAATGCACGATCCATGTAATCTACATATTAATGGTCACAGCGAACCGCAAAGGGTTAATGACGTGAGCCACTGATCTGTAATATAAACTGGAACGCTAACTCAAATGCTAGTTCTGCGAGTCATTTTGAAGCCAGCTAAGATGCATTCATATCTGAGTTTTTCTGTTTATAACTAAATCTCGTGTGGTAAAACTTTTCGTATATCGTTGTTAATTTTCAAAATAATGTATTGGAATTTCTAAAAACGCAGAAAAACTAGCGTCATTTTTGTCTTCACAAAGATGGAAGCTCAGTTAGCGTTCCACTTTATAGTACAGTACACACTGCGTGCATATCTTGCACAAAAATCACTGGAGATGTTAATTTTCTGTGGTATAATTTTATAGTTTTAAATTCCATGTTCTCAGATAGCTTGGCGAGCTCTTCATTCGACGACATCGACAGCCTTGTCTCACAACCAGACTCTGGTATCGAAGATAGTCTAGGTGATAGCATTGTCGACGGAGTGAATGATAAAAAGACTGGCACGAGCGTCGCTGATATACAAGAGCTACGCCGGCATTTTTCACAACCGGCTGGAGCACAAGCACCCGAATCCACAGCCTCTGAACTGATGAAAGATACGGAGTCCCAGGTCTCCGAGGAGGGAACCGACGTATCGAACTCGCTTGATGCAGACACCGACTTTGAATTAGATCATCGTAGATCTGATTCCAACGCGAGTGATATTGTAACGCAGGTCAGTTCGACCGATGATTTAGACAAAACTATGGGTGAACACGAGACAATGTCAGCGAATGGTCATCGGGATGTGGAGACGGATGATCGCGGTGTCGATCAAGGATTCACGATTGATCCAGTTGTGTGTGACGGTGTTCCAATGCTCCATTGTGCCAGGGTAATGTGCTCGTTTTTGCTCTCCGGGAAAAGTGGCGAGATGATCTCCGACCGCAAAGTGCGCGTGAGCGTAAAGTCTCTGGCCTTGAATTGCTTGGCTGCCATATGCAAGATTTACCCGCAGTGCTTTCTCGCTCGTGTTCGACCTGATAACGAGGACGTGCAGGGTGATGAAGGTGAGCAGTGGATACGAGAGGTGCTGTTGTATGAGAGTCATCACGATCCCATCATACGTGGCAGTCTTTCGCTCCTCATAGGAAACTTCCTGCAGTCATCTCTGACCGCATCAAGGTACATAGTTCTACTTAAAGTAGCCCACGTTGTAGACGCGTATTTGTTTTATCAGTCTATGCGTTATTGAAGAAAAGCTTGCTTCCGAATACGTCACATCCGCTTCAGCTGTTGTATAAATTATACAGCTGCCAAACTGCTTCAAACTCCGTCATGATATCGTCTTTTATGAATTGTATTGTTTTTGGTAGGAAAAAACTTCCCCACACAAAATACAAGCTCTAAAGTGAATTCATTTTGAATAAACCTGTATAATTTTTACGACAGCCCAAACGAATGTGACGTATGTCGGGGGGTTTGTGCAAGCTTCACATCTAACTTTCAGAGCTTAATTGTTGTTTATATCTTTAGATATTTACCGTTTTTACAGTTGGTGATCACAAAAAATTTTGCATCACAGTATAGTGAATATACACTAGAGCCACTCCATTTAATTTTTCGTGCCACGCATATCTTATCACGCATGTAATTAGTAATTACCATAGTGGCAGCCAGTCAATTGCCTTTTTTAACCAATAGGAATGATGAAATGGCTAACGACGGCCAGTAATCTAATTGAATATACAGCAGCCAACTGCACGGCGAAGTGGACCTACTGTAGCTAGATTCTGTATACTGTGTACTGTAGCTATATTCTGTATACTGTGTACTGTAGCCAGATTCTGTATACTGTGTACTGTAGCTAGATTCTGTATACTGTGTACTGTAGCTAGATTCTGTATACTGTGTACTGTAGCTATATTCTGTATACTGTGTACTGTAGCTATATTCTGTATACTGTGTACTGTAGCTATATTCTGTATACTGTGTACTGTAGCTAGATTCTGTATACTGTGTACTGTAGCTATATTCTGTATACTGTGTACTGTAGCTATATTCTGTATACTGTAGTAGCTAGATTCTGTATACTGTGTACTGTAGCTATATTCTTTATACTGTGTACTGTAGCTAGATTCTGTATACTGTGTACTGTAGCTAGATTCTGTATACTGTGTACTGTAACTAGATTCTTTATACTGTGTACTGTAGCTATATTCTGTATACTGTGTACTGTAGCTAGATTCTGTATACTGTGTACTGTAGCTATATTCTGTATACTGTGTACTGTAGCTATATTCTGTATACTGTGTACTGTAGCTAGATTCTGTATACTGTGTACTGTAGCTATATTCTGTATACTGTGTACTGTAGCTATATTCTGTATACTGTGTACTGTAGCTATATTCTGTATACTGTGTACTGTAGCTAGATTCTGTATACTGTGTACTGTAGCTAGATTCTGTATACTGTGTACTATACTTGTATTGAAGAACAAGTTAACAGTAATGTAAACGCTAGCTCCATTACTGGTGATTAGGACTCGTGATTCGCTAACTTTGTCTTGCGTGATATAGATGTCACGTCTGCTATCGTTTTACATTAGATTAACCCTTTAAGGCCCGAGTTTGGTTTTTGAGATTCTGTTTCATCTTCGTGATCGCTCCACATTTGTCGCAACGAACATTGGATGGTTAATGACGTTTAACCACTGAACTGAAAAATAAAATGGAACGCTAAGATGCATTTATATTCGAGTTTTTTGTGTTTATTACTGTTACTAAGTCTCGTGTGGTGAAACTTTATGTATATCCTTGTTTATTTTTGATGTAATATCATTGAATTTCTAAATAACTCGCTTCATTTTGGGTTTCAAAAATGGCGACGAGGTTAGCGTTCCAGCTTATATTACAGCTCACTGGGCGGTGTAAAAAATAAGCGGGCTGGCTACGCCACTAACTCAAAGTAACGATATGCAAGGCAAGAAGTGTGAACCTTGCTGGCGTTTCCCTTGCATCATTTATACATACCTATTGTTCTAATGTAAGAAAAATTTGCTTTTTACAGGTATGACTTCGAGACGTGGTGCTCACAATCCAGTGGAAACTATGGAACACGTGAGAGACCATGCTTTTACCACGTGACTTATCCTTAGCAACATATGAATACATTGTGCATTTATATATATCCCATCGATTTTCAGTTACCCTTCGAATTTCTGTGCTGCTCGATATGCTTGAAAAATTTGTCGTCGATGAATCGTCAGTGACCGTACGATTGGTCTGCACAGCTATAAAGGTGAACTTTTCATATCATTGCATCAAACAACAGCAGTTGCGTCGCCATCAAGATAATAGTGAGTTCACGATTCACGACGCGTCAGGAAAACGACGTACGTGAGACTGGGTTCTAGCGCGGTTACGTTGCCATACCATTTGCTGGGTTGTCACCAATCGCTCTGCAACAATTCGGCTTTTTTACGTCGCAAAGCCAACGTAGGATTTCAGAGGTAAACTTCCTGCAAAAACGTTGGTCAAAATAAGGCTATTTTCCGTTTTATTGTAACTTTGTTAAACCCTTTTAGTTTATACCGTGATTTCGTGCAGTTAAACTTATAAACTTTCGAACCCTTTGCGCCACGTTTGGTTGTCAAATCGTAACAAACTTTTTGGTCTAAAACGACAACGCACTGACCGCCTTAGAACCCAGTCTCACATACGTCGTCTAAGGACGCGTCGCTAATCGTAAACTTGCTAAGTAGAGAGGGTTGTCCATGTTCATATATGCATGCTATAATCCGTAAAAAGAATTGATTTCAAAGAAAATTAATACGGCAAAACATGCATTATGAATATTTGCTCCGGCGTTGCAGACTGTAATTTGTTAAAAATTTTCAATAAGCTCCATAAATAACCCGAGGTTCCTCAATAAATCCCAATTCTGTTACTTTCGTTCCCAGGTTCCCTGAGAGAAAGACGAGTCACTGCGCTGTTATGTAGACTGTGATTTCGTACGTCAGAATTTCGGTCCGTTTTAGCTGTTGAACTCATTCATTTTGGTAGCAACTTTTATCTTTGTTACAGGGGGGTGGGGGGAAGGGAGAATCGCTTATTAGTTAATCAATTTCTAAAAATAGTTATTCTCCCAAAACACTAAATCGTGAAATTCTCCTTCTCAAAAATGCACCAAAGTCCTAAAAATGATTTTTAGAATAAAAATTCCAAAACAGTCTTAAGTGATTTAATCAATCCAAGCGATCTCGGGCAAGTTTGCAACGCTGACTTGCCTCACCTTCCTCAGTTATCGCGCTGGTGGCTACACTGTGTAACAAGCCCATTGAACTAAATATAACTGGAAGGCTATCTTTATATAAACATACCTGTACTTGCTTGCTACCAAATTTTAACCCGAAGACACCCGTGTCTGGCGGTCAAATCCAGCATTCTAGCTTATCGTGGTAAATGAACTTTCTTTCGGCCGTGCGTGGAAAGTTTGGAACATTGGGACTAGTTGAATTGCCAGCTTCAAATTTTGGCGGGAAGTAGCATTCCAGTTACATTCAGTTCAGTGAACTTTCATATTTCCTGTCAATACTTACCATTGCTTACATCAATGCCATAATCGCCATTTGTTGTCTATTTTAATCAGCAATGTCTTCCCGCTCTATGTTTTTGTCCTCAATCGGCCAGAATTCTACAACTATGCTATAAATTGGTGCAACTTAGACAAAACTCCTACTGGCTTGTAAAGGTATGAAACAGTGCGTCCATCTTGCCGTCTGTTTGAAGTAATCTCTGATTTTTGTCAATGGTCGTTGCAAAGGCATTTTTATACATTCTTCGTTAGGTGGAACTTTTGCAAATATTACAAGTGTTTGACTTCAGGTATTAAAATAATATGGCCCCGAATAAACTTAAGAATTTCTTCATTGTTAAGAATACACTCCATTTTTGTTACTTCTTTGTGTCGTTTTTTATAGTTTGATTGCTTTTCATGAAAGTGAATGTGGTTTCGCGAAATCCGTGGTATACTATAATATCAGCATTTTTATTTTATACAATAAATATCGTGAATCACACAGCAAATCGATTTCGTTCACCGTGAGCGCACACACTTTTCATTTCAATGCCGTTTTCCTTTTTATCGACAGGATGGCAATCTTCAAAAGACTTATTTCTATGATGTCATTTTATTTTTACTTTCTGATGATGATCAAAGAGTTAGAACTGAAGCGGCAAACACGCTCGTAAAGTAGGTTCATCCTCACGGTCATATAGTTAGGTCCGAACTCTGAAGCGGTGTTTTATTTCGCGCGAAATTTTCGACATGAATACGTTTTTTCCTTACTTAGATTGGTTCGACAGATGTATTTTGATGATGGTGGCGGTGGAAGTCGAAAGCCATGGCTTGCTGTTGCAAAAAGGAACTTTGGTAAATTGCAAGTTTTGTCACATACATGCATCGCGTGTAATATTTTTAACACGCCTGTAACATGTATTACACGTGTAACTTTTATGACACGTGTGTTTCTTGGGTAAAGTATATACAGGTTCAACTCATATGCGCGTGTGTAACTTGTGTAACATGTATAACACGTTCAACTTATATACGCGTGTGTAACTTGTGTAACATGTACAAAATGTATAACTTGTATGACACGTGTGTAATTGTGTGACGTGTATATCATTCGTATAACTTGTGTTACACGTATACAATACGTAAGCAATACTCATTCGTATAACTTGTGTTACACGTATACAATACGTAAGCAATACTCATTCGTATAACTTGTGTTACACGTATACAAAGCGAAAGTTGAAGCATCGTCATTGCTATTTTAGGAAAATATTTTGGAGGTCGGAGAAAAATTTATGAAAATTCTGTCATCAAGACAAACTTGTCAAGAATCGTTGCAGCTCTCAGTCAGCGACTTAATGTTCCTACGTCAAAAAATGGCCTGGTAAGTGTATGTTTGTGTCACTTTATTTCCAAACACTTTGCAGAAATCCTTCTTCATTTTCAATGATGTATTTGCATCCATGTACATTTTTGAATGATGTATTGTATTTCTCGCTATATATGATTTTTATTCTGTTTTCTTTCTATGTATAACATTGCGCGGTCGAGTTCCATTTCTAATCAATCTTCAGATGTTTTTCTAGTTGGGTTATTGTGAATCCCTCAGTTTGCTCGCTAACTCCTACCCAGTCTCCTGTTGGCCAAAGTGCTGGTCCTGTGACGTGCACGCCATCACGCGTAGTCCTTCGCCTACAGGAAAATCACTCTCGCCTGAGTCTTCGCAGCCACAAATCTCGTCCGTACTCTGCAACAATGGCGGTGGTGCACTCGCATTTCTTGTGGAAATGATGACGTCATCTTGGCTCACCTTGAACGTTCCAGGGCACGAAAACGCTCTTTTGGTAAGCTGATTACCAATTAACCATATAAATTTTTAATGTACGTCAAATAGAGTATGTTTTACCTTGTATTATGGCTTATTGTTATGACTACATTGGCTTTTAATAATTTGACAAACCTCTGATCGTGGATAATGGAGAAATTTGTAGCTATGACATATACAATGGGCAGTTGAGAAAAGTGGCCATATGGTAAACTCAATAAAAAAACGTATGGCCACCTACTGTTTATGTATGTTTACATACATACTTATATTCTGTATATTTTACGCTAATGAACATTGATCATTAAAATGTCTTAGTGCTTGTCGTTGTCTTCTTTTCCAGGTGGTTGGTAAACTTTTGCTCGGAATTGCGAGCAGTGCTCTTTCTATTGGTCAACGTCGTTCCTCGTGCCCAGACTCCGCACGTCAATGGGCCATATTTGGCGATTCTTCAATTTCAGAACTTGCCGACAAAGTTTTTGTCCACATTTTGCGGTAAGTTCGAAACTGTGGATATAGGCATTGGACTACTAAATATATGTAGAGTACACACTTTTTTATTACTTTACTGCATGAATTTTTTTGGGCCGTAGAATTCCATCTTGTTCATTGATTGTTGCTCTGAAGCAACGTTGCGCAAGAAAGGGTTATTACAGACATGTTTCGGCAAACTTATGCCATTATCAGTGTGAATGAATGCTGTTACAAGATTACGAATTTATAAATAATGATAAGTTACTATTGCTGCTTGTGTATCACATTTTGTAACATATGATTCATTCACACTGATGGAATAAGTTTGCCAAAACATGTATATATTAAAAACGTTTTGTTCTCTGCGCTCGATTTTCTTGCTTCAATTGTGCCTCTACGTAAATATGGTACTAACTGGAAGTCAAATTTTTATCTCTAAGACAAACATTTTAGCTTTTTGTGATGATTTTTTTCTTCGGGGGCATGTGGAAAAATTGGCACTAGTTGAATTGCTTGCTTCAAATCTTGACGGGAGATAGCGTTCCAATGGTGTTGAGTTCAGTGGGAATTTTTGTGACAAAATATTGATTATGTTTGATAGAAAATCTTTCTTTTTTTTCAGATTACTGAATATCTTTTTTCACGTTATTGACAATATCACTCCAGGAGCTCATAGTTCAAAGGTTTGTATGTAAATGTTTCCCATGATGCTGCATTAGCATCCTTGGCATGATGTCACAACAAAAACATGAATAAGCTGTAACAGCTCCGTAGGAGCAGCTTTCGTCTACATTTAGACCATTCGAGTTACGGCAACTTTAGTTCCTATAGTGAACATTATGTTTACACAGCAGCGAAGTCAGTCTGTTTTTCACTGCTACAATGCAAATATTTTTGTATGCAATCACTTGAGAGACAACGAATTGAATTAATTTTCGAAAGAAATGAATAATATTTTGTTTTAAACATTTGCATTGCAGGAGTAAGAGATCGGGCTGGGTTTGCTAATTTATTTATGTGTTTCAAGATTCTGAATGAGTCTTGAAACAAAAGCACATGTTTCAAATGCAAGACGTTTATCTCCTAGTGTGTCTAGTATCATAAATATATAGTTTCGACATGCGTGCTATTGTTGAAATATGTTCTGGTTTTTTAACTTTCTTAAAAAAAATTAAAATCGTATATTTCGTCCAAATCAACAGCCTTTATTACTGAGTAAGGACAAAGACAAGTCGCCAACTCCTATTCCCGGGGCTGCTGTCCAAACCTTGACTACATCATCGTCACCATCAACAAACGTTTCAAGTCCAAAAAGACTCATAAATCGATCGAGAAGAAATACCGAAGGATCTGCTGATGCAGTCAACATTTCGGTAGAGAAAGGATCGACTGGAAAGACTGGCGAAAATGAGGGAAAGTTGAGTGCGTCTGGTGTTTTCTTAGGGCAATTTCATCATTTGCCACATTATCATCGACTTTATGAAACAGTGAAAGGTGTATTTTCAAATTACAAGGTAATGGTTAACAATCTAGGTGAATGTAAACAATCTAGGTAAATGTAAACAATCTAGGTAAAGATAAACAATCTAGGTAACGGTAAACAATCTTGGTAAAGGTAAACAATCTAGGTAAAGGTAAACAATCTAGGTAAAGGTAAACGATCTAGGTAAAGGTGGACAATATAGGTAAAGGTGAACAATGTAGGTAAAGGTAAACAATCTAGGTAAATTTAAACACTTTTGGTAAAAGTAAACAATCTAAGTAAAGGTAAACAATCTAAGTAAAGGTAAACAATCTAGGTAAAGGTTAGCAATCGAGGTAAAAGTAAACAATTTAGACAAAAGTAAACAATCTTCTTAAATGTCAACAATCTAGGTAAAGGTAAACTAAGTAGGTAAAGGTAAACTAGATACAAGCAATCTTGGTCTTTGTAAACAATCTTAGTTCATGTAAACAATCTTGGTTTATGTAAACAAATTAAGCAAAGGTAAACAAGGTAACTAAAGTAAACAATCGTAGTAATGACAATGGTGCGTTTTGGAACATGATGTGTTTTGGAAACACGACGTACTGATGTGGAAACACTACGTACTGATGTGGAAACACTACGTACTGATGTGGAAACACTACGTACTGATGTGGAAACACTACGTACTAATGTGGAAATACTATGTACTGATGTGGAAACACTACGTACTAATGTGGAAATACTATGTACTGATGTGGAAACACTATGTACTGATGTGGAAACACTACGTACTGATGTGGAAACACTACGGAGTAATATTATTTCTTTTCCAAACAGGTCAACTTAAAGTTTAATGAAGAAGAGAAATTTGTGAAGTTGTTAAAAACAATTTTGACCGTGTTTGCAATGCTACTGGAGCTAGTGACATTCTCAGACCTTGGAAAAGTGAGTCGATATTTGAATGTTAAAATGCGTATATCAAGGTCAGGGAAATATCTTCTTTAGATCGTTAAATCGAATTTTTGAATATTTTTGTAATATATTTGGTATAACAAAAATTTTATATGTTTGTGGATGTAGATCGTCCAGGTTAGTGGACTCTTGAGAAGGACTGTTTTTGTTGTTGTTGACTGACGTTTCGACAACCTTAGCGGTAGTCATCTTCAGAGCCAAATGAGGAGTAAACGTCAGTCAACATCAACACCGACAGTGGTTCTCAGGACTCCACTAACCTGGACGATCTACGATCCACAAAAATGTATCGATACTCCCGAGTTTAAACCATTCAAAAATTTCATTTTCGTGGGTTTTTGTGGCGTAAAACTTGGTGACTCTGTACCGGATGTGACGTAAAAAGGAAAACACATACATTGAAGATATAGCTTTCATTATACCGAATAAAGCTATTTTAGCCAATCCTCTTTAAAAACAGAACTACAAATTTACGATGCTGCATAGTTGTATAGTTTGACGACATTGTTTGAGCGAAAAATAAAGCGTTTGGAAAGAAGAACTGCGTTTTCTCCTTTTTACGTCACTTCCGGCGCGAAGTCACCAGCTACTAGGCCCAAAAAACCCACGAACATAAAATTTTCTATCTATCAAATATATTGCAAATGCTCGATTTAACTATCTAAAGGAGTTTTTTCTCTGGCCCCGATAAAGGCAGTTGAATAAATTTTTTTATCGCATTGTTTCGTTTTAATCGTTCAGATTTCTCTCGTATTTTTACGTAGAATATGGAGGAAATAATAGGGTACTTCCAAGCCACTGTGAAATGCGAAGCAGCGACAACTTTTCTTTGTGTTCAACAGGTTAAAACTCTTTCTTGTTGAATTTATTGAATCCTTTTTTCGAAGTAGCTTTGACTCGGAGTCAAACACCGATTTAAGATGTGACGATGTTATATTTTAAGACGTTGCGAGCGATATTTGGGGTGAACATTGCAGCTCAACCGAACCAAGGCTCCTCGCACTCCGCACAGCAGATTGATGTACTAGATACTGAGATAAGTGTCCCATCGTGTCTTGAAGATTGTGTTGACAAGTCGAGCAATGTCGGGTTTTATCGAACGTACTTTGAAGAGATGCAATCGGAGATTAGTGCCGCATTTAACGAGATTCGTACTCGCGACCAAACAGTTGAAGCAAAAGAAAGCAAAAGGTGATCTTTTTCACAGTTTGCACGAATGAAAATTTATCTTTGTGTAGTGTTGTCCCTAGTTATCCTTGTGTAGTGTTGTCCCTAGTTATCCTTGTGTAGTGTGTCCCTAGTTATCCTTGTGTAGCGTTGTCCTTAGATATCCTAGTGTAGTGTTGTCCCTAGTTATCCTTGTGTAGCGTTGTCCCTAGTTATCCTTGTGTAGCGTTGTCCTTAGATATCCTAGTGTAGTGTTGTCCCTAGTTATCCTTGTGTAGCGTTGTCCTTAATTATCCTAGTGTAGTGTTGTCCCTAGTTATCCTTGTGTAGCGTTGTCCCTAGTTATCCTTGTGTAGCGTTGTCTCTAGTATCCTTGTGTAGTGTTGTCCCTAGTTATTCTTCTGTAGTTTTGTCCCTAGTTATCCTTGTGTAGCGTTGTCCTTAGTTATCCTTGTGTAGTGTTGTCCCTAGTTATCCTTGTGTAACGTTGTCCCTAGTTATCCTTGTGTAGCGTTGTCCCTAGTATCCTTGTGTAGTGTTGTCCCTAGTTATTCTTCTGTAGTTTTGTCCCTAGTTATCCTTGTGTAGCGTTGTCCTTAGTTATCCTTGTGTAGTGTTGTCGTTAGTTATCCTTGCGTAGTGTTGTCCCTAGTTATCCTAGTGTAGCGTTGTCCTTAGTTATCCTAGTGTAGCGTTGTCCTTAGTTATCCTTGTGTAGTGTTGTCCTTAACTATCCTTGTGTAGCGTTGTCCTTAGTTATCCTAGTGTAGCGTTGTCCTTAGTTATCCTTGTGTAGTGTTGTCCTTAACTATCCTTGTGTAGTGTTGTCCTTAGTTATCCTTGCGTAGTGTTGTCCCTAGTTATCCTAGTGTAGCGTTGTCCTTAGTTATCCTTGAGAAGTGTGTGCCGAGCTATTTTGAGCAGAGTGTACCAAGTTGTCCTTCCGTAGTTTGTTCACGTTTTTGTGCATATAGTTGAAGTGAGCTGCTGCATGTTATAAATGGTCGGTGTCATGATCTACAAGTGAATCTAGTGATCATGGAGAATTACACTTTATTAACATCACTCTATCTTTTTCTGATAGCTTCAAAGATTTAAGTTTCATCAAAATGCTTCGGCAAAGACGTGGATCATTTCGACCTCCTCTTAAAGTCGACAAGGTTTGTTGCTTCTAAACTCAATAAATAGCAATAATGATTGTATTGACCATCTTTCCATTCCTCAGAAATTGTTTTTCAACACCCACCCCCATGTATATATAAAGGGGGTTCTCCTAGCAGGACTCATAGAATATTTGTAAACTAGTCTTCATACTACTTTCTTTACAAAAGTGAAGTTTGAGATTGTATCTTAACCTTTTATTGCAAAATAAAAGTTACTCTTGATCTAAAGGGTTGGTGTCAGAACTTTGAAGGAACCAACCAACATGGCAGCTTTCAAATGGAAATACACCATTTGTTTTCGATTCGTTAGAAAAAGTTATTTTTTTTTAAGTTTGATGACATTTTCAATGAAATTCAACGTCTTCTTCTTCCTTGAATTTTTCAAAATATGTCATTGAAACTCCTTGAAAAGTGCTTGAATTTCATTTTTCTAGCTTTGTAGGAACCCTGTCCTAAAATTGCTACCTTATTTGGAACGCAATGCCAATTTACTCGATTATGCCACTTACGAGCTCCCCCCTGAAAAGTATGGGGACCACCTCAGTAGAAATTTGAACATTCCTCTATGATTAATTGTTTCCCTGTTTTGTTTTCTATCGTAAACTACACTGAAATATACATTTTCAAATGGTAGATACTGGAAATTACTTTAATTATAAATTTGCCTTGTCCTTTTTAAAACGATGTAGTAGGCGTTTGCTATCTTTTCTTACATCTTTTGGTCTTACATCTAGCGCTGCAAAATCCTCCCTTGTCCGAAATGCAATGCGGCCGGAAATTGTTTGAGAATGCTCTTGAAAAAAACATCGATGCTTGTTGCCAACCCGAAATATTTCATAGTAAATTGCTGTGCTATCACCAAATTTATTTTCGATCGACGTAAACTTTTGCTAGGTTACAAGATAGCATTCAGAGAAATTATACTTCATTACGGCATGTAACCACTTGCTTTTAGAGAACGTTTTTGAACGATAGAGCTCAATAAGAAACGTTTTCGGCCACAAAATTGTTAAAATCAAATATTGTTCTGAATGTCACGGTGATTGACAATTAGGTAGTTCTTAAAAGAATTGTTGAAAACTAAAATCAAAAAAGCTATGAAATCAACCATGTCTTTAACTTTCATAGCTATCTTCATTTTGGTTTTCAACAGTTCTTTTAAGAACTACTCAATTGTCATTTACCATGACAGACACGCTATTCATGCGGAGATGTATCGTGTCATTTATTTTTAGATATCTTTATTTTGGTTTTAAACAGTTGCTTTTAAGAACTACTCAATTGTCATTCAGCGTGACTAATACGTTATTCAGAGCAATATTTATGTTTTTAGCCAGAACCAAGTATTTTTTTATAATTACTGAAATATTTACCATCTCATTTGAACAAGTGATGATTTGAATTATTAATCAAATTGCAATATTATATATGTGTGTTTAGCCTATTCAACGTTCGTTATGTCGTTTTCTAGCAAGCCCAGGTTCATTCTTACATCAGAATGTTTGAACCTCTGGTCATTAGAGCGTTGAAGGAATACACGACGTCCAGTTCCATCCAGACTCAAGCCCAAGTCCTTAGTATATTAGTTCAACTTATTCGGCTGAGAGTCAATTATGCTTTGTTAGACTCCGAGCAGGTGTGTACGTAATATCATAATAACTGTTTTTATTATACAATAATGGTGCAATCTCGATTGTGATTGGCCTAGAGCCTGTACACACAAAAAGTTTAATGGTGAAATCTTCATGGAGATTTGCAAACGTTTCACTAATTATTGAGAATATAAGGACGCGAAAAACACGAAAAGAGCTGAATTGTAAGAAAGTCAAGGGGTTTTCAACCAGTTTTTACGGGGAAAAGAAGAAAGCGAACCGTTTTAAGATTATTTCATGTCAAAGCAAGGAAAACTTTATAGCTTACGTACATAAAGGTTTCTGCGTTTATAATTATTAAAACGTAAATGGTTTGAACCCGAGAGTATCGTTACATGTTTGTAAATGTAGATCGTCCAGGTTGGTATAGTCCTGAGAAGGACTGTTTTTGTTGTTGTTGACTGACGTTTCGACAACCTTAGCGGTAGTCATCTTCAGAGTCATCTTGGACGATCTACATTTACAAACTTGTAATTATTACAACGATTGTTGAATTCGGTTTTTGCATGGATGGGAAGAGTGGGCCCTCCTCTAAACCCGCAGTTAATCCATCCCTGCTGAACACAATGCGACTAACAGAAATTTCCACGAGTTTTATAAAGAATAACGAAAGACATAATCCATTAACTGTGGAAAAATAGATTCGGACATTTCTGACCGAGGGATGATCGGTTAGATTATCGACGTAAAATCACGTTGATGTTGTTTTATTGAAAGAATTTTGACATTACGTAATGTCACCCTTTCATTTACCTTGTCTTTACTCGAGCTAACTTTGCATCTTTTCATTTCTTTTTTTTTGTTCGATGCAGGCGTTTTTGAATTTCGTCCTCAAACAATTTGAGTTCATCGAGGCTGGCCAAATACGGTAAAAAAAAATACAATAAGCGTTTCAAATTTGTGGGAATTTTTTCTACCTTTAGCGTGTAACGTTTTTCACGTTTTTGAATTTAATAGTGACGTCGAGAGGTTTTCTCCGCATATATTCCAGTTTCTTCTCTTACTCTCGTATGACTGTTTTCAACCGAAGTTCAATCAGGCAAAATCCGTCTTCGGCATGTCAAAAATCATTCAAGTTTGTGACGACCTTATGGCTTGTGGTCAGTCAGCAAGAACACATGGTAAGCTTAACGTTTGTCACATATGTGTCGCCGTCAATGACCTAGAACCCAATCTACTAGATCCCTGACTTCGCCGAGTATTTTGTTTTCAGCCGTCCCAGCTCTTTGTCCTATTGTATACGACTTGTTCGACACACAAGCCACGGGCAGAAACGAAAATTCAAAAGAACTTGAAACGCAAAGAGAAGTGTTCGTCTCCATGCTTCTGAGATTGGCTCAGTTTCCTGAGGTGACTAGCTACGTCATGTTCTTGCGTGTGCACTCCATTGAACTAAAATACTTGGAACGCTACCAGGAGCAAATGATTGAAGCCAAATCTTACACCCAGATACGCGAGATTACACCCAGACACGTTTGCTTAGTGTTTCGATATTCTCTCGCGGAGTGAAAATTGGTTGAAGTACACACGCGTGTCTGGGTGTAATCTCGCGTGTCTGGGTGTAAGATTTGGCTTCAAAAAATTATTAAACTTTTCTATTACAGGTAGCGTTCCATGTATTTTAGTTCAATGGCGCACTTTCACTGATGTCTATAAAGCTTACACAAATACCGTAGAATCTTCAAAGTAGCCAGGCTACTTTTGAAATCAGGGGCGACGAGAGTGGCTACTTACGTGGGGGGGGGCTTAGTTATGGAAGGCGATTTTTTAAAGTTGTTATGGTTTACTCTTAGTCCACGTTTTATAAACCTCCTAAAAGATCTATAAGGAGTGCGGTTACTTTCACGATTCTTTAGTGAATGTTAAAAAGGCGGCAACTTTTGGAGCGGGGGGCGGCGTTTGCTTTCGGGGGGGGGCTACTTTCGAGACTTTACGGTATCGAACCATTTGTCGGTTGACATTGTTGTTTTCGAACCATTTGTTGTTTTTTTAGGTTTTAAATCTTTTGGTGTATGTTTTGGCTTTCTACCGCTCCAATGATGAAAAATGGAAGAAGTTCTCAAGGCAGGCTGTGGATACTACCATACAACTGTTGATCAAGCAGCAGGTTTGTGGTAGATTTGTTGTATGTACCAACTTGCATCCTCCCGTATAATTAAAGTATGAAGAAATATTTCAAAAGAATATTTAAGGAGTATTACCTTTGGCATTTTTTTGTAGTATTTTGAATCTTAAATGTATTTTATTGTAATTTGTACTTTCTTTCCCCGGGTCTAAATACATTGTTGATGTATTTATTTGAAATTTGAGGATGCGGTCCTTGAGAATATTATTATATGGTCATGAACGACTTTCAGATATAAGGAAAATCTATAATCCTTACGCTGAATTTAACAGACTTACACTTAAAAACTTCTTAATGCATTGAAATCATTTTCTAGATAATAATTGACGATGTTAACAGTTTGCAGAAATTGGAAAGTCTGTTTGATTCCGTCGCGCCTATTGCGCTCCGTCCCATTGACGTCATCTTGAAGGCTCTTTTTGCTCCCGCCAACTTGGTAAGGTTATTTCACTTCATTTTGTAATCTATCCTAATATAAATATTAAAGATTTTAAGTTTGACGTCCAATACCAATACCAAATGAGGTGAGGCGCATGCGTTTTGCTAACAAAGAAACGAAAAAGCATATGCATTGGAAGTCGCCACTGCCGAAGTCGGCTTGTTTTTGGAAGTCGATATGAACGTGTTGTCAACGGAAGATAAAATGATAGAAAACCTTATTTGGATGGTTTTTCAACTCGAGATGTGAAAGGCTCGTTTATTTGCATCAATTGATGCATGTTTGACTCAAAATTTTTACAGAACGTCGATATTTTACTTGATTATTTCATTTCTGAAAGCTTTAATGTTCGTCTCTATAACTTGACACATTAAAATTCCCTGAGAAAAATTGAAAACGGAAGTGTCGTTTAGATATTGCTATCGGTATTGGAAGTTAAACTCTCTGTTAGATCCTGTACATCCAACATCCACCATTCCACAAACATTGCCCATGCTCGAGTGAATATTTTCAAAAGCAAATTTTTTGCTTTCTATTTTATCATCCTACTTCGCAACCGAATGGCAGAATAGGGATGCGCATGCGTCGTTATAGACAGAGCACTAATATTATTCTATATTCCATTTGTGGTGAAGTTGAGTAGGTTATCTGTGAATCGATGGCTAGCTCAAGTTGTCACTCTGCTCAAAGTAGTCGTCACTCAGTGCACCGAAGAGAATTTTCTTTCGAGGGCAACGCAACTTGGATTCACCGCGAATTTAGTGGGAAACATTGTGTATGGTAATAATCTTGACGTGTCTACATTGGATGTCGAGAGTGACCCTGGAAAGGTGAGTTTTATATGAGCCTTTTATATATGATCATTCATGGAACAGTCAGCGGTTGGCTCCTTCATTGCTCTCACTGACTTGCGACTAGGATAGATGTGAGGAGTGATAATTAGGATGGATAGGGGTAGATAGGATAGATGTAACTGGGATAGACTAATCCTGGAAATTTGAGATTGTTATGAGCCTCTTATGTAGATCATTTATTGAAATGTTCAGCGGTTGGTTTATCCATTGCTTTCACTGTTACTAGGATAGACGGGTGTACTGTTGTATCTTTAAGATATCTATGTGGTGTCCTAGAGGTATTCTGTTTCTACTTTAAGGAAGGAACCCACAACATAGTGAGCTAGAACTAATGATAACACAAGTGAATATATCTCGTATCTTCCGAGGTTTTCGACGATAGAGCCTGGCAGATGGTTGCCATACTATATTACTTATGTTAGTGCTGCTTTCGACTTGGAGTACATCGTCATTTCACAAACTTCATTTTAAGCGAACAATCCATTTGACTGTAGACATATTCCAGTAAACTTAGTTTATTCACAAAACATTGCTTGGGGGAGGGAGAGGAGTGTGTGAACAATATACATATGAATATATATTGAAAAGGAGGAGGGAGGGGAGTGTGTGAACTATGTACATATGAATATATTGTGATCAGGGGGAGGGAGTGAGTTTGTGAACTATATATACGTATGAATATTAGTGATTAGCGGGAGGGAGGGAAGTGTGAACTATATACATATGAATATACATATATATTATAGTGATCAGATGTTTAAGTGTCAAGGCTATTAGTACTCGGGCTACCGTTGTTAAGCCCGAGTTTACAATTCAGGTTTTCCTTTACTGTCGCGAGACTACATAAATCATGCGTGACTGACACGAAGTCTCTGAACCAGTCGAGCTCTTTCTTCAATCTTTTTACGAGTTATATTTCCACATGAGAAAGTGCATTGCCCTCAATTTCGTTGTAACATTTGGCAACCATTATGATACACAAATAGAACCAAACATTGTTCTCGTGTAGCCCGTGTGAACGCCTGATAGAAGTCTTGTTAAATTGGATATAGGAAACGAAGAAATATATTTACTAGTTGAAAATAGTCTCGAGACGAAAAATATGAACCTGTTATTTCCGGCACGTTTGTCGGATTTAGTGGAAAAAGTGCATTTATACTTATGCTTTTTCTCAGGTCATGGCACATTTTCTCGTTCACGTGTTGTATCATGCCATGCAGAACTGGTCCTTTATGGATATTCAAAATGGAGATACCGAGGTCTTTTTAGCTCAACTCACCATGTATTTATTGTTGTACATACAAGAAATCATAAAATCAGGTAAATCAACTTTACGTAAGAATGTTTTATTCATAATGTGATCGTGAAATATTGAAAAGACTGATTGATTCTGTTGCCGAACATTCCAACTTTTTTGGATATGGATTCTGTTGAAAAATTGATACGGATGGCAGATGTATGATTGACGATTCCTCTCTTTTTGGTTGTCGTCGTTCGGTACATCTGAATGGGAGCAAGAGCCGAAAAAATGTAGTACAAAGTATACAATGTAAAATAAAACATAATCCGAAAAAGGACCTCTTTTAAACTTAAATTCAAGTTATAAAACAAGACGATCTAAACTGTAATATTTCGGCTTTATTTTAAAACCACCATCAGACCAAATGATGGAAGCTGGTAGTTAGTTGTGTGTATACAAATTTAGATTTTTAAGTTAATGAAATTGTCGTCTGGTGAAGGCTATGGACAATAAGTATCCAACCTCAAGGTGAAAAGATTGCTCACGGTCCATCTTTACAGAATACTGACATGAAAATTCCATCATCTGAATGACAAAATTAAGAAAATAATTATTTTATTCGTTATTGACTGTCTAAGGAGTACTTTTCTCGTTGAAATCATCATAAAAATAATGGAAATAATACAATTTTCGTTCGTCTTGTAATTGTTGAGCAAGAATTCGGTATTTGCGGTTCTTTTCTTTAGTTTGTTTGGTTTTTAACGGTTCATCAATCGTGTTGCAAAACGCTGTCTTGTTTAGACTTGTAATTATTTCTCTATATTAGCTGTGACTTTTGTAATACCATGGTTGCCTCAATTTTTGTTGTTCTTATAAGACGAATTAATAACGTATTTATCGAAAGGCGCATTGCAAGTAATAGACCATGCACGTAGTCTGTACACTGCATTGTAGTATCGCAAGCAATCCCGAATTTTGAGTTTGAAAATATAAAAATCAGCACAAAGTATTTCCAAAAACACAAAAACATTTAATTTATCCCTGACTAAAACATTTTGGCAAATATTATACATAGTATTACAAAGCAAGACCATGGTAGTTTGGTTACTTCGTGATGAAATGCACTCGAACGCCTTGGGAGGTTTAGGAAAAGGAAGGCCTAGGCTTTTGAGTACATTTAATCACTAAGTAACGTCACTACCCCGGTTTTACTTATAACAAACACATAATATCCGAAGTTTATGGACATCTTGTGTTTTATGCGCTCATGGGCTTATTGTTTGTATGTATATATATATATATTCACAAATAATGCTATTAATAACATTTATGCTTGTTTAGGTTTATTCAAAAACATCAGCAAGGCTGTTTCGTCGCTTATAAAAGAAAGTATACTTACTTCTGATGAATTACAAGTCACCAACAACAAGATCAAGAAAATCCACAAAGTATTTTTGTCTTTAAAAGAAATTCAACCAACTTTGTGCCTTCAATGGTTGAAACTTTTGTCGCTCGTGGATGTTGACGACGAGAATTGGTGGACGCTTTTGCAAGGCAAGTACATAAACATGTTTTCGTTTCATTCTTTTTACATACATATTGTTCTTCTTTATTCCTTACGTCTCGATTTTCTCTTCACTTCGTCTTTTACATTTACTTCTCGACTGTCGAATTTTCGCTCTGAATTCATTACTTGTTTTGTTCTTGAAACGAGCGATTCGAGCTGACTTCTCGAGCGATGATTATTTTGTTTCGATTTTTTCGATGATTTCGTTTGTTTCTGATTTTCTTTCCATTCACTTCGATTTAAACTTTTTTGTTTTCCTCCATTCATTTCTTTTATTTGCTAATTAAACTAAAGGGCTTTGTGTATATGTTCGCACACAGTCACAATCGTGTATATCTGTTTCTACCCAGTCACAATCGTGTATGTTTGTTTCTACCCAGTCACAATCGTGTATATTTGTTCGTACACAGTCACAATCGTATATTTGTTCGTACACAGTCACAATCGTGTATATTTGTTCGTACACAGTCACAATCGTGTATATTTGTTCGTACACAGTCACAATCGTGTATATTTGTTCGTACACAGTCACAATCGTGTATATTTGTTCGCACACAGTCACAATCGTGTATATTTGTTCGTACACAGTCACAATCGTGTATATTTGTTCGTACACAGTCACAATCGTGTATATTTGTTCGCACACAGTCACAATCGTGTATATTTGTTCGTACACAGTCACAATCGTGTATATTTGTTCGTACACAGTCACAATCGTGTATATTTGTTTCTACCCAGTCACAATCGTGTATATTTGTTCGCACACAGTCACAATCGTGTATATTTGTTCGCACACAGTCACAATCGTGTATATTTGTTCGTACACAGTCACAATCGTAAATTTGTTCGCACACAGTCACAATCGTGTATATTTGTTTCGTACCCAGTCACAATCGTGTATATTTGTTCGTAATAGTCACAATCGTGTATATTTGTTCGCACACAACCGTGTATATTTGTTTCTACCCAGTCACAATCGTGTATATTTGTTCGTACACAGTCACAATCGTGTATATTTGTTCGCACACAGTCACAATCGTGTATATTTGTTCGCACAGTCACAACCGTATATTTGTTCGTACACAGTCACAATCGTGTATATTTGTTTCTACCCAGTCACAATCGTGTATATTTGTTCGCACACAGTCACAATCGTGTATATTTGTTTCTACCCAGTCACAACCGTGTATTTGTTCGTACACAGTCACAATCGTGTATATTTGTTCGTACACAGTCACAATCGTGTATATTTGTTCGTACACAGTCACAATCGTATATTTGTTCGTACACAGTCACAATCGTGTATATTTGTTTCTACCCAGTCACAATCGTGTATATTTGTTCGTACACAGTCACAACGTGTATATTTGTTTCTACCCAGTCACAATCGTGTATATTTGTTTCTACCCAGTCACAATCGTGTATATTTGTTTCTACCCAGTCACAATCGTGTATATTTGTTTCTACCCAGTCACAATCGTGTATATTTGTTCGTACACAGTCACAATCGTGTATATTTGTTTCTACCCAGTCACAATCGTGTATATTTGTTCGTACACAGTCACAATCGTATATTTTGTTTCTACCCAGTCACAATCGTGTATATTTGTTTCTACCCAGTCACAATCGTGTATATTTGTTTCTACCCAGTCACAATCGTGTATTTGTTCTAACCAGTCACAATCGTGTATATTTGTTCGTACACAGTCACAATCGTATATTTGTTTCTACCCAGTCACAATCGTGTATATTTGTTTCTACCCAGTCACAATCGTGTATATTTGTTTCTACCCAGTCACAATCGTGTATATTTGTTCGTACACAGTCACAATCGTATATTTGTTTCTACCCAGTCACAATCGTGTATATTTGTTCGTACCAGTCACAATCGTGTATATTTGTTCGTACACAGTCACAATCGTGTATATTTGTTCGTACACAGCCACAATCGTGTATATTTGTTTCACCCAGTCACAATCGTGTATATTTGTTCGTAACAGTCACAATCTGTATATTTGTTTCTACCCAGTCACAATCGTGTATATATTTGTTCGTACACAGTCACAATCGTGTATATTTGTTTCTACCCAGTCACAATCGTGTATATTTGTTCGTACACAGTCACAATCGTGTATATTTGTTCGTACACAGTCACAATCGTGTATATTTGTTTCTACCCAGTCACAATCGTGTATATTTGTTCGTACACAGCTCAAATCGTGTATATTTGTTCGTACACAGTCACAATCGTGTATATTTGTTTCTACCCAGTCACAATGTATATTTGTTCGTACACAGTCACAATCGTGTATATTTGTTCGTACACAGTCACAATCGTGTATATTTGTTTCTACCCAGTCACAATCGTGTATATTTGTTCGTACACCAGTCACAATCGTGTATATTTGTTTCTACCCAGTCACAATCGTGTATATTTGTTCGTACCAGTCACAATCGTGTATATTTGTTTCTACCCAGTCACAATCGTGTATATTTGTTCGAACACAGTCACAATCGTGTATATTTGTTTCTACCCAGTCACAATCGTGTATATTTGTTCGTACACAGTCACAATCGTGTATATTTGTTCGTACACAGTCACAATCGTGTATATTTGTTTCTACCCAGTCACAATCGTGTATATTTGTTCGTACACAGTCACAATCGTGTATATTTGTTCGTACACAGTCACAATCGTGTATATTTGTTTCTACCCAGTCACAATCGTGTATATTTGTTCGTACACAGTCACAATCGTGTATATTTGTTTCTACCCAGTCACAATCGTGTATATTTGTTTCTACCCAGTCACAATCGTGTATATTTGTTCGTACACAGTCACAATCGTATATTTGTTCACAGTCACAATCGTGTATATTTGTTCGTACACAGTCACAATCGTGTATATTTGTTTGCACACAGTCACAATCGTGTATATTTGTTCGCACACAGTCACAATCGTGTATATTTGTTTCTACCCAGTCACAATCGTATATTTGTTTCTACCCAGTCACAATCGTGTATATTTGTTCGTACACAGTCACAATCGTGTATATTTGTTTCTACCCAGTCACAATCGTGTATATTTGTTCGTACACAGTCACAATCGTGTATATTTGTTCGTACACAGTCACAATCGTGTATATTTGTTCGTACACAGTCACAATCGTGTATATTTGTTCGTACACAGTCACAATCGTGTATATTTGTTTCTACCTAGTCACAATCGTGTATATTTGTCGTACACAGTCACAATCGTGTATATTTGTTCGTACACAGTCACAATCGTGTATATTTGTTCGTACACAGTCACAATCGTGTATATTTGTTCGTACACAGTCACAATCGTGTATATTTGTTTCTACCCAGTCACAATCGTGTATATTTGTTCGTACACAGTCACAACGTAAATTTGTTCGTACACAGTCACAATCGTGTATATTTGTTCGTACACAGTCACAATCGTGTATATTTGTTTTTACCCAGTCACACCGTGTATATTTGTTCGTACACAGTCACAATCGTATATTTGTTCGTACACAGTCACAATCGTATATTTGTTCGTACACAGTCACAATCGTGTATATTTGTTCGTACACAGTCACAAAGCATTTATTGTTCCAGTCACAATCGTGTATATTTGTTCGTACACAGTCACAATCGTGTATATTTGTTTCTACCAGTCACAATCGTGTATTTGTTCGCACATGTCACAATCGTGTATATTTGTTTCTACCCAGTCACAATCGTGTATATTTGTTCGTACACAGTCACAATCGTGTATATTTGTTCGTACACAGTCACAATCGTGTATATTTGTTTTACCCAGTCACAATCGTGTGTATATTTGTTCGTACACAGTCACAATCGTATATTTGTTCGTACACAGCCCACAATGTATATTTGTTTCTACCCAGTCACAATCGTGTATATTTGTTCGTACACAGTCACAATCATATTTGTTTCTACCCAGTCACAATCGTAATATTTGTTCGCACACAGTCACAATCGTATATTTGTTTCTACCCAGTCACAATCGCGTATATTTGCCGTACACAGTCACATCGTGTATATTTGTTCGTACACAGTCACAATCGCAAGTATTTGTTTCGTACCCAGTCACAATCGTGTATATTTGTTCGTAGCCAGTCACAATCGTATATTTGTTTCTACCCAGTCACAATCGTGTATATTTGTTTCGTACCCAGTCACAATCGTGTATATTTGTTCGTACACAGTCACAATCGTATTTGTTTCTACCCAGTCACAATCGTGTATATTTGTTCGTACACAGTCACAATCGTGTATATTTGTTCGTACACAGTCACACCGTGTATATTTGTTCGTACACAGTCACAATCGTGTATATTTGTTTCTACCCAGTCACACCGTGTATATTTGTTCGTACACAGTCACAATCGTGTATATTTGTTCGCACACAGTCACAATCGTGTATATTTGTTCGCACACAGTCACAATCGTGTATATTTGTTCGTACACAGTCACAATCGTGTATATTTGTTTCTACCCAGTCGCCAATCGTGTATATTTGTTCGCACACAGTCACAATCGTGTATATTTGTTTCTACCCAGTCACAATCGTGTATATTTGTTTCTACCCAGTCACAATCGTGTATATTGTTTCTACCCAGTCACACCGTGTATGCTTGTTTCTACACAGTCACAATCGTGTATATTTGTTCACCCGTTGCAATCGTGTATATTTGTTCGTACACAGTCACACCGTGTATATTTGTTTCTACCCAGTCACAATCGTGTATATTTGTTCGCACACAGTCAGCAACGTATTGTTTCTACCCAGTCACAATCTGTATATTTGTCTTCTACACAGTCACAATCGTGTATATTTGTTCGCACACAGTCACAATCGTGTATATTTGTTTCTACCCAGTCACAATCGTGTATATTTGTTTCTACACAGTCACAATCGTGTATATTTGTTCGCACAGTCACATCGTGTATATTTGTTTCTACCCAGTCACAATCGTGTATATTTGTTTCACACAGTCACAATCGTGTATATTTGTTCGTACACAGTCACAATCGTATATTTGTTCGTACACAGTCACAATCGTGTATATTTGTTCGTACACAGTCACAACGTATATTTGTTCGTACACAGTCACAATCGTGTATATTTGTTCAGTCACAATCGTGTATATTTGTTCGCACACAGTCACAATCGTGTATATTTGTTCGTACACAGTCACAATCGTGTATATTTGTTCGCACACAGTCACAATCGTGTATATTTGTTCGCACACAGTCACAATCGTGTATATTTGTTCGTAGGCAGTCAGAATTGAATAAAATGTGTTGAGTCAAATTGCAATTTTCCACATTTATTGTTACATTTGTTGCTAGCAATCACCGTTTGTGCTATGTACTTTGCAAACAATTTTCAAAGATTTTGTGTATTGCTTGCGTTTTGAAAAAAAAAATTATGTCAAATCGTTGAAAATTCCATCCTTTTCAGGTGAACTGAACGAACGCCAATCTTGTTCTGTAAACAGACAGATATGTGTCAAAGGGACGCTTCTTCTTCGCTCTAAACTATTGACGAACGCTCAGAAGGTAATGAGGAAAACCTTAGTCATTTCCATTATGAATCTGAGTATTTTTTTCGTGGAACAGGACGCAAACAAGAGTAAAGAAGTTGAAGATTTTCTCAAGGCAAATCTCGAAAATATCACTGAGATGTCGAATGAGTCAACTGCGAAAACGTTTTTAAGGTAGTTATGCTTTATCTTGACATGTTGTAGAACCAAGCTCATTTTCCTTGTCTGGTTTGCAATAAGTGTCAACTCCCCAATACAAAACACCTTAGCAACTTCGATTAGTGTCACCTCTCCCCTCCTGACACCTGCCATAGGTGTCACTTCCCCTCCCCCGCGTTTATGAAACACATTAGCAAATCCATTAGAGAATATATAATATATTAATCCTAACACGGTTTTAATATGCACATGAAAAACATGTGACTTGGACGAGATTTGAACGGATTCTTTTTTTTAGCGGCGGACTAGTATCCCTAAGGTGCGAGTTCAAATCTCGTCCAAGTCACATGTTTTTCATGTGCATATTAAAAACCGTGTTAGGATTAATATATTAAATCCATTAGTGTCACCTCCCCCTCCTGACACTTGCTATAAATGTCATCTCCTCCCCCAGTATGAAACACCTTAGTAACTCCATTAAGGCGAGATCATCGGGAGGAATGTTTTCCAATAGCACTTTTTTTTCAAGGCAAATTCAAAACAGCGAAATTTGCAGCAAGATTTTTATCGATGTTGTCGGAGATTTAAAAGATCTTTTTCCAAATAAAGTGAGTATGCTTTTTCGTCTTTTATGGGGAGAATATTTGAAATGTGAAGGAAGATTGGAGGTCAAGTAATGTAGTATGACAGGGCATACATAAGGATAAGCTATCGTTAGGGTGTACACTATGCACAACCACGTCATGCTATACCTTTACGCGTGTGATGCCTCGCCTTCGAAGTTTGAATTCGCAATCTTCATCTTTGTCGAAGTGGTCCGATATTGAATTTCATTGCCGTAAAATCTTAGAAAATTTATGTAATGCTTTCAACGACTTAGAATGACTAAAATAGATTTGACTCGTTTCCAATCCCTTTTGGCTCGGTAGCTCAACATGTTCATGTACAGCGGACTAGTATCCCAAAGGTGCAAGTTCAAATCTCATCCAACTCACATATTTTTCATGTGCATATAAAAACCGTGTAAGGATTAATATTATGTAGATTCCCCAATATACTAGATATCTGAATCCTCCAAAATTCTATAGTTACGAGTGAGGCAAGGCGCCATCTTGAAAGGTGGTAAAACTGACGATATTTTACGACTAATATCTGCTTTTATTGACTTGATATATAATCGCAAAGTTGATAGTCTTAAGGGTTTGATATGATAGGGTTTCTAAACCTTCTTTCAGCTTATTTTTCATTTTGAGTTTTGCTTTTTGCCACTTTTCAAGATGGCGTCCTTGTCTCACTCTGCCTTGGGAGTTGACATCTAGGGGATTGGGTTCTAAATCATAAGCTGCCATTGAAATTTCGTAATGTTGTAATCCGTTATTGTTGACATTCATGAAGTCCTCATGTCAAATGTAGCTTAACATATGATGATTTATGATTATACATGATAGTACATTGTATTGTATGATAATGTATAATATATCGTTGTTTAGTTAGAGTTTAAGAAGAATCTTCTGATAATTTTGGACGATCTTCACTACAAGCAATCCACCAGTCTCATCTTGTTATTGATATCTGATTTCCTCGGCTGTCACTATCGTTCGATCACTCGGAAATGCGAAACGATGATCTGTAATAGACTGGAGTATTGCATGTCTTTGCCAAAAAAGGTTGAAAATGTTTTTGTCTTGTTGCAACAAATCTATCATTGCTCGATGTTTCTTAATAAGGCGATTGCCAAAATAAACACGGAGGTCGCGGGGAGGGTGTGCCAATTTTTCTACAAAACACCAATATACCAAACAGCTAAGCATTGTGTGATTCGTGTTTAATGGAACACACTTTCAAAAACCCCAACTATAGAGATAATTCAGAACATCTTTCATTTACCATGGGATAATGCTCGCAAATTCACTGCTTGCAAGTGTATTTTTCCGCGATTTTCCGGAACACTCGCGCGTGCGCATAACGTTTTTCGGCTGTGCTACAGATACGTTCAAGGGTAACGGAAATTTTGCAAAGACACTCATCCAACTATAATAAAATGGTTACAAATTTTACCAAAAAATCTGAAATTGTACAAAGGGTTACATATTTTAATTCAAACTAGAGCACCCACCCCCACCCACCCTCCGTCACCCTCCGTCACCCACGTAAAAACCATCGTAGATACATCCCTGCAGAGTTCTATTGTTGTGTTCCTTGTTCGATTTATCTTTCTCTAATTTCTGGAAATGTTTGTGTACAGGAGGTTGAAGAAATCTTTTCATCAGACGATATCGAAAGCATTCATGGTGCTCTTGTATCAGTGGCCGTCACAAAGAGGTTGAAAAACAATTTTAAAATATCAAGAATAGAACGCGTGCGCTGATTGGTCTGTAGCTGAGTTTGCATCAGCCTGGGCGAACCGATCTGAACTCAACCAATGAAATCAACGAAAATTTGCAAATCATTCATGAATGCATGTTAGAGGAAAAATGAACACATTTGTTTCAAGCTTTAAATTATTGTTATTTTATAAAATATGTAAAAGATGTTTTTGAAACACGTAAAACATCTTTAACTTAAGTTTAACTTAACTTTATGCAAACCTAGGAGATATTTGGGACAACTCGAGGGCAGATCAGTGTAAGCCCGAGACCGAAGGTCAAAGGCCACACTTGCTCGAGATAACATGTATTTATAATTGATTTGCAAACTCTTATTGGTTAATTAATTGATTGAGCTCAGATCGGTTCACATCAGTTTGCACAGACTAATACGAACACAGCTATAGACCAATCACCGCACACGTTTTGTTGTGTTGTTTTATAATTCTTAGTTGAAAATATTTTTTTGCTTGCTGCGATTAATATAACTGTAATTGCACCTTGCAGAAATCCACGTTTAGCCTCTCTTATATCCCACGTTTCGCTCAATACTACGAAGGTTGGACAATCTGGAAATGTTGCTGAGCCTGCACTAAAAGCAAGTCTCGAAAACATAGAGGTAGGTAGGAGAAGTTAGGTAGGTTAAGATAGGGTGAAAACTTCATCTAAGCATAGTCTCGTTGAACATTTCCATACACCCGATTTCCTATAAAAGGGACTTGTAAATTGAATCTTAATTAGCCATCAAATAAATGCCAATGATATGCACAAACAAATACAGAAAATGTGGAGGAGAAATAAGAGAACACTAAAAAGTAATATTTATAACAGTATGTATGAGACAGCCATAGAATTTATTATTTCCACATAAGGTTATTCATTTCCTGAATGAAATAGAGCTATGTTTCCACTTTTAAATGTTGAACTTCTGTCATAAAGATTGTCGTTATTTTTTGTTTCTGCTTTCGGAGAATTGACAATACGACTTTTTAAGCCGGCTTTATTATCACTAGACTGACCAATCAGGAAGTTTATTATGATTAGACTGACCAATCAGGAAGTTTATTATGACTAGACTGACCAATCAGGAAGTGAGTTTTTGCATAATTTTTTATAGGATGTTGATTCACTATATCGATTATCGCTTTTGCATTTCACTTCTACGTACAAAACTAAATTATTTAAAAAATTAGCAATATCGATGAGCGTTCTGTCTGTTTAGACATGGTTTTATACCTTTGTTCACAAATGCTGCTGTTGTGTCAAACTTAACGACGTTGGTGTTAAAAGTTTTGCTGAAGTTGTACATTTATTGCACGCCCTACGATTTGACGCGATTTCTAAAATCATGGATGATGAGGTACACGAGGGATAAGTACACAGAATATTGGAAAGTCTTTTTGGATTGAAGGCAGACTTGTTTTAAGCCATGTCTTTTTTAGGAATTCAACACGAGTTGCATTACTGCTGTGTTTATTTCAATCATTAACAAATTTGTTTTTTTAGAAATTCAACACAAGTTTAATGCTGCCGTGTTTGGTATTTGGCATGAAGAAAACTGCTGAAATTTGTGCGAGAGAATTTGATCATGAGGTATAATTGTCGAAGAAAAAAATGTTTTGAGTTTACCGTATTAGAACCTTCTCCACTTTAACATTTAAAATCGTCCCGAAGATTAGAGCCATCTTCCCCTTCAAACGTTAAAACTCTGTCGAAGATCTGAGTCATCTCCCTCCTTCATATTAAAGCTATGTTGAAGACCTCCATATTTAAAACTATGTCGAAGACTTGAGCCACCCCCCTCTCTCCATAATTAAAAGTATGTCGAAGACTTGAGCCACCACCCCTACATGTTTGAAACTAAGTTGAAGACTTGAACCACGCCCCTCCATGTTTGAAACTATGTTGAAGACTTGAGCCACCCCACCCTTCTCCATATTTGAAACTATGTCGAAGACTTGAGCCACGCCCCTCCATGTTTGAAACTATGTTGAAGACTTGAGCCACGCCCTCCATGTTTGAAACTATGTCGAAGACTTGAGCCACGCCCCTCCATGTTTGAAACTAAGTTGAAGACTTGAGCCACGCCCCTCCATGTTTGAAACTATGTTGAAGACTTGAGCCACGCCCTCCATGTTTGAAACTGTTGAAGACTTGAGCCACGCCCTCCATGTTTGAAACTATGTTGAAGACTTAAGACACCCCCCCTCCATATTTGAAACTATGTCGAAGACTTAAGCCACGCCACGCCGTGTTTGAAACTATGTTGAAGACTTGAGCCGCCATCCCCCCTCCATATTTGAAACTATGTCAAAGACTTGAGCCACCACCCCTCCATATTTGAAACTATGTCAAAGACTTGAGCCACCACCCCTCCATATTTAAAACTATGTCGAAGACGTGAGCCATCATCCCTCCATATTTAAAACTGTATCGAGAACTTAAGCCTCCCCCCTTAAAGTCAAAACTATATCAAAGATTTGAGCTATTTCTCCCATCCATATATTTAAAACCATTTTAGTCGAATGCATTTTCACATTTTACTGAAACTATACAGGATGTGATTGTTATGGAAAGTGATTTTTGTTGCAGATAAGAACGAGTCCTTTTGAAGACACGGCATATTTCGACACTTATGGCGTCGATCATTTGTTTCAATGTACGTTTGGATTACTCTTACGACATGTACAAGAGATCATATTTAGTGTCACAACGTTGGAGGACGATAATCACGATGGCAATAAGCAGAACAAGCCAACCTTACTGCATTCAACGTTGGAGGACGATAATCACGTTAGCAATAAGCAGAACAAGCCAACCTTACTGCATTCAACGTTGGAGGACGATAATCACGATGGCAATAAGCAGAACAAGCCAACCTTACTGCATTCAACGTTGGAGGACGATAATCACGATGGCAATAAGCAGAACAAGCCAACCTTACTGCATTCCAGAATGAACGTGAAACAAGTACACGAGCTATCGGAAAACTTGCCATGGAAACGAAGACTCATCGACACCACGAAGGCGCTGGAGGCGTATTTTTCCTTCGTGCACACATTGCCAAAAGCTGCTCAGCTACCGAAAGCTATTTATTGCGCCGTGTGTCAGTTTGGTATGATCGTGTTGGAGGTAACGGGCTTGTTTTTTTGTATTTCTTATCTAAATCTTCGAGGATAGTGGATAATATGTACTGTCGGTGTCGACTCGTGCCCGATTATATAGTCCTGCCTTGTGAATTTTCTTTTGTTCGCTTCCTGTAAGAAAACAATAGATTTATAAAGAAATGAATGATGATGATGCTCCGAAATTTACATAAGTACCAGGACTAAAACTTGCCAACTGGCCTTGCTACTGTGTACTGGATGTCTTCTTTGGTTGGGAGGCAGATGTGAAATGCTCAAAAGTTTACATTTTGGGAAAATCACTCCCAGGAATGTTTTCATTTAAAACTAGAAACGTCAAGAAGTTTCAAGACGAAAACTTTTTCTCATTATTTGGTTGACGCTAACCCCTTTTACTCAAGCCAACCTACATCTTTCATAGGTTTTGTATTGCGAGAAGTATCAAGGAGAGAACTGTTGTCCATCAGAGCTTATTACCGTGTTTCGTACGTTTTCACTTGTAAGTAAATAGTAATCACGTATATTTTCAATATATGTGTTTCCATTTGACCCGTAGTGAATTTCACTGTGATGAAATAAATTTCCTTTGGAAATGAACCAAACCAAGTGGCTGAGGTTTAAAACATTTTCACTGGATTATTTTTCAGATGCTACACAATCGCTGTCTTTTTCATGTTTTTAATGCACCGGAGTACAGTCCGTGGGTTACGCGTTCATTGCGTTCTGTCTACTCCATCGTCAAAAAAGGTAATGCATTAACTATGAACTTTCTCATAACGATTAAACGTTCTTGTATGAGTACGTCCGCCAGCCTCATAAGAGGGCCTAGTTAAATCGATTTCGACGACATCTGCAATATATTTGATAGAACGAAAATGTTATCTTTATGGGCGTTTCGTGCCTAGAATTTGGTGACTCCGCACCGGAAGTAAAATTTTCATTGGGAAATAGCGTCCGAACAGTTTTAATTTTTGCAAGTTTTTTCTTTGACTATTCGATCAAACGATGTCGTGAAACTATAAACCTATGCGGTATCTTAAATTTTTATTGCCGTTACTAACAAAAAAGTTACTTTCCTGGTCTTGATATGTGCGCTTCAAACACCACTGTGGTCAGCGGTACACTACGAGGATTAAATTGAACGCTCCCCTACTTTCTCACATGAGTATTTGTGTTAGCCAACCTCATTAAACATCACAGTAGTCAGCGGAAATCTGCTCTTGGATGAGCAGGGTACAACCTAACCAGATACGGGATTTAACCGAACAGTTATCGACCGGATCCTATTGGATACTGGATTATCACTGGATCCTATCGGATACTGGATTATTACCGTATAGCTGTAATTGATACAATTACTAGTATCAAGCAAAGCTTAACATTAGGGGACTGAATAGAGTGGACTATAAACTTTTTCTTGTGAATAATTACTTCTCCGAAGTATTTTAAGACGGCTATACTTCATCGCCTGTCGCCATGTTGCTTTTTATTCCACCATAATGGACGCTATCATTTGTCCAAGGGCTTTGGAAAGCTTTTCAAAGTTGCATGTTCCATCTTCGAATATAATATGTGGTCAAGCACGATGGTTGAGTTAGTGACGAAACTGCTCTATATGAGTTAGTTTTGTTTGGTTTTATTCCTTCAACTGGGTCATGTCGCAGTGAAAGTTTTAATCGTTTGTACGCTTGTAAAAACCTGGCATTCAATATATCGTATTGATGTTCAAAGAAGCCAAATTTTTAGGTGTCCTTCTTGTAAGGGACACCCAGACAGACACCCGTGGCTTGCCAGTCCCCGAGGTTGTCGGAAACTTATTCGGAACCTGCGCATTCCTAAATTCTACACACATTGTGCAGTTATTTTTGTAGTTTTGTACATGCACAAATCTTTGATTGCATATCATTTTGTTGTTGTGTTTCAGTGTTCGTGATACCGGGCACAATCTTACCTGAAGATAAACCTTACATCAAACTGCCCGACTCCGATATTGTTTACAACGAAGCTTCGATGTTGGTCAACTATCTATACACGCTTTTAAATAACACCAATCATCATCTCGTACATCCTGATGCACTCATACGGTCATGTCGTGACGTAATCACTGGACTTGCGCGTCTCACTTTGTTCAACGCGTACGTTCGCATTCCACCGCTCGTATGGAACATGGGATGGGAAGAGGAAAGGCATGGTACCGAGTTACCCCCATTACCCACGGATATACTCCGAGAGAGAGATGTCCTGCAGGATTTCGTGTTAAGAGTTCACTCGATTGGTGAGTAGGCTGTTATAAATAGAGTATCTGATATAAATAGAGTATCTTTTCCTGCTCATTAGGGGGAAATATTCATTCATTGGCACCAATCTATCTGCATTTGAGTGAAACACGCACTTAGGCAAGACAAAGTTGTGGGCCTTGATATATTTTTGCACAATAAGTTCAGTCTCTGTACGAGGTTTGCGTTGCTCACGTTTCTTGCCTTCCCGGCTTCTGCTTGTAACTCGATGTGTCAACAATTTTGAGTGAATTTAAAGTTTGGCCTGGAAAAACCAACCATTTTATGAGTTCGAAGCATCGTGCATTCAAACAGTAGATAGTACGGTTTTCAACAGCATTTAAATGGTCTAAATTAAGAGTATTTAGCCAGTCCGGAATGACAAACAGTAAAAAGTAATTATGCCCAGATTCTTCGGCCCTCTCGAAAAGTTTTACGATATTTGACTACGTTCCGGAATCCTGTAGATAAATACTTGAGCGAAGACTTGTTCTGTTTTGTTTTATCTTCATAAGGAAATCACCAGCCAACTTTTGATTGTATTGATCTATTTTAAATGAATCTTGAGTTCTCCAAAGTAAAATGAGCTTATTTTTTACTTTGCCGCCATTTTTGAATCTAACTGCACAATTTAATAAAACTGTTGCTTTTACCAAAAAAAATACGTTATTTACCGTTTAGATCGGTACGAATGGCAAAAGATTTCCCTTCGGTCTCTTTGAGATCTTGGGAAAAATTTTTGTTTAATATCATTCATTGAATATTCATTGAGTCTTTTTGATTGATGAAATGACTTCGGAAATAAATACAGAACACACCAGTGGGCAAATTTGTAGTTTAAGACAAAGTTCCCGTGTTTATTCGTAAGTTCTCAACAATGATTAAATACACTAATGATTGTTATGTTTGCTGTAATGAATGAATATTTCCTCTTAACTTAATGGAATGAAAAAGGTGTGATGTTTATATCAAATGTCTTACATAAAGTATCTCTTCATTTTAGGTTGGATATCGCGTCAGCAGTTTGAGGAAACTTGGGCGGCGTTGCTTGGGGTCCTTAGTTCTCCACTATCGCCCGAACAGACTTCAAGAGAGGTACGTATAAAGTGATTTCTAAATAGTCTCGAGCACAATTCTAATGTATGTACAAGTTGTGTATTTGTTTGGTCAATGTGTGAATATATATGGTCATTGTATGTTTTGTATGGTCAATGTGTAAATATATGTATGGTCATTGTATGTTTTTGTATGGTCATTGTATGTTTTTGTATGGTCAATGTATAAATATGTATGGTTAATGTATAAATATGTATGGTTCATTGTGTGAATATATATGGTCAATGTCCGAATATGTATTGCACAATGAATGAATATGTATGGTTTATTGAATGAATATGTATGGTCAATGTGTGAATATGTATGGTTAATGTATAAATATGTATGGTTCATTGTGTGAATATATATGGTCAATGTCCGAATATGTATTGCACAATGAATGAATATTTATGGTTTATTGAATGAATATGTATGGTCAATGTGTGAATATGAAGGGTTCAATGTAAATATGTACGAGTTTCATGTACTAAACGTATTATTCAATGTATATATGGATGAGTCAATAGTAATAAGTGGAATAGCTTTGATCTTTTGAACTGTATGTTAGGAGGACATTGATTCTGTGAAGTCTGGTTGCCTAGCAATACAATGCATAACTAGACTGTTGCTTCAAACGACGCTACATCCTTTGCCTGGTAACCCCTCGGTTGGTGCGAGCTTTCATGTGTCGAGACAAAAAGAGTTACCATTCTTGGGTGGCAGGTAAAACGTAGGGAACCATTCATGGGTGGCAGGTAAAACGTAGGGAACCATTCATGGGTGGCAGGTAAAACGTAGGGAACCATTCATGGGTGGCAGGTAAAACGTAGGGAACCATTCATGGGTGGCAGGTAAAACATAGGGAACCATTCATGGGTGGCAGGTAAAACATAGTGAACCATTCATGGGTGGTAGGTAAAAATAGTGAACCATTCATGGGTGGCAGGTAAAACATAGTGAACCATTCATGGGTGGCAGGTAAAACATAGTGAACCATTCATGGGTGGCAGGTAAACATAGTGAACCATTCTTGGGTGGCAGGTAAAACATAGTGGAACCATTCATGGGTGGCAGGTAAAACATAGTGAACCATTCATGGGTGGCAGGTAAAACATAGTGGAACCATTCTTGGTGGTAGGTAAAACATAGTGAACCATTCATGGAAATAGGAACCATTCAGGGTGGAACCATTCATGGTGGTAGGAAATGGAACCATTCATGGGTAGAAAACATAGTGAACCATGGGCAGGTAAAACATAGCCATTCATGGTGGAAATATAGGAACGGAAATAGTGGAACATAGCCCTGGTGGCAGGAAAAACAAGAACCATTCATGGAGGGGAACCATTCATGGGTGGTGGAAATAGTGGAACCATATTCATGGTGGCAGGTAAAACGTAGTGAACCATTCTGGGGTGGCAGGTAAAAGGTGGAACCATCTCATGGGTGGCAGGTAAAACATAGTGAACCATTCATGGGTGGCAGGTAAAATAGTGAACCATTCATGGGTGGCAGGTAAAACATAGTGGAACCATTCATGGTGGCAGGAAAACATAGTGGAACCATTCATGGGTGGTAAAATATAGTGGAACCATTCCAGTGGTGGTAGTGAACATATGGTAAATAGTGGAACGGAACCATGGTGGAATGGAACCATTCATGGGTGGTGGAACCATAGAACCATGGTGGATAGTGGAATATTCATGGAACATAGGAACCATTCATGGGTGGTAGGTAAACATAGTGAACCATTCATGTGGTAGGTAAACATAGTGGAACATGGGGTAAGGTAAACACATAGGAACCATTCATGTGTGGAAACAGAATGAGTGTTGAGGTAAAACATAGGAACCATTCATGTGGCAGGTAAAAATGGAACCATTCATGGGAATGGACGGTGGATAATAAAGGAACCATTCATGTGGTAGGTAGGAACCATTCATGGTGAAATAGAACCATTCATGGTGGTAGATAAATGGAACCTATGTGGTGGAACATGGAGTGGTGGTGGTAGAACATAGTGGAACTATTCATGTGGTGGTGGGTAAACATAGGAACCATTCATGGGTGGTAGGTAAAACATAGGAACCATTCATGGGTGGTAGGTAAAACATAGTGAACCATTCATGGGTGGTAGGTAAAACATAGTGAACCATTCATGGTGGTAGGGAAAACATAGTGGAACTTCCCCATGTGGTGGAAATGGAACCAAATAGTGGAAGGTAAAACATAGTGGAACCATTCAGGAACGGCCCATGGAATGGAACATAGGGAACATAGTGAACCAAAACATGGAACCATTCATGTGGTGGTAAAACGTAGGAACCATTCATGGGTGGCAGGTAAATGTAGGGAACCATTCATGGGTGGTAGGTAAAACACAGAGAACCATTCATGGGTGGCAGGTAAAACATAGGAACCATTCTTGGGTAGCAGGTAAAACATAGGGAACCATTCTTGGGTGGCAGTTAAAACACAGGGAACCATTCTTTGGGAGTAGGTTAGACAAAGGGAAGAAAGCTTTAATATCACTGATTTGGATATTCTGTTGATTTATCGTATTTAATTTTTTAGGGCTGGTAAAAAACTTTGCACTGTACGAAAAATTGTAGAAGATCATTTCGCCAAACAATGCTCTCAAAGGTGAACAAATTCGTATTCTGACAACGTCACGCTAAGATGAGACCGATTTTTTGTCTAGTCATTCAATCTTTTGATTTCTATTTTCCTTCAGCTCATTTTGGTTGAATGACAGCGTGGATACTTCAAGTCTGTATGGAGTAAACATCGAAAGAATCTCGGCTTTACATTCTTATACATTGTGTCAGGTATTGAACGATGTTATCAAAATAGCTTGTGCATCTTTTTAACCAGTTTTTCATTTATATCTTTTATGCATCACAACGGTTGCACCATTAACATCTTTTTCATCTTAAAATCGTAATTTACATCTTTTTACATCTAAAAATCGTAATTTATGTCTTATTTACACCTCAACGGTTGTACCAGTTGCATTTTTTTACATGTTAAAGGTCTTACCTTGTACATTAATAACACGTCCACGGTCTTTAATTTTTCATGCAAACGTTTCAGAACTCCTTTTCCTTCTGTTTTAGATCTCTGTCAATAGTCTCCAAAACCAATGTACATTTGATAACTCCGATGAAGATGAATCGGGAAATCCATCATCCAGATTGTTATCTTCGGAATTTTCGCCTCGAGAGAAAATCGATGTGCGTTCTTGTGTCCAGTTCTTAATGGAACTGTTTGAGCAATGGGTGTCGCCCTACACGCAGCCGAAAACGCCTCTGATGTTGCTTACAGAATCTGTTAAATCCGTATGTATATATGATGATCTTAGTATTAGTGATTAATCCTGATAAATGCTTTACAACTCAATCCCCCGGATGTCTAACTACAGTGTCAAGGTGAGGCAAGGACGCCATCTTGAAACATGGCAAAAAGCAAAACTCATAATCAAAAGTAAGTTATAAGCAACTTTAAAAACCAATCATATGAAACAGTTTAAACTCCAGACCTAAACTATCATGTCTGCAACTGTATATTAATGCAGAGGAAGTAGATAGTACTGGCAAATATAGTCAGTTTTGCTAGTTTTCAAGATGGCGACCTGCCTCATTCGTAACTTTACAATTTCGGTGGAATCAGGTATATTGTAGATTGAATTCGAGGTCATTGATTTTTATAGTCTGTCTATTATGAACTAAATATAACTGGAAAGCTACTACCCGCCAAAATTTATAAAGCCTGTAGTTTAACTAGTTCCTATTTTTCACGAGCGATCCAAAGAAAGTTGACTTTCGACGATGCGCTAAAATTCGGGATTTGACCTTCCAGAGACACGCGTGTCTGGAGGTGAAATTTGGCTTCAAGCAAGTTCAGGCATGTTTTATGAAGGTAGATTTTTAAACGAAGCTTGTTGGTTTAGGGGACCCGGGAGGGTCGAGTAAAGAGCTACGCATTTTCACTAAAGACCACCAATTTACTTCAAAACAACCTCATGACGTATAAACCAGGCAAAAAATACAGCAAAACTGGCGCTTACTCTTTTGTTGAATCTGAAAATGATTCCTACTAAGGATGTAGAAACGTCACTTAACGAAAACACCAATTGTTCTTCTCGTGAATGATTTGCTGGATTACATGTAATTTGGCAGTGAAACCATACAGTTTTTATTCGGCATTTCTTGATTTCCAACTTTAGAGTTTAACATGAGGTATAAAAGTTTTTGGTTCATAATATCCAATGCTCGATAGTATGATCTAAAATTTTAGTTGCTCATCATTTCGGATCTTTTCGTCGACACGGCGCAGTATGAATGGTTACTGAGCGAACTCCTTGAACTTTATCAAAATTATCCCGCTGAAGATGAAATAATGATGGAGTATTTACTGCCAGCACTTTGTAAGTCGCTGGCCGTCTTAAAAATGGTAACTATGTGTTATATTTCTCCACTGTATGTTCTTCAAGCATATTCAAATTGTTCCTACTATGACATAAAAGGAGATGTATAAAACCGTAGAGTATAAAACCGTAGAGTCTCGAAAGTGGCCTACTTGGGCTACTTTCGAAATTAGTGACCTCAAGGGGCGGTTACATTCAGTGGGGGCGCTTAGTTTGAGTTGTTATTTTTAGCATTGGTTAACTTCAATGGTGAACTCTTTATCCACGCTGTATGAACAGGATTTTTTAGTGCGTTTAAAGTTGTGTAAGGTTGCGTTTGACACGAATAAACGTTTTATTTAGAAATGTTGGGAAATTCCTCAAAAGTTTCATGAGTTAAGTGAACGGTTTCTCTCGCTATTCTTCACTAAGTATTAAGAAAGGCGACTATTTTCGAGGGACGATTGCTTGGGCAGGCTACTTTACAGGGGACGGTTGCTTGGGCAGGCAACTTTTGAGACTCTAAGGGTAACAATATACTAAAGGGAACACGTGTAAAAATATACTTATCGGTGACCGCATGATCAGATTAATGTTAGTCACACAGAGATATGTAACGTTTTTCAAAGTTTCATGCGAAACAGGAAGGTGTGAAACCAGGATTGACTTCCTTTTACATTTTGAAAGAGAAACTGAAAATAATTGTACCTTTACACATTTATCTTTTGTGGAATACAATTCCATATAACAAAGGCAAACTTTTCATCAAAACTTTTCAAGCCAATTTCATGCAACCAAAAGGAAGATGTAATCCCAAAAACAATTGTCAAAACAATAATAGTCATTCTCTACTTATACTTAAAAGTCTTTTTTATTTCGTACAAAAAAAAGGAAGGTGTAATCCCTGAAAAAGTTGTCAAAATAATGGAAACAACATTCAAATCTCCACATATTCCTCTTCAGGTGAGTGAATGCACCATTATCCATTTGCCATTTTTTTGAGTTTTGGCGGTATGCGCATGCGCAAATTTCGTTTCAGTTTCATGACAATCAAGCAAATATACATTTTGAACATAACACCCAAAATTTTTAGTTTATTTATTGATTACAGAGTACATCGTAGTATTTATACCTTATAGTTATGTTCTATTCTCGCTGACAATCCGGCTCCTTTTTCTAACCTCAGCCTTGTTCATAGTCCTTCATGACTGTGAATGATCTCTATTAGAGGGGGTGGGGGCGATGTTCAGGAAATACTTTGTTAGTTATTATTAAAATCAATTGTGATTACAGATTATAAAACATGAATATATGATTTTGAGACCATCCCTGGTTATCTATCTTCTGCGATCCTTGTCCTTACCCCTGACCTTGCCTTGAATGCACTATTATTCCCATTACTCCTTTTCCATGGATATGTTGAAAAACATTCACATCATATGTACATTAGGTTGCTGCATTATTCGGAGCTCTCTATCTTCTCGAGTCTCACATCGTTTCGGTCGTAAATCTTGTCATACCGCTGGTCACAGATTACGTTATGAAAGTCTTGGCTCAAGTGAACGAGTAAGTCGAAACTTTGTGTTTCTGATTATGATCGTCATGCTTCAACTCATTGTTATTAATACATTTAAAGTTGTAGCGTTTTCGGCGAACATCGTTTGCTCGTGTTACTATCTGCGTCTTTTTACCTTCTGGAGCACTATGGCGGTGAGATCAATAATGTCGAATTCAAGAAAAACTTCATCATGGTGAGCAAAGTCACTTGATTTTGGTCATTGTTTATTTCTATGATCATGTTTATGATTGATTCAAAGTACGATAAAGTACAAAACACCATAGAAATGATGAATCTATCCATGACTATTTTCTAATTGACCTGATGAGAAAGCTCATTCATATTTGGTACTTAATGCTGGGCTTTCCGTTAATGATATGTTCTACCAGGGATGTATTTGGGAGAGACAGTGGTGTGCTGTGAGCAAATTCTCCGGTTTAGGGGGGGCAGTCGGTTACCACTGAAAACGCGCTTTAATAATATAGCACTTTAAGAACGAGAGCCAAAGGCCAGAGCCGAGTGCCGAAGGGGCGAGTGGTGTTTGGGGGTTCGAGCACGCTCCCCGGGAAATTTTTTAAAAGTAAGAAGCTATAAAATGCTATTTCCTGGAGTGAATTCATACTAACCGTAAAATTTCAAACGCGTTTCTCCAACATATATTCAAATTTGACGTCCCTTATTTATTTCAGCGCCCCCTAAAATTCAACAGCTGGGGGCGTATCTCCGTCTTCCCCCCTGCTAGCACGCCACTTGGGAGAGGGGTACGGAAAAGGTGCCACAAAACAATTAATACATGACTTAATCAGAAAGTCCATTCATATTCGGTACTTAATGCTGGACTTTCCATGACTTATGTGCAATTAGGGGTATGTTTAGGAGTGGGGTACAGAAAGGGTGCCACACAACATACCAAACATGGAGCACATGATACCAACATAGCTACCAATCAACTAAGCAAACGTAATTGTGATTTGCGTGTAATGGAGCACACTTCCAAGTACCAAAGATCTTTCAATCATAATGAAAAAGAAATAGAATTTAACAAGAAGGTCTGACATGCTTCGGCAAGAAGAAGCCAGCCAAATTCAATCCAAACTAGAGCACACACCTTTCCTCTCCCCCCAAACCATAGTGGATGCATCCCTTTGTGCAAAAAATAATGAATGTATAGTGTTGCCCAGATGATTTTTTGTTATACATCTATAGACCATTTTAACATTGGCGTCGTCTGGAGAGGATAACGTTCCTTTGCATCTTTACCATGCAATAATACGTGGCTTTGAAAGATTGGTCGTCTCTTTCTCGTTATCAAGAGAAGACAGCGATGCTTTGGTTAAGTTTAGTATCGAAAGGTAGCGATTTCCATCATCCTACGAAAGCATTTCAACTTGTTTCAATTTTAGTGAAAAATGACACGATGACGGAGAAGAATTTTTGTTTTCCATTTAATAATGTTGGAATTGAATAAGATTTATTGCAGTAAACAAAAACGCTTAAGAGTTTTTTTAAAGAACCTTTATCCTCCAAACCAACTGCCACTTTTCCAGTAGCAGTTTTTAAACTTTTCCCTGTACCAAGTACATTGTTTTGTTCGAGATTGTGTTTAGTGATGCAGACGCGTAAAACCATGTTTCCTTCTCAAGGTTGGCCATACGAAATCCACAGAAAGCGATATCTGCTCTCGGTCTTTTGCTGACGTGCATGTACACGGGAAAGGAAGGCGATCGTCCCAGCGGTTTATTCCAAGACAACGAAGATGTCGACTCACCGAATGACGATGTTCTTTTATTGGCTTTAGAAAGAACGACAGCGCTCTTCGACCGGTAACTTGAAATTGCACATTCAACTTGACAAGATATTATATTCCTTTTTCCTTGTCTCCGAACTCATGTCTTCAATTTTCATTCTTTAAACATAAATGTTGCAGTTCTGTCCATGATTGCGGGCTCATATTAACATACGCATGTTGTAATCCGTAGAAAACAATGGATTTCAAAAACTTAATGGGGCATATTACGCATATACAAATATGAGCCCCTCCCTTCCCTCTAAATTCTCGATAGTACTACGGTCGTTCATGAATACTAGAGCAAATATGTTTTCCTATGTTCTGTTATTTCTTTGTTTGAGCTTAAATTTATCTATGAATTATGGGAAGTTGCAATGATGGTCCCGAGTCAAGTTGATTGGTTTCTTTCTTTAAAATGTGTTGCAAGCTAGATATTTAGCACTCTTTTATCTCGAGTACTTTTATTCAAATTTCTATTAAAATTTCTATTGTGAAGTTCCATTGCTCATGTGAATTAATGATTTTCTTGCCAATTGAACAATTCACTGTTATTTAGCGTCATAATCCCTTGTTTCTGCAGAATCCGTAAAGGTTTTCGTTCCGAGGCGAGGTTGGTATCGGAGATTCTACCAATTGTACTCTGTGATTTCTTTCCTCCGGACGAGGTTATGAATAAAGTGATTGGAGAATTCGTTTCCAGTCAACAACCACATCCAGAACTCATGGCTTCTGTTTTATTTAAGGTTTGTAAATGCGCTCTGGGACGTTACAGCCCGTGACGATAATGCAGGGGCGTAGAATCCTTGCAAACACTTGCAAGTCTAAGTATAGTTGGTGAAAATTGTTGAAAATGTAAATTTTACGTTCTGAAGACTTTTTACCGATAACGAAAATTTACTGATGAATAGCGATTGAAAAAATATCACTCTTTCAACGATAAGAAGTTATTTGACCAATTTGAACATAGAATTTACGTGTTCAACTATTATGATGACCAACTATACTTAAAATTGGGTTCGCTGCATGTTAGAACTGGGCAAATATTTGTCAATACAATTACAGTCATATTGACCAATACTTGCCCAGTTTTTAGATATGTGTGGTCTGATATGAAAATGACCGCATCAGTGTAATTATGTGGTCATTTTCATACAACACCGCACACATACACACACCCAACTGGACAATTCTTTGCTACGTCCCCGGATAAACTATGCTATGTGAAATGTTCCATGTGTTGACCGTTGTATGATTTCAAAAGCGTTTCTTTCGGGTGTGTGTCTTAGGAGTCTGAGTTGTTTAACAACAATTCTATTATCTATTTTGGAGTAGGTGTGTGAGAATTTGATTAGCAAAGATCAACAAACATCAGTAAAAGATTGGATCTTACTGTCACTTGGTAGCTTTACACAGAGGTGCAAAGTCATTTTGGACAGATCATTGATGTATCAGTCATAAAGGTTTTCTTAACTCTGAAATATTGTCCATATATTTTAAAGGCCGCCGCTCGGAATGGCCGTTTGGAGTTTCACCTGCATCTTCATCGCTGCTTCAACAAACCGATTGCTAAGAGCACTGTATCTTTAATATATTGTTCTCGAGTCTATCTAACATAAAGTTTCACCGATTAGATACATACGTCCTTAACGTCTCTTTTCTTTAACATATCTTTCTTGACTTTATCTAACATAAAGTTTCACTGACTACATACATGCATCCTTAACGTGAGTTTATCTTTAACATATCTTTCTTGACTCTATCTAACATAAAGTTTCACCGATTAGATACATACGTCCTTAACGTCTCTTTTCTTTAACATATCTTTCTTGACTTTATCTAACATAAAGTTTCACTGACTACATACATACATCCTTAACGCGAGTTTATCTTTAACATATCTTTCTTGACTCTATCTAACATAAAGTTTCACCGATCAGATACATACGTCCTTAACGTGACTTTATCTTTAACATATCGTTCTTGACTCTATCTAACACAAAGTTTCACTGACTACATACATACATCCTTAACGTGACTTTAACTTTAACATATCGTTCTTGACTCTATCTAACATAAAGTTTCACTGACTACATACATACATCCTTAACGTGACTTTATCTTTAACATATCGTTCTTGACTCTATCTAACATAAAGTTTCACTGACTACATACATACATCCTTAACGTGACTTAGATTCGAGCATGCCGTATCGCGAATTGGAAAATTAGACACGATCGATCGTACTTACTTTCTACTAACGGCGCTAGATTTCTATCATAATCAGGTTTGTTCGTTTTCCGTCAATTTTTTTTTAAAATGCATCTCATAAAAACTTGCTTCAATTTCTCCAGAACTTGAACGAAGAAGAAAAGGAATCTTTTCTTGCAACATTTAAGAAAGTTGCTCAAACGGGAACGCCTTACGCCGATCTTGTACAGAGGATTACTTGAAATATCATGAGCACCAAATACCTAATTTTGAAGATGACGATGGCAACTATCCGTGTAATTTAAATTAGAATTTTCAAATTGAATGTATGAATAAATTATTTGGTGTGCTTAACTCATTGATGTGGGTTCAACTGCCGATACATTATCAAGAGATAATTGTAGAATTGTTGGCTAAACTTCCCGTGGTTAAATGTAATGACCACTGATCTCGTTATGAGACTGGATCAAGCAACTCTTATGTGTCTGTAGTCACATAAAATCTTTCCTTTTCTACTTTATGGGACTTAACAGCTTCTAGTTCCCCGGCTCGCGTTCCACTGAAAAGTTTTAAAGTAGGTGTTATAATAAATAATGCCGTAAATGATCAAATAAACGCCCGGTGCGTTGAATAAATTCAAGCTTTTCCAGGAAGGAGTGTAATAGAGAGGCGTTTATATGACTTCGATCACCTCCGTTCGTGAGCAAATGAACACATAAACGGTTTTTAATCCGACAGACGACCCATCATTATAATCGTATCACAACGGTAATGTGTTGGATGGCGTCCATTAGAGAGAAAGAGGTATCTAATAGAAACTGGTTTTAAAGGGGGGCGTTTATTAGATACAAAGTGTAATTGATAAGAGGCGTTTATTGGATCATTTGCAGTTATGCAAATCTCTGCTGCTTTTATTGTGACGTCACAAAGGTATAAGTCGACATTGGACATTCTATTTCTTGAATTTAAGATGAATTTCTTAGCTGGATGTATTCATTTTATTCTTGCATGCATTTTAACTGTTCACGGCTTTGATTTCGACGAATGTCCTTCAAAAGAAAGTAGTTCTCTTGATGTAAAGTATGGATCTATGTCGGTCGTTTGCGACCGAAACTATCCAAAGGATTTGGTCACTTCTACTCCTGAAATTAAATTCTCGTTTGCCGATGTGGTAAGACAGCAATGTCTTTTGACCTGACGCAATATCCCCAAAACTGATTTTCTACATCACACTCTATCTTTTTATAAACTAGTCACCCAAATAAATCAAGTTTCTTTAAGGGCAGCAGTTTTAAAAATACCCTACTTAATATTTCTAATACCAACAAACCTGACACTAAGTCATTAACCAAAAGTTGTCCTGATTGTTGTTGGCTAGGTACTCTATTATTGTTCACTTGAAGGTGACATTTAAATGTTGAAATGTTTCATTGTGCTAACCACATGTCATCGTAAAATTGTTGCTGGTTGTATGAAATGCCTGTTTATTATTTAAAAATAAAATTTTACATGCATCCAGCATCACCAGGGGGGGTGAAGGGAAGAATTACCCTTCCTGTATTTCATGACAATTTCAAATTGATAGCTATATATCACTTATTTTGGTGCATTGTTTATGACTTGCCTCCTCTTCCCATCTTCAAAAATTTTACCTTTGCCCATAAGCTTGATTTATCATAGCCTGTTTGCTGGTCGATGTTCTTATGCTAAGAATGGTGCTTTTTTTGCAATTTTTAGAATAAATATTATGAAGTTCTTATGTTTGACCCGGATGCACCATCTGCTATGAATCCAAAATCGCAGAATATACCAAAATGCCAAAGTTGGCTTCATTTGTACTTATCGGATGTTAAGGTAAGTAGGCTGTAACAACTTGAAATTTCAAAGCAATGATCTTTTCTGTATTAAAGCATTTGCTAAGTTTGTTCAAAATGTTCATTCTTTTACAAGGGGAGTGAGCTTAAAAAAGGTTTTTTGGCAAATGATGGCACATCAGATTGGAATGTCATTACAGGTAAATCATAAATGTCTTTCTGAAAAGCAGGCTCAGATTTTAAAGTGTTCACATGGATACTGGGGTTTAGTATTTGGTATCCCTCCTGATAATCTAGTTTCCCAAATCAAGGTATGTGACTTGTGGGTTTTTTATCCACAAGTCACATACCAGGATCAGATATAACATAATCCCATATTTATCTCAGTTTGTGAAATCTGAAATTAAAATTCATCAAAATCACTTCTATTCAATTCTGTATTAAAACTTCTTCCATGTCATTGTTGCCCGTCTGATCTGAATCACGATCGAAATCACTATTGCTTTATTTTGTCATGACTTCAAAATTCATTTCATTAAAATTGGAACATTTTCTCTGTGGAATTCAAAATGATAACTCCTTGTTTCAACATAAGTCTGTAGACATACTTAAATACAGTTAAAATGACAGTTAAAATGTTGCTTCATTTTTCATTATTCTTTTTTATAGATTACAATCCACCAGCACCACCCAAAGGTGTGGGTTATCATCGATACATTTTCACTGTCTATGGTCACACAAAACCTGCAAGGTTTTATGAAAAGATCACGCAAAGATGTGGTTTTGATATTGATTTATTTTCTCATCCATAAATTAGAGTCCATTCCAGATGCAAGAGTAATGTTCCGAACAAGAACTGAGTGAATTCAGATTAAAGAATTTGTTAGCCTTATTTAAAGTAAATTTAGAGTGTCACTATGTAACTGTGAAGACTACCCATTCAATTGTAATATATATTCTATCTATAGTATATTTAATATATGTCCATTAACTGTTCCCATTAGCTGTAGGAAAATCATGTGTACTTGCTTTAGCTTTATATGCTGGCCATCTGCAAACTGGACAGTTAAGGTTGTTCAGTTGATGCTCAGACTTGAACCATTTCTCCAAACAAAGTTGATGAAAAACATGTTTGCAAGGTAATGATACCATGATACAGTTTTTCCGATAGGCACCAAGGCAAATAGAGCATTCTTCTGATATGATTGTTTTGTCAGGCCTTTTCAACCATTTACAGAAATTTGCATCACATGCTGCCTTTGTTTTTTGTGAGAACCTGCTATCAGGCGGCGTGCACTCACAGTTCTTCCAAACAGGTAGGTCCCTCACAAAGTCTGTGGGCAAAAGTGGTTGAAGCCATAGATTAGGAGTTGCAAGCCTTTGTATAAGCATGTCTTCATATGCATGCAAGAAGAAAGTGCCTTCGTTAAGCCGCAAACTGGAAGGAAAGACCATGGTTGTTCCAAAAGAGTTGAAAAATCTACTGAAATACATCAAATCTTCATAAAACCAGTCTGTCGAATCATCATTATCAAGATATTTGATCTTTCTTTTAAGCCTGTTTAAACCAAAGCCATACATGCAAAAGCTAAGAAACCATAAAGACCATTTAGAATAGGATAAGAAATAATATCTAACTAGTGATAACAGATTGCTGGTTGTAATGAAGCGACATATGCGACTTATGTTTATGAGAGGTTGTGCAATATCCAATCGGTACACTTTAACAATCGGAAGCCAAATTATCATAAGCGCCGTGTTGGCAAAAACAAAGAACATGAAGAATTTGACCATTTTTCTCAATATTCCACCTGAGGTTAAAAACAATTCCAATATACAAATTTGATTGACAAGTATTATTGTTAAAAGAAAAGCCTCATTCACTTCCGGATGTAAACTTGTCAAAAATGTTTCCAGAGATCTGTATTGAATAAACTCTCCTTTCATCATTCCATAAGAAAGCTGTCCTTCTGGTGTAATCACCAACAGTCGACAGAATCGCTTGCTACCATGTTCTCCCAAGATTTTATCAGCATTATTTTTTGTCACTTTGAAGTATGCAAAGTTGACTCTGCCCATAAACTTTATGGATAAAGATGACAAAAGAGCAGGTGGTTCATCCAGTTGACCAAAAACACCAATTTAGTCATCTCATAATTACTTTTCTCTTTGCTTGCCAAGTATTGGGAATATTCTTTGGGATTTTTTAGCTTCCTCACTCTTTTCCCAAGTATGCTATTTATCCAGGAGAATGCACGCTCCACGGAAGGTTTGGAACTGTAAATATGAATTTTGACATTTCCCTTGGCATGATGTCCAACTGGAGATGAAAGAAGCAGACATTTCGCATCCCAGCCATTTTTAGCACATAATCGGGGATCCAAGCCGCAATCAAACACTCCCGCTTTAATTCCCAATAATGTCATCTTCTTCGATAGTCGTCGCCATTGTTTCAATGATAGTAGAGAGCCTCTGTAGTCTGGAATGATTTTGACAAGCCATCCGCTCGCCTTCGTGTCTTCGATTTTCTCAAAAAAATGAGAGGAACTATGGAAGTACGTTACTTCGTCATCCTCATCCTCTTGACTACCATTAACATCACTGCAGTTGCAATTCGAGCAAAAACTTCCCGATTCTTCAACGAGCTGGGCTAATTCGGTCTTATCCACGACGCCGACATAACTAACACCTCTTTCGTCCAACAATCTCTTCAATTTTCTGACGCTAACAGCGAGAGGATTAAAAAGAGGGGAGGCAACGCAACTGAGTTCCAACCAGTTTGCAGATAAGTCAAGAACTTTGGCTACCAAGAATATCAAAAGGAAATACATCAAAACCAAAATCGCTTTGGCCAGCATATTTATTGCTGTTTTGTTTACATTTTACATCGCGCAAAATAGTAATGGCGGCTTTAGACGGGTAGGATGACTGGACTAAATTTGATTGGTTAATATAGAGACATTCCTGATTGGCCAAAATCAGTTACTCATCCAATCATTAGTAATCCAAATCCAAACAAGCCAATGTGATCCTCAAATATATGGTCAATTCAATCCCAGTCAATCCAACAATCCAGTAAGTCAACAAGGGTGTGAAACAGGGTGTTTTGTGAACATGGAACATGCCTTTAAGCGGGAAAATTACAGTAAAAAAATAAAACATGGCAGTGACAAAGATTTATCAATAAGTTCAAAGGTGTTTGGAACTTTGGATTAAAAAAATTATGCCAAAATATGAATAAAGATTGATTGAAGGTAAAGTAAGAGTAAGTGCTTTTTCAACTGTAATATTTTGAATCAATGCATCAATAAGAAATGTTTTGTGTTCGTAATAAAGTGAAATCTCTAAAATGCTAATACAGCAATGCTATGTTATGTAAAAAAGTTTTTGTTGGGCTGTGCCTTTATGCAACGTATTGCGCCTGACTGCGAGACATTACTTTCCCATTCTGTGCATATGTAGCATAAAAATAACGATAACTATTCTTGAGTAGCTTTGTTATTTATAGGTTTGGGTAAATATTCGGTCGGACTTTCCATTCAGTTGTTTTTTTGCCATTTTGCTATGACGGCGAACGACGGCGACCTCCGACCTCGGACCTCGTATTTTGAAGAGGAATTGTACGACTTTCCTTCTTTCCTTTGTCTGAAGTGCCTATGACACAAAAATTATTGGTGTCTCAAATGAAGCTTATGAAAGATTTATGGCATTGCAGTAGAACTTCTATAGTTCAATGTGAATTGACACTTTCGACTTATAAAATTTAGGTCTTTGAATTATACCCTATGTTGCCTTCCGAGATTAGAGTTCGAGTTATCTGGGGAAATTTGACCGAAAGGAAAATGAACTTTGTTTACGTTAGCAATGAGTCCGAATCAAGCGAGTTTGAGTAATCAGGGCTTTACTATACTACACTTAGGCGATGTATAAATTAGAGAATTTAAGGTTAATCGTTTGCTAATCTACAATCATACATATCATAAACTCGTTTGTTATTTCGTTGTTAAGCTATAAGCTTGCTTATGGTTTATCTAAAATTTTCCATTGTTGTGACCACGTGATATAAAGCAAATTTGTCTGATATGTCGAGAATAAATGTAAACAACTACTATGTTCATGAGGAAATCTCATGAAATTTCCACACAAATAACTTCAGTTTATGGATTTTAAAGAAATTTTAGTTTTAGGAGATGTTTCACTAAAAGACATGAGAAAATTTCGTGTCTCAGGCACTTTCAGCAAGACACAGACAGACTTGTCCAGTGTGATTATTGAGATTTGACTCTTCTTGGGGGGGAGAGGGCGAGAGAGAAGAGGTGTGATGATTCATACATTCTGTCCTTCACATGTCATTCATACGTCTGGCTATTCCTCAAGCCTTGCAAATTTGTACGACAGTCTGTATTGTTAAATGCTATGTGTAAAAAATGCTTTTCTACCAAACACCAGAGCAGTGAATGACCGTTGTCCGTTTGTCCGTGTCTTCATTTGTTTAACCCTTTTGAGACGGACTTTTTCAAAAGTTTGTACGCATTTCGTTTGGTGATTCGTGCCGCACGGCGCGATCCGTCTCAAAAGAAATAATACAATAATTTTATACTGCACGCTCTTACGTGTCAATTTCAGGTCAAAAAGATGCGCCCTCGAAATTCCAAAAACAATACGTGTGACCTTCCTTTTCTTGGCAGAGCTCAATATCCTATATAGGTTTGAGCGTGTGGGCCTTTGATAAAATTCTTCTGATTACTTTCGTTAGAAAACATTCACTGTGAGTTGTGTATCTTCATTCTACAAAGTGCAATGGCTTATATCATACCTACATCGTGAGCAATTGTGCCAGAAACTCGTTATTCTAATTCCGTTAATTTGCGTAAGTGTTGTTAGTTAGGGCAGAAAAGTCGATGAACAATTTGCTATAACTATGGGGTGTATTGATATGAACAATATCACGCCCACTGTTGAAACTTCAGACATCTCTCGACAATCAGCAAGTGTACAAAATATCGTATAATTTATTTATTGTGTATATTGGTACAATTTTGTATCATGTAAACATGCAAAATGCACATTGAAATTAAAGAATAATGCATGGCATTGAATTTTCAGCAGCAATTTTCGCTGTGGAAAAAACGACTGGAAGTTGGGCACCATATATATGTTAAAGCACATTTCCTCACGCTCAATAAGTCATTAATTAACAGCTCTAATTGAACAATATTACATTTGAGGAACAAAGAACATCCCAACATTAAGTTTCATCACACACACATACACACACACATAACATAATATACGAGAAAACAGGAAAAATAGTTATTTTTTGATTTAATTCGTTGAAACGCGATGTATGTATTAAACACAAGTACGTCTAATGGGCGTGTTTATACTAAAACACCTCTTAAAACGCATCGTAAATGCCGAAATACGCGTGGTGATCTTTTTCTTTGTTACACTTTTGCATGAGCACTAACTACCTTAAATATGATGCGCGAAAAAGTGCTCTAGCTAAAGTCCTTCTTGGTCTTAATGCTCCCAACCCTTCAGAGTACAGCCGAGCAGACGCCAGTTACGCAGATGTTCTTTGTCAATATGATTAGTAAAACAAAGATAGGGTTACACGTTAGCCAATCAAAATCACGAAAATTATGGTATATATTATGTTTGTAACTGACCTTAGCCGAGTACGTCAGTCCATGCAATTGTGTCATTTTAAGTCGCGTTCAAACTTAGCTTACTTGTACAAGATAAATGAAAATGCTTCATTTACCTAAATTTTAACCTGTAAAGGTATTTCAGTCTGTTTCTTTCAGCTGATTTATACAAAATTCCGAGATAAAGTTCGTCATGCCTTGTTCACGTGTGATGTATAGATCTGTTTGGCATTCGTCCAATGAAAAAAGTGCTCTCCTCTTGTTATTTTCCTTCACGATTGATTTTTACCTTAGTTTTGTATGTTTTTATTTTGTTTTTGCTCGGACTTGCGTTCATATTGGAGATAAG